ATTTTGAAGGACAGTATTTTTCCGAAATGGAAGTGATTTTCTCGGGATTCATATTTAAAGAAGCGAGGCGGGGAGGCGGTCGATTCATCCTCCCTTCTTGCGCGCTCGGAACCCGATAAGCGTCAATATTTAGCTGGCAAACAGAGCGGTAGATCCCATTGTTTAAGCGCAATCGTGGCTTTCTCACACCGCGAGCACGCGTGTGTACATAAATAGCCATATACATGTAACAATCTCTTGACCATCATCATTCACTTGTATGCCAGCACCGCGATACAAGCGTCGATCACTTGCAAAATGTTTTTTGATCCGCGGATTGTATCGATATAATGCTGCGTCAGCACGAGAAACACTTTAGCCTTCCATCATTTTCGATGGAAGAAACTTATTAATTTATGACATCAGAAATTATTATTAATTGCGATTAGATTAAATTCCTTATGAAATATTTTGCATGGTTGTATGAAATGAAAGAAGAAAAGAACCCAATTCACACACACACACATATACATTTGAATTTTATAAGTAAAATTAGTTTTACTTATAAAATTCATTCCTCTATTCTCTTACACACACACACTATACATTTCACATTAAATACAATGATATCATAATAAAATTTATTTTTTTAAACACATTTTTAGAGTAGGAGGTGGTAAACGTTGTGCGAGACAAGTAGTAGAGACACGCTGTGAGCAGACGGACGGGCCGTCATAGCGTGTCTGTATTTACTCACAGTAGTTGCAGATGAATCGATGGCGCACAAACGCGGCAGGCGCAACGCGCTGAACTACTTGCAGCGCTGATTTACAACTCATATCTAAAAAATGTCACTTCAGGGAACAACTTTATTACACGTGGTTAAATTTATCGTAAAATAAATCTGATGAGTCATAATGAGAATTTAGTTCTCTCCTCCAATATTCGTCCTCCTACGAAAAACTCAACAACGGAACTCAATTTAATGCAACATATTTGTCGTTAATAATAATTTCCCCTGCATGTTGCTCCGACTAATTATAATTTAATTCTGACTAATTACGTATCATCTAGTTTCTTACAAACTCTTTGCCAAATTTTCTTACGGAATATACATTTAAGCGTACGACGTGTATTTATATAAAAATGCGTGCAGTACTTGTATCCAACGATATCGCGTTTAAATACATACAACACGCGCACTTACACAGATACTCGGTAGCATTTTCCATTAATGAGTTCCCTCACGTGTTTCGCGTGCAACTTAAAACGTTATGACTTCATAGCGAAGCTAGCCATTTCGCTGAAACGTATACACTACTTTAAACGCGCACCCTGGGACACCGTGTCGAGAATTTTTCTGCGCTTTAACGCCGGCTACGGTTGAATAACGATGGTGATAATTAAGCCCACTGAAGAATCGGTTCATTTGACCGTCAGCGATCCACGTGTAACGAACCGATTGTTATTTTTATGTCATAGGAAGTTGCAGTTATGTGTCTATGTGCGCGCGTGCGTATGCATGGTGGCCTCGAACAAATATAATTTTCATTGACATGTGAGAATTTTCTTTCGCGTAATCTCGCATCGGAAAGGTATAGATAGATAGATAGATAAAGAAAGAGAGAGAGAGAGAGAGAGAGAGAGAGAGAGAGCGAGAGAGAGAGAGAGTGAGCATTATCGTAGAAGACAGAAAAGGAGTCTGTTGTTAATTGAAATATTATAATAAAAGAGTGATATCGAATAATATAACTCTGCTCTGTATCACGTTGCTGTTCAGAAACGCTGGAACAGTTAGTTTCGCTTCGGTGGAACGATGTCAGCGATAGGTACATTCGTCCATCGAAACCGTAGCACTAGATACCTCTACCGCATCGCAATCCGATACTGTAAAAGCGAGTAGCCATAGTAGTGCGCAGTGTGCCCTTTCGCTGCCACGCTTTCTCCATTGGATAGACGTGTCGTTAGCTTTCTCGCGGGAGAGAGATATATTTGTTATTGGAAACGTTCCGGGGTAGGGAAGGGGAAACACAATGGACTAAACGCATAATTCGCGACACTTTGAAAATCGCGTCGTACCACTTGTTTAATTCGCCATCATTCGCCGAATGTTCCGTTTGGTCAATTATTAAGCATATCCGAAAGATGACGTTTGACGTTAACTCGTCGCAAAACACCGCGATTGAAATCTCGGGGAAATTGCGAGACGAAGAAATTCGTCTCGTCATCGTTAAATCATATCCGTCTTTTAATCCCTTCGGGATAGAATGATTTTATAACAGACAGAAGAACCTCAGAGGCTATCAGTACAGAATAGCTGAAATTAATAGTTCTGGAATATTTTACTTCTTTCAATTCAGTTTATTCATCTGGTAAAATAGTAACATTAATATAGATGACAGGCTATTACATTTATTACATTTTTAATAAAAAAGCTTCAGAAGCTCTTCTATCCGGATAAAGCTCAGAGCAAAAATCACATTTCACTGTTTAGGCGTTAATTATCGTTAACAACGTTAATAGAGTGTAAAATAACTCAAGATAAGAGAAAAGCCAAAGTACACGTTCGCGAAGGAGACTTTATCCCACACATCCGATACGTCGCATCACCGAAGCATCGATCATAACCATCGCCACTAGAACTCTGTGATTTCTCACGAATATCAAAACATGAATCGGCAGTCTTTGAGTCCCTCTATATCACCGGCATCTGCCGAACAGTGCAGTCATCGTGTTTGAACGCACAATGTACTGTACCGAGTTTACGAACATGTTCTCGCGCGCGCGCGCGCGCGTGCGCGTTCATACAGGTGGATGTACGTGTGTGCGTGCGCGCGCGTGGGCGGCTTTAATCGACCGATTTCGGGCACAGGTCGGCATCGCTCAAAGTTAGAAGCCGGTTAACCCGTCTGACCGGGGGGCATTGCCATTGCACCAGCACGGCGGTCGGTGTCTTTGACTCGGCCCCGAAACCATAACCCGCCGGCGCAATCCCCAACTTACCCCCGTGCAAACAGCATCCCCTTAAGATTAGCGGCTGTAGAAACGCGTTTTCTCTCTCTCCTTCTCTCTCTCTCTCTCTCTCTCTCTCTCTCTCTCTCTCTCTCTCTCTCTCTCGCTCTCTCTCGCTCTCTCTCTCTCTCGCTCTCGGTCTCGCTCATGCTCTCGCACCTTCTCGTTCGCTCGTTCGTCCGCGTATCGCGTCGCATCGGGTTGAGTCGCGTGTGCTCCGACCAGAACGACACGTGTCGGCATACAACGTGCGGGAATACACGAAGGGAAGGATAGAGAGAGAGAGAGAGAGAGAGAGAGAGAGAGAGAGAGAGAGAGAGAAGAAGAGAGAACGACACCGGCACGCTTGGAGCAACAACTTGGCGTGAATATTAGATTTTACACCTCGCGAAGATGTCACTGCACTAATAGCACGTAATAGCGCGTGTACGAAGGGAAGATAAGCCTCACTGGTGGCGGATAGTTCGCCAGTTTTACCCGCGGCGAGCTGCTCGACGAGGTCACACATGTCCGGGCAGATAACGCGCGATTTGTAATCGGCCGGATTTTATGCAAAGGGTAGTTGAGGAACAGCTTTAAAGATAATCCATATACTACGTATATACGACAAATTACATGTATGATTCATTCTAGCTTACAGGATTGTGCTTCGCACAAAGAGGACTAATTGGACCGACGTCACTTTATCAGCGTCAATTAATTTCAAGCTTCCTCGGCTTGATCCTTCTCGGTTAGAATTTTACGTCAAAAGTAATTCGGAAATTTTCATTTATATCGACAGATTACGAACTCCTGACGCTGACACGATGAAGTCAAATTTTTCGGGGTGAGGTGGAAACCCTATTATCCCTGCGCTCGACGATCAACACACGGGCGCTGCTTGGAATAAGGCGCGCGGCACCGAAGATACGCAAAGTTCAGCTAATTTTAGTTTAAAGCTACCATAAGCTCGACGACTGCACGTAGAGCCCTGTGTAATCTCGCTGTTAATCGGTTGCGTGTATTAAATCCAAACGCCGGCTGGATTAAAGTTCCAACACGTACGGAGGACTGCCATGACTTGGTGCAATTCACCGACGGAATAATGTCCAGCGAGTACGAAACGACAACGGCTGAAGGGTAGCACGTCAATCTCGTGAGGGCGCAGCATTGAGTACGTATAACGGAGTACCTTCGCTTTTCTTGTGTAAAGTAGAAAGAGAAAGAGAAACAAAGAAGATGGAAAAGAAAAATAGACTAATTGCAGAGAAAAGTGATTGGATCTCAACGAGATACTTTAGGCATCGTAAAAAAAGGAGTAATCTGTTTTTTTACAATACTTTAAATATCTCTTTTACTTCGTCATATATGTCGTTTTTATAAAGCACGTTTTTGCGATTTAATATTCTGTTGATTATCTTGCTTTATCAAAGCTTAAAGATCTCGCTCGATAATTTATCGCGAGAGAAAATATTTTTAAAAATATTTTATATTCATAATTATTCATCAACGCGCTCTCGCTTGTTAAGCCTGCACAATCTTGTTGGTGCCTCCATCTTCAGGAAAATATAGTAAATTGTGTGTAAGTGATAACTGAGGGAAAAGCTACCAATGCCGGTTTTCTACCTTCCCAACAATAATCAAAACAAATTCCTTCTATATTAACGACTGATAAAATATTATAACTTAATCTTATCTTTGTGTAATATTCTCGTCTTTACCCACAGACGTTACACGCGCGATACCTACGAATGTTACACGCGCAACATCGTAGACTATCTTTAAAACATCGTAGACTATCTTTAAAACAAAAAACAATCCAGTAATTTAATGTTAATAACTTAATGATAATTTAAATTTAACGTTACGCTTACTTTTCGTTCAACTGCTGTATCTGCTGTTTTCTCTAAAATGTTACGTATTTCACACGATAATTCCGTGAAATATTTATAACAAAGTTTACTTTACGATACAACTAAAAATATTATAGCCAGTTTGTAGAATGCAAGGTAAAACAATAGATTGTGCAATTCTGTTTACGATGGAATTCACATTCCTTTATTCTTTGCGAGTACATCGTTTTGAAAACTTAGCTTAAAATAAACAGTAGCGCTAATTTTATACCATTATCTATACACAACTACAGTCGTGATGCATATAATAACAGCAATCTCGTGAAGCAATGGCGGTGTCCGAGAGCAAAAGAAAGCGCAAATTGCATATTTTCTCCCGTGCGAATTCATCCGCTCTCGCGGCCATTCCATTACCCTCGAAATTACGTTGTTACCGAATAACAAGTCCAAATTATCTACTCTGTTCCAGGTACCGCAGAAAGACTGCAGCAAGAAATTTACTGATGATTATAACACGTAGAGGCGTCCTTTTGCGAGAAGATATAATCTTAATTAATGTAAAAAGATTCTCATAAATAAATCCTCGGTGATAAAATAATCTTAAAACGTCCTTTTAGAGAGTCTCACTTGACGGAGAAAAATATAATCACGTAGCTTATGTAAATAGCCCTGGTATTATATGCAAACAGTTAAATGCCTATGCAGAATGCATATCAGTGCCCGTCCCAATCATTTAAATATATTTTCATCGTAGCGATTTCTGCGTGCAGTAAGAAGCAGCGTACGTGCTTCCAATGTTAATATTATCGAACGAGTTGCCGGGTTTTCGAGGTTTTTCTCGCATCATTTCGTGTCGGAAGTTTGCAATCTCTTCAGGACGACATCGGGAATTCGTTTCTCCGCCAGATTGCCCGTCCCGGGCAGTCGATGTGGTATCTGAGATCTTTCGTCCAAATTATTATTCGCCGGCAGATTATTCGTTTCCATAGCGAGCAATTGAGACATCGGCAGTGCCTTCTCGTTGAGGTTCTCCGTACCGGGCAGTTGACCGTCGACTACGTCCGCACTGTTGTCCAGATGATGATGGACGTCATCATTCAGGTGATGCGAATGAGGAGCCGCCAATGTCCCGTAAATGCCAAGGAAAAGCACCAAAAGCTGTGTAAAGATCATTCGAATTCAGCGTATTTGCATATAACGCTTAGGTTTAAATGGACTCGAGCTTATTGAGGAATATTCGACGTTCAATTGGGCAATAATAATTACGATTGAAATATTGAACAGTCTCGATGGAAAGTCGTGCCTTGAAATATCTCTTCGTTTGATCATCTCAATTCACAGCGTCAGTAAAACGACCGGGATCGGGCGATTACTACGTTTTACGTTTGTCGTCGTACGTAACGTGGCTGGCATCGGGAAAAAAGGCAACTCCATCGTGGAGAGATCACATGCTAGATTTATTTCCGGAACGTGATGCGCATTACGCCGGATTTACGCGAAATTAATTCGATGCCGTCACGCGGCTACACGCGAATGAATAACGGCCGCAAATTCATGAACCCAACTCGGGTGATTTTTTTTCGCCTATTGCGTCGGACATTTGTGGTATGAAATAGCGTGATTTGGGAGATCTCCCGTATATCGGCCAGGGATCTCGTCGAGGAAAAAGTTGCGTGAAATTTCAAGAGAACCTTCGAGAGTTGACGCGACATTCGCGTAGGTAAGTGGCTACGTAGATGAGTAGATGGGTAGAGGTCCAACACACGCGAAACCCAACACACCCCCACTATTTTATATAGACACGTTCGCGGCCTCCACTTCACTTGACCCAAATCGCGACCAGGTTAAAAGATAACCCACTTTCTCGCGATTGACTAGAGATTCGTCGAACGGGACAAAGTTATTTCTGCCGCGGATAAAAATGATTTTTTTTTCCAGTCTCCGAGACCGGTCGCGAGGTGCGGTCACCGAAATAAGGTGACCGCACCTTGCCCTCGAAAAAAAAAAGAAAAAATCGATAGCTAATTTTATCACTCTCGCGAGACGCGCGTCGTTGAGTAAGGACACCAAAGGAGGAAGACCAGGTGTGATCGTGACATCAGCTTGATGCTTCGACGAGCTGTCGATCCTATCTTCAATCAACTTCAGATCCAGCCATCTACGTGACAGAATTGCAGTAGCGCGAAATAGAAGGAGATATTCGAAATTCGATACAGTTCTTTGATCAGCATGATCTCGTTTAGACCATCCCTCGCGGTCGGCTAATCGCTTTTATCGCGAACGCGACGTGATTATATCCCCACGCGAGGATATTCCAGCGATATTAATTGCTGATGATCTATCCGAGTACCGTCAACCACTTTGCATGAGTAACCGCGTCCCGCCTTCAACGACAGATGTATAATTAGATTTTCTTGCTAAAATTATACGAACGACGAGAACAGCCCTCGGCCCCTCGGCCCCTTCCCTTGCCCACACAACCGCGCTAAGCATTCGCGTAATTTTAGCCACGAAATTTAATTATAAATCTCGCTACCTAAAGGCGAGGCAAAATTAGCGAAGGGCCGAAATGGCTCCATTTATCTCCCGAAAGCTGCTTCGTTTATTGCAATATTTTAGGGAGGAGACGGACCGCCGATAAAGGAGATATTAATTTTCTGCACGGTGAAAAGTATCACTTAATCATTACAAAATACAGTAAAAGTAGCAGTCAAACACTATCTCGAAGAGGTATCTTGTTACGACGATAAACGTCGACATCACTTTAGCAATCAACATCGGTCCTGATAATTTTACATTATCTCAGAACCGATAATTTACCACAATGACCGTTTGAAGTTTTTTATTCTTTTTTTGTGATTCATAAGAAAAAGAAAACTTTACGGTTCGTCTGCTGCGTTTCGTTTTCGGAGAAAAGACTTGCCGTGAATTCACAGGAGAATGCTCGCTTTCCACAAACCGCCGACAAAAAAAAATCACGCGATCAGAACCAAAGCCGCAAGCGCGATTTCGACATCACACTCCGAAAAGCACACGCGCTCCCGCCGCGAATCCTTCGAATTCTCTCTCTCTCTCTCTCTTACCTCGATCATGTTCGCTCGATGCGCAGCGGCCGACTATCCTCGGGAATGGCACGATGACACTTTTATATAGGTATACGCGTATATGCATGCCGACGCACCGGTCTTACCGCGTGGCGACGAATCGACGTTTTATTTTGGCGAGTCAAACGATCGCCCGCGACCGCCCGGGGCGAGATCTTTCGGGATTTATTTTTTTTCTTTCGAATGGAGTTATCAGTCTCAACAGCCACCGTCAACCTCCGTTCACATCCGCAATGGCGTAGCCGCCGGACTTTTTGTGGATGGGTAATTTTTAACCAGCGACGGAAAGATAATGGGTAAAGTACAGACAATAATATTTGATATATTTGAAACCTCGAAACTCGCGCGCTCGGGAATATAATTCAACGTTTGCGAGTTTGAATTTATAATTGAACTTCAATTGCATAAGTACTTACTAGCTTTCTCTCTCAAAGCTTCGAATATTTAAACTTTCGAATATTCTCATTTCTTCACGCCAAATTTCGTTATTCGAGTAAAATGCCTCGAAACTCCTCGAAATGTAAAACTTTGTGAGAACCTTCAAAGAACCGAAGTTTTAAACATGATTTATGTTTTTGTATTGTAAAGAAGTACCGACATCTCTTTCTCTCTTGACCGTACGCGTATCGCTGATTGATGACTCTATCGATACGTCAACGTGCAAATTGTTGTATCGAGTATTTCCCGCAGTCGTGTCAAGGCTCCGATGGGTTTTCCCAGTCGTTAGTGTCCTGAAGGATCTCGCATATAATTTCCGACACACACCTATCTCTCAACTTCCGTCTATATTCTCAATGACGTATCTACGAGGCTTCTGCTGAGATTTGAAAACTGGTTTCGCCCGCGGTCATCAATTAAACGATCGTTAGTTATCGCCGCACCGGTACAATCACGCGCATCGCACGGTCGCCTCCTGTGCGTTTTCGTACCGGCCGTTTGTTACATCGATCGATCCGCTGCATCCCGGTGTTTTCGCGCGGGCGAAAATAAGCCGCGGCGCAGTAGCAACGATATGGAAGACCTCGGGTTTTCAGACAGAAATTGCGCTTCCTTGGACGTTGTTAACATCTCGGGAGAGCATACTCCACCTGCTCGACTTTAGGAGGTGCTCGTTCCATCAGCAACGAAACGTATACGAGGACGCAATCCACGGGCCATCGTATTACCACACTATCGTCGACACGACAATTAGAGCCTGAATAATTCTATAGTTGATACATTATTAGTCTACGGTCGCGGTACGTATCAGTTTGGGAACACGCGATTATTACAGGTTTCGGATTCAATTTAATCCAGCTGCAACCGACATAATCTCCGTATGCCTGAATTTCGAGGCTTCTGATAAACTGTTCGGATGGATCTATTTACGCAGACTAAATCTAATATTAGCGTCGAATTATACCCGGAACTTCGTCGCGCCGCCAATTATCCGCTTACAATTGGCTGTGAAAAATTCGATGATAGCAAAGATGAGGTTGATTGATTATGACGACAAACGTCCTTAGAAATGCTCGCTATAACGGTAATAATCGAGCGGTCCGCTCACTACGATGAGAAGGCGATCTCGCCAAATCGCAGAATCACACACTGATCGATACCAATTGGTGTGTTTCACGTATGTAAATATTATTTTAAAAGATGGGAGTAAATTTCACATCAGGACCTCACGACGTTTATTTATTGAAAACTGACTAGCGCTCGTGTTGTATCTAACTGTGTCGGTCCGCGTCACGGTTCGCAAAAGTATTGTACATCGACCCAAAATTAACAGCACCGTGCCGTCAGGTTACTAATTTGCTAGGCGATGCAGTCGTTACGCTACGAAGTGGCATATTTACGGGATGAAAAGTCTCGAAATGCGCGATATCTCGCAAAATGCGCAATATACGGTACGCAATAATAAAACGGTATTATATGGCGATTCTTTGATTGTCTCCTCCTACAGTGCCTATTTTTACAGTAATATAACTTCCCGTTTCAATCTCTTCAATTTCACGAACTAAATGATTCACACCAGCCTGGATATCAAATGTCCGCTTACTTTCATTTCGCGAGGGCGAAGGTAATTGAATATTTTTAAAACGCAGTGCTCACACACTCGCGTCCACCATCAGCCAGAAATAACGGAAAAAGATACAAAGAGAAAGAGAGAGAGAGAGAGAGAGAGAGAGAGAGAGAGAAAGAGAGAGAGAGAGAGAGAGAGAGAAAGAGAGGGAGAGAGACAGACCGTAGAAGCAAGTAGAGTTCCGACGAGGATGAGGAAAGCGATTTTAAAAATAAATCCCTGTTTAGCGGGAAAAATTATCTCAGAATTATGTCGATGAAAGGCGTTAGCTCGGTCGGCTTTATCTTTCTCGGCTTAAAACAGATCGAGCTGTCGTTCGCGGTGAATGACGCTCCGTCAGCCAGGCCGACGTGTGACGGCGGCAGGAACCTACGGTGACATCATTTGCGATCACAAGTGATCTCACCGAGGGTCGTGTGACGCCACGAAGCCCTATTTCACTCGATCGACCAGGTGTTGCGCGATGTTACGGTCTAGTCGCGTGGAGGAAATGCCCGTATACCGGCACGATGACGTCACGGAATTCTATTCCGTCTCACCGAGGAGGGCACGCTCGATAATCCAGTTTTTCTGACGTACTCCGGGTGCCTACGCCTACGCGAATATAACATGACGCTTGTGTAGTAACGACGTAAGAAAATTGCAATGTAAAATGTCCGGGGTAACGTCATATTCAGCGTATCGAATGTTTTCATCTTGCTCGATCTCTTTTCGTTTGTACAAGCACGCATCTAATTTTAAAAGTTCTAGCAAAAGAATAAGAAGATTTTGAATATATTGCAAAACTCTTCAAAATATGCAAATATATAAAACTCTTCAAAAACGCAGCTGTCATTAGAAATATCTAGACACATGTTGTGCATGTGGCATATTGTAGAAAAAGAAACTTCAAAAGTAAAATATTGTATATACAATAAAACTCTTCAGAAACGCAGATGTCTTTAAAAATGTTTAGATACATGTGCATAAAGCATGTGCATAAAGCAAGTAGAAAAGAAAATGTCATTAACAAAAGGAAAGATTTATGGCATTTCAGGTAACTTAGGCATGTTGTAGAAAAAAACCGTCCTTAACAAAAGAAAAGGTTTATGACCTTTTTTCTGGTGTTCCTCCGTGTTTAATTTTGTGTCTGTTCATTGCTAGTGAAAGTATCTTTTCAAAAGGACTCGTTAAAAACTCGTTCGCTTAACAGTTGAATGGTCGAAAGATGGAGCCTCAAGTGTAGCATTTTATCTTTACCGAAAGTTGAAAGCAATAACGGCGTTAATTTGCATAACGGCGTAAGCAATAATTTGTAGAAAGTTTTACCATTTTTACAGCATATTTCGAAACTTTGACGATTTTTCGAAATTTCGAAATTTCGAAAGATTTCGAAAGACGACGCTCAATGAGAAAACATTTTTCATCAAATTGTTAGAACATTTTCGTTCGTTAGAAGTCAAAGAACTGTATGTATCTCGGAGTGCATCAGAGAAAAAATATGTAAATCGTTTCATACCCTTTTCGGTTCGTGTGTTCGCATTTTGTAGATATACACCGTTTTCAAATTCATCAAACAGTCTCACGACGTAGAGCGCGAGGATAGATTCGCGGGTATCCCGTGTAAATACGATCGAAACGACCCTCGTGTGAGAGCGACGAACGCACGTACGGCGCATTCAATCGAGTGCATTAAAATAATGCGTGCATCGCGCAACTCTTAAATTAGTCATCGTCGTCCTCCTCCGCGCCCGCCCTATGCCGCCAACCGCAATGTTTCGGCACCTGCTTCATGCGCGTTGCCGTGTGTTTCTTTTTTCTTAAGGTTCTAAATGAAAACAGCGAGGACTAAAAATAGACAGTTTGACGCACGCTGCCGGCGCTAAGGTAAGTAAGCAACATGAACCGTATGTTTGCTCTTTCCCCTTGCGCTATAGTCTTGCACCGACGCGCGTGCAGTGCGTCGTTGTCATCGTCGAGAATTTCGCAACAACGAAGAAAGAATATAAAAACCATTAAAGTACATCTCAATAAAGAGGAGTAATAATAATCACATACATTATAAAGTCGTTATAAAGTTAATCCGAAGCTGCTGCATTGTGAGAAAAGAGGATGAGGAAAGTGTGCGCGGAGCACTGAATCGTGCAATGAATTTCCTTCCAAAGCCGGTCTAGGCGTAAGCGATTGCCAAAAAATATAATAAATAAATAAGCTCTCATTGTAACAAACGACAGAAAACTCACTACTGGCTGGCATTACTGTGAAAGCCGAGTCATTCAATTCTGGCAACAGTTATTCCGACAGTTCCAAGGTGTCATTTCCACGATTGTTCTGCAATGAAAAGAATAGAAAATTTTGCTTGGAAAGTTAAAAATAGTTCAAGTTACTGCAAATTAATGAAGTACAAAATAAAACATTCATTTTCGATGCTCGCAAATGGAACCGTGTACTTTATATTCATGTTCCAATAAATGCTGTCGAGATAAATTTCACGGCTTGAAGCAAAAAGCAGGGGTCAAATTTAGCGGAGGAACGAGACACTAATCGAGTCTCCAATATTCCAGACAAATATTCACTAGAACGGAAGAGCGTATGAAAAAAAATTATGATTATTTCACGAGTTATTTTCGCACGAGGAATCATCCCCTTTTCGATTGTGCCGCTTGAGAAATCCATTTGAGAAATCTGAAAACGGCCGCTTCGACTTCGAGAAATCTTCCAAGCAACAAGGAGGAACCTAATACTTGCTATTCTCGTTCTCAGCGAATATCCCGCGGCTCTCCTATGTGAGATGTTTCATCGACCGCGTTCCGCGAAACCGTCTCGACTCGATAATAATTATGTACTCTCGATTCCGCGGCTGCGGTCGTTGCGGGTGCTTCCGCTCCCTCCTACCCTTGCCACTCTTTTTGCGCGTCTCTTTTTATTCAGACATTGCATCATTATTATGTGTGTGCAACCGAGTCGCATATTCCCGTGAGCGTGCTCCACGTACACGTGCGTATATTGTTGCTTCAGCGTAGGTGGAGTGAGATCGAGTACGCACTTGCCGGCGATAAGTAAAGCCCCTTCGACGAACCCGATCTTTTCCTTGTTTTCTCTCTTCCTATCTTTCCCTCTTTTCGCGTTTTTCCTCCTCTTCGTATTACCCTCTATGACCCGTACTCCGTGAAACTACTCGAGGGCTGGCCGCACCAACGAGCGGTGTCTCGAGTGAACTTTGTCCACGTAACGATACGCGAAATAAACACTCTTACTGGGAAAATACTAATTCGCACGCGCGAGGTAACACATGAGAGGATTGAGAAACGCCCAAATTATTCCCTCGGTTCCTTCCGAGTATCGTCGGGTGACAAAGTTGACTATCACGGAAGAAAGCGACTGTATGGGAGGTGGGAGCGGGAGGGCAGCTTTTCTGCGAATGATAAATATTCCGAAAGTTCAGTGGCAGCTTGGCAAGCGAATCATGCGTGCTACGTGTAATCATGCCAGCGCGGCTCCGCGAAATTCACGAGATAGACAATAGAGGCGTCTGGTCTCGGTCGGCGGTATAGATACAGAGCTGCGTGAAACAACAAACCGACATAAAACTCCTCACCTACGCTGATTTCTCGCAGCAATAATAAAAAATCGTCGGGCGCACTGTGCGCGCGATCTTGCGTTTTGGGATCTTTACGCTCCTGTAAATTAAGTCCGCCTGCGTCCCCATGAAACCCGGAGGATACGTTCGCACGAAGGCGAGGTCGATGACGCCAATACGTTTCACTATCCCGCTTTCTCGAAATTTTGCCGACGTCAAGACGCTTCGCGCGTACTTGTCGCGGACGCGATGATTAACAAGCAGGTCGATTCGCGACGATTCGCGACGATTGCACAATGACTCGCACTTGCACTTTATATCGATTGCGATACCGTTTCTCCTATTTATATCTTTAATATCCGGCTGTGGTGCACAGCCGAACGCATCTCTATGGACTTCGTATACTTGACATACATTTTAAAAATACTTTCAGGTGCAAAATCGGGCTCGTGACGGACGCGTGTAATCCGCATTATTTAACTACTTTCGCGAGGAACTCGAGAAAATTATATCACACGTAGTCCAGGGAGAAGATGAATGAAAAATTCAGAATGGAAGGAGCATGTTTGATCGTTTACTCTTCCGAATTATCTCTTCCCACCGCGTAGACGACAATAATTAAAAACACCTCTCGTCGCGGTACGACGCGGACGCGCGAGATAGAACAATGAATCTTAAATGCAAAGTGTCGCTCGCGCGGCGTGCACGCTTCTCTCTTATTTTGCTCGATATTTGTGGAGGCTGGAACAGTAGTAAACTGGCGGTACGAAAAGTCAATAAATCCACTTTAAGTCGATCCGTGTCAATAATCCATTCGCGCAGCTACAAAAATATACTCGGCGAACTCAAGCGTCACCGAAATGGCTTTATTTCGCAAAACTCGCAGTCAGACAAACAATAAAGCTTTAAAAAATAAAAAACCGAACATTCTGTTATTTTTTTCGGCGAGCACGGTTAGTTCTCGAAATTCGTGGAAAATAATATGGTAGATCGACCTCAACTCTTTCTGCCATACGCTTATCGTTTCACCGCGCCTCCTTTCCGCTCGCAGGAATTCTCATCGCTCACTAGCGACCGGTGATCGAGTCCTTGCTCCTAAATCTCGAGAATGCAGCGATATTATCAATCGCCTAGGACAATTAACGCGCGAGTGTGTGGCGCGTCGACGGCGGGTGGAATTAGAAAAATCAATTTTTAGCCGACGTACGTCTGTTGTCTCGTCATGCCTTTTTACGGCCGAGTGAGAAAAAACCAATAGAAACAGAGCGTTGCTATTTAAACGCGACTATGGTAATCCACGAGACTAAAGATATCCCACGACGTAAAAGCGATCAATGGCGACACGTGGAAAAGAGCTCTTTCTTTCTCTCTCTCTCTCTCTCTCTCTCTCTCTCTCTCTCTCTCTCTCTCTCTCTCTTCCACCCTCTCTCCCTCTCTCTCTCTTCCACCCTCTCTCCCTCTCTCTCTCTCTCTCTCTCTTTGTCTATCTACTCATCTGCGGAAAATCCAGTCGCGGCGAACCTCACCTTTATTTATGCAAGTATTCCGCTCATGTAACACACGCGACTCGCCGATTCGCGTAATGCGTTCGTTAAAAAAAGCTACCGCACGACGCACGGCTCGTTCTACCCCCTATCGCCCGATATCGCTCCCCGTGTGCAGCCCGCACCCTTTTACAATCCACGTCTGCGCGGCTCCCTGCGGCCGGGTCTATAAAAGCGACACGGAGCATCGCGACGCTCCAGACGATGAGGTACGCGCAGTACGGGAAATGTGACCAAACGTCGTCGCCGTAGTCGTCATACTCGCCGCAGTCGTGCTCGTCGTGTCGATACCTCGCTACCTCCGCTCTCTATTTCTGTGCCGTCTGTCGGCTGACACCTGCCCGAAAGCGAGAGAGAGGACACGGTTGACATAATTCCGCAGACGTCGCTGCTGATTTCATTCGGCGTTTGTGACATTTGTGACCAGCTGACGTACGCGTGTCACGACGTCATGACACACGAAGATGTGAAAAAGACGATTCACGCTTAATGACCGGGACTTGATTGGGAACGAAAAAAAGAGAGAGAGAGAGAGAGAGAGAGAGAGAGAGAGAGAGAGAGAGAGAGAAAGAAAGGGAGTGATTTATACGCGTACACTTACTGACGTATTGCCGTTCATTATTTATTGTGCCAGTGTGCCAGTGTGCTGACGTTTCTGTCGATCGTCGTGTGGATTTCTCTGTCGTGGTACGTATTTGTCGTGCTGTCATTTCACATTCATCGTCGCTACATGAATTTCATTCACGTGAACCTGCACGAACGGCTGGTGCCGATGTGCATGTCTTACTCCTCGATTATTACCGTTCACAAATTTTCCATTAGACTTCACCTTGGATTGCCGCGATATAACTGCTCGCGTTTAAAGCTCGTTTAACTTGTACTTTACGAGACAACAGTCACAAATTCGAAATTTTATCGCCTGTACATTTTTGTAATAATAGCAAGACGACGTTCTTATGTCATGGATGATCGAAAAGTTTCTCGGTACTCGCTGAGAGCTGAGGGTCGCGAATACATACATAATATGAAAGTGACATTCGGTATGAATTTCAGCGATCACGATTGATCCGTACGTGTAACTCCTCGAGGTCTTCCCGTCAAATTTCACGGCTTACAAAAATGCCGCTTACGAATTATCATAGTTACATTAGCATTTAACGATAACAGCGTGAAGCTCTGATAACTCCTTGATGGGACATCGCGATAAGTTAACACATCGTAATCAGCACTCTACCACAGTTTCCCAAAGACTCCGACGCATTAATGACTCACGTTGAGAGATCTCCGCGACACTTGCGGCGCGTTTAATCGTTCATTGTCGATCTTTATGCAGGCGTGTCTGCTAAACCGTTTCGTTAAACGCACGGCCCGCACGCAAGCCAAGGTGTACACACCGCTAACCGCTCGCGTGTATTAAAATACACGTAGTAAACGTAAACGCTAAATATACCCGCGACTCTGAGGCTTGTCGGAATTAACCGGTGCAAACTGACGGTAACACGAAAAAAGAACCGTGACACAAAACAATGAGCGGAAAATAGGCGACTCGGTGCGAAACCGCGCCGCCCGATTCGTCGAGAGGAAGATCGCAAAGGAAAAGAACACGGTATTTTAAATACCGAGCACGAGCGACGTTTACTCGACGCGCAAACGAATACGTAATTCACGCGGATTGATAATTAAAACGAAGAGAGTTCGCGGTTCCCCCCCCCTTCTGCCCGCCTCTTCCCCGTATATATAGCGCGTCAAATTATTAAAATGCACACGATCACGCCAGCCACAAGGTCCGTTCGAGTCGTGTATCGCATTCATTTCGCGGCGCAACCACGTATACGGCGATCGTGTTTCTCGTCGTGGTCGGGCGAATAAACGGGTGAACTCTGCGTCTGTCTCTGTGCGGCTTAATCAAATCGCCCGTTAGCAATGCCCGTGCGCAGCAATCGGACAATGCACGCGATCCTACTTCGAGAGATCGTCAAGCTACATGCTTCAGCCAGACTCAGCCGTGAAATCTCGCCGAGTCGTCCCATCCTACGTCAGACATTGACGGCACGTTGCGGTGAAGACGTAGTTTTCGATATTGGCGTTGCGTATTAGAGACGTAACGCTGCGTTTCAGACTTCAGGGAGGAATCCGCATTCGCTCGGCGGAAAAGTTTCGGGACTCGGCGCCGACTAGGCTCGCGCGCCGCCGACCGAAACATGGTCCTTGCTATTGATCTAGGGAGGCTCTAAAGCGTCCTGGGCTCGCCCGACCACCCTCTCTCGCCCAGTTTCGCTCCCCGTTGCAGCGCGAGAGCGCGACTCTCTGCAACGAGACCAGGCTGTGGCCAAGTGGCATTAAAGCGAGAACGAGGGATCGCCGTCCCGGTGGCGGCGATCCAAAAGATCCTCGCCACCTCCCGCGTGTCGCCGGCTGAATTATCGATCCGCGAGACGATCGTAAATACCGAACGGAAGCGCAACACTCGATCGTATTTTCGCGTGCGCGCGTGCCCGCGAGAGAGAGAGAGAGAGAGAGAGAGAGAGAGACAGAGAGAGAGAGAGAGAGAGAGAGAGAGAGAGCGGCCGCATCCGCGGAGCCGATGACGCACGTGCGACTACGCGCGGCGGATGCGGCTTGAAAGAAATCGAGCTTGGCGTCCGACAGCCGAAGTTACCGTCGGATAGATTGGCATTCTGCTTAATGCAACTCGCGTGATCGATAAGCACCGATAAGCAAAGTCGAAGTGCTCGAACTATGAGAATGACGAAAATAGCGCAAAATCGCTCCACGTGTCCCATGACTAGTCGCGGATATCTCGAGGACTCAGGGTGATCTACGTGACGTTATTTCGCGAAGTGGGACACGTTGGCTGGTCAGGATACAGTGGATATTGTTCTTCTTCTTGCGGAAGGAAGCGTGGGAATACGCTCCGGAATAGTTGTCGCGTTGACGATCGTGGGCGTTAGGGTACGAGATCCGCTCGTCGTTGTCACGATGGTTGATGTTTCTTTAATAAAACATCGACCAAGCGCGACGTCCCAGCGCGAGCGCATTTCCGACGGATGAAATTCCAATTTCCTCGCTGGAAATGAACGTGTACGACGGCTCGCGCGAAAGTAGCAACCGCCAAGAGACAAACGCCGGGCTATTATATGCGACGGCGATTGAGATCGAGATGGAAACATGCGGAAAATACGGAATGCAATCAAGGAAACGCGGTACATCTATAAGAGTAAATTAAATCGCGTACACAAATTTAAATTAAATATTCATTTTCATTGGCCAGTCTCCCGCGAGACCTCTCATTATCACCTCTGCACGTCATTAGAAAAGAAATTAGATCAAATAAAAAGACCGTAAGCGAGCGTTTGCCTCTTTTTTCATTGCAGATGAAGTTACACGAGAAGAAAGAGTCCGGCATCCACAGGGTGCAGGAGGTGCCGCTCGAGGAGCTGGAGCTCCCGAAAGAGTACAACGTGGAGAAGACCTTAGGCGAGGGTAGCTTCGCGAAGGTCTTGTTAGCGACGCACAGGGCCACTCAGACCAGGGTGGTGCTGAAGGCGGTTCACCAGGAGCTCACGTCGGAGAAGGACTTCTACCGGGAATTCCACTACTCCTACCACTTGAGCCCGCATCCTAATATCCTCTGCTCATACGCGGTCGCTTTCAAGGCGGAGAAGTGTTTCGTCTTCGCGCAAGAATACGCGCCCTACGGCGACCTCGCGGGCAACGTGAAAGCCGGCGGGCTGAGCGAGGATGCGTGCAAGAGGATCGCCGGTCAGCTCGCCTCCGCCCTCGATTTCATCCACTCGAAGCAACTGACTCATCGCGACATCAAACTGGAGAACGTGCTGGTGTTCGCGCAGGACATGACGAAGGTGAAGCTCTGCGACTTCGGCTGCACGAGGCGCGAGGGCACCCTCGTGAACAAGATTCGCTGCACCTGGGTGCCGTTCCAGCCACCCGAGATCCACGAGGTCATCAAGAACGAGCGGTACGCCTGCAAAAGGAGCTCGGACTGCTGGCAGTTCGGCATCGTGCTCTTTGTCTGCCTGACCGGCAATCCGCCGTGGCAGAGCGCCGATCCGATCCAAGACCCGGATTACTCGGCCTTCCAGCGATGGCTGAAGAGACGCACTACCAAGATCCCGCCGACGTTCAGGCGATTCACGCCGCGACTGCTGCGCTACTTCCGTCGCGCGTTCGAGCACAAGCCGGAGAAGAGGCCACATGTGACCGAGATCAACAAGTACCTCAAGGACTCATGGTGCATCAGCAAGATCAGCCACAGTGCGACCTCCACGTCGGTCGACGTGAGCGAGAGTCTGGCGAGGCGCGGCGACAGCCTGCTCTACCTTGACACGATCTTGGATGACCGGCATCACTTCGACGAGAACAAGAACAAGCTGAGGAAGCTACTCAACAGCTACGGCCTGGAGACCACGGTGGACCAGAAGGTCGTCACTAAGAGGATATGGGAGTGGGTGATGCAATGCGACTCTAACGTGGACGAGCCCGGCCTGATCAGCGGTTACAGCACGGAGGACATGTGAGAGATAACGAGGACCTGCAGCGAGCCATGCCTTCGGCGCGCTCAGGAGGAACTCGGCAAGTTCCGAATGGGCAGCCTTCACGTGCGGACCTCGCACAGATGTGCCAAGTAATGCCAGCCCGGGAGTAATGCTGCTCACTACTCGGGAAATAGAACACGGCTCCACCGATGTCCCAGAGTGTCGGAAATTCTATGCATAGGCGGACCAATTAGAACGAAAGCAACTTCCTCGATTAGCGAGAGAACGAGGACTCACACGGCAGAGCTCGAGAGGGACAAGAATGTCCGTAGCGATCGGCAAGTTAGATAATGACGAACTCCCGTAACGAACAGTCCCAGAAGAAGGTGTTGTATGTCCAAGGAAAGCGCGTTATACAAATGTGTCTGGAAGACGTTCCGACTTTTAGGTGCGTCTGAGTTTATAGTCTTTCGAGGTGTAAGACGCTCTAGCAATTAATTGTAAATGTGATATACACGTATCTAGGTAGACGAAGAGAAAATTCACTCTTTAGCCGAGGAAAGATTCGGTGTCGGAGGGTGTCAAGCTGGTAATTAGCTCGGTGTACTAACTGTAGAGACAATAATGCTGATGACTTGCGTACGACTTGCGTTACGTTAGTCAGTTAGTTACGTTAGTCCCGATGGTAAACCGATGGTCTTAGCGATGCCTTATGCGCGACTAAACGCGAGATTAGAGACAACCACGTAGAGATATTTTCTGTATCGCCAGAGTCTGTGAGGAAAGAGAAAAGAAAGGTACCCGTTCTCGTTTATATGACAGCGACGTAACTATCGACAACTAGGCAAGAAGCGAAAGAGCGAAAAGACTGTATAACCCAAAACTGTAAATTCGGAAAAGATCTGTCCTGTCTAGTGGAATACTACGTAGGACGATCGTGAGCTCGAATTTTGCGCTCTGCGTAACTTACTGCACGCACGCGTTCCTCCGAGATGATAGATCGTTCGTTAAACGCGAACTTTTCAGAAGAAAGTGCCGTAATATATTCAAAGAGCCGACATAGCCGTGGCAAAGACACAAGTGAAGGGATCATAAGGCGAGGATGAACGATCTCACGATGAACACTACTACCGGATTCGTTAATTACGGCAAAATGCGTAATAATCATACAGATGTAAATACATTTCTACACGTAGAGACAGATATATACATTTGCGTTCGCTATATACGTGTACATATATATATATATATATATATACGTGTATACGTATGTATGTGTAGCCCTATATATATATATATAGTACACATATATTCTTGTAGCGGTTTATGGTGTAACATGTAGAGATTCCGTTTGTACGAGTTAGTCACGCCACTTGGTAACGGTGATATAGACATAGCGCGTAATTCGTAATTTCGCACGCGTTGCGACATCGACGTTGTCGTAACGGTCTCTCGCAAACGATCCCGTCACAGTTCGAAAACACCTACGGATAATAACACGTCCGAGGAAACGAGCTCGTTTTCTCGCGAGCAAAAGTCGCGAGTCAGTTGCGAAACTCGTCGTCGTAGTTTGCATCCCCGCGAGCGAGCGCGAGCTAGTCGTAAAATCAAATCGCACTCGAACGATCATACCGATTATAATGTTCGCGACAACAATTGCAGTCGATGATAAATTTCAACTTCTGCCGAGTCTTCTGACGAGTCTCATCTTCTCGATGCTACGAAAGATAAAGAACCCTCGCTCGTTAACGTGAAGGATGCAATCCCCTGTCTTTCTTTCCCGAAACTTCGCAACCGAATCGTTATCCGGACGAACTGTAAGCTGATGGGTCAGCTTTAAAAAAACGCGTCGATAGCTGAGGATCTTGCAAACGTGTGTTTCGATACATTTGTACGCTGAATGTCGAGGAGAGGCGTGGCGAGGACAATACCTCGATCATCTCATCGATGTATCTCGATATTATCCGACGCGTGAGTGACTGTCAGCAACTGTCAGCGATAGACAAGTAGCAAGTCGTTCGCGAGGAAGCCGACGTAAGTGGCCTCCGTTGAGAAGCGCGAGAAGCGATGTTTTGTATATATTGGAATAAATCTTGAAATTGTACAAAATGAAAGCACGACGAGAGTGATAATATTTCCCCCGCGACAACTCTCATCTGCCGGCGGTACATTCCTTCCGGGGTTGTTGAAATACGTAGCAGCCGGAATTTATCGTCGCTCGGCATTACTTATGCATATCCGGTACATTATTCGCGCTAATACACCGATAAATAATATATCGCGCTTCGTTATTCATAATTATCGATATTGTCGTCGTCAGACTCCGAACTGTCTCGAGTAAAAGTGCTCTCTCCCTCTCTCTCTCTCTCTCTCTCTCTCTCTCTCTCTCTCTCTGTCGTAGAGACAAAGTTTCGACGCTACTCCAACTTCGCCGCCGCCCACGCGTGAATTCACGATCTTTGCGTGAAGTTGTATCACGTGTCGCGATTCTTCAGGAAGAAAATAATGAGAATTGGATCGCGAAAGGTTAATTACGGGCGCGTCGTCCGAGATTTGCGACATCGCGCGGCTCTCGCGCGTCCCGACGATGGGGAAAGGGGATGGTTAGCCGCCGCTCGTGGGTGTCGCTATGACGACGAACCCTGGATACCCGGGCCAGCTGAAAGCAAAGTACAACCCTCGCCTTCTCCCCTGCCTGCCCCTGCCAGGCATCGCCTCTCTCCCGCGAATCGTGTCCCACAAAGTGAATAGATGCGCCGCGCGCGGGATGTAACGTAGAAGCGCGGCTGTCCCGTACACATGTCGCGCTTGTCTCGCGACCGAAATAATTGGCAGAAAGATTGACGGACTATAAATTTTCTGGATTATGAGCGATTCGATGCGCGCTTGTGTTACGCAACAACCACGAACGCGAATATCTCCCGTTCTCCCCGCGATATATTTGCACACCGCCGCTGCATCGTAAGCATGCGCGCGCGGTCACGGAGTCATTAGTGCTGCACTCTAATTAGGTGAGTATATCCTGAGATCGACTTGACCTTGATGCGGGGGTGAGAGCACGCGAGAGCCCGGGGACTTCAGCCACCGGCAATTTTCCTCAGAAGCGCAGCATGAATAACGAGTTTCATGCGAAACTTCATCTCGCGAGGTCCCGAGAGGTAGTCTAATTACATCCACGTCTCAAGAACACTTCAAATTTCTTCTCTTTTGTAGGGGAAAACACATGTAACCCTCTGAAAAGAGCGTGTATGACGCTAAATAAAGAAAAAAAAAAAGAAAAAGGAAAACAGAAGAAAACGAGAAAGAGCTAGAGAAAGCTGAAGGAAAGATCGTAGAATAGAAGTTCTCTACATAAAAGTTCGATTTTTAACAAAGAACCGGCAAAACTGCGTTATTTTTGCTATTGTCGTTATTTTTGCTATTGTCTTTCCTTTTCTTTTCATCCCCCTTCAACCGAACCTTTCTGTTATCTCTTTTCGCTTTTTCACCGAGCACTCGAGTATTTCTTAAAACTTGGCAACCTTGGAAACAACATAATAGCCTGACTAATGACAATAGGCTTGAACGTATCCTTTTCCATTGTATCCATTGTTTAGTCTTTAACGAAGAACCTTCACCAGCCTCAGATTCATATGAAAGTTAAAACCTATTTCGTATTTGCAATTTTTTCTTTCATTTGTTAAACCGTACAACTACGTAACGGGTCGAACTCTCTCTTTGGTTCTTTTGCTACAACTTTTTTCCCATTCGCTCTCGTCCTTTTTCTCTTCGTCCTTTTTCTTTCCCCAAGCGACCTTGTAAAAACCGGCTTATAATCGGGACTATTAATTATGCCATTGACGTACACACATCAGACGGTAAGATCGACATGCACCCGCGTTCCATCATCTTTCCTTCCGATGCACGCGTATTTTGGACACGCGTGCTGCTATTTCCATCCACGTGATGGTATTCTCGGAGGCTTGTTTTGACAAACGCCGAACCGACTACTCCGACGGAACGTTATCTTCGCAAAGCGGACATCAAGTACATACACAGCAGCCGTGCTGTTTAAACGCATAGTAACATTGCGTTACGACGAGGGATTCGATCGATAGATTGGCCGGAGCGCCAAAGTAAAGCGAGTGTGTGCACGTGCAACAACACCCGAAGAATCGGGAAAACAATGTTGCAACGGAGAGATCTCGCGAATCTTACCGTTCATTTCGCGAGTCCCTACTAACCCTGCTCGGACAAATTGACATCGACGTTAATTTTAAAGAAGTCACATCTCTTATTTATTTGGTAACAACAACAAACAGTAACCGAAATAAAAAGAAGAAGAAAGTAAGCCAAAATTGACTTGATGTAATAATATTGATCGAAAAATCTAGGACAAAGGCAAATCGATTGAATAATACGTATAATAATTACCCAATATATACCCCCGCCAAAATAAACGACTAATTAGAATATATTTAGAACGAACGATCAGCTATGATGACGCGAAAAGAGAATTCACTCGATATTACTTTTGAGATAGGACAGATGTGGATAAATGAAACGATGAACGCATCGTCGTTACCAGCATCCGAACAAATTCGCACGTTTGCGCGTTATATAAAGAAAGAAAGTAAGAAAGAAAGAGACACACCACAGGCCATACCGGATGCTCAGAAATGAAAGATTTAAATCTGCGGTCACATAAAAGCCCAGATACCGAAAGATAATGTAAGTGTCGGACGGCCGGTCCGCAGACGCGCTGTCTCGACGAAGTCGCGTAACGCGGTTACTTGTCGAAAAATAAAGTCGGGCAAGCCGCCACCGGGGACGAGTATCGCCATCGATCCTCCGGTCCAACGCCCTGGTGTCTATTTTCATACTGCCCAACCTATTTATAATATCATCATACACACGAACAACGTTCCACTTGAACCAGTCGCACCGGTCGCAGCGACGCTTTTTAGCATCTTAACACCTTTTCGGACATGAATCTGCTCTTGTCTCGAGAGACGTCTAAATTTCAAAATATTCTAACGGACCGCTTCTACATAATTGTAAGGGAGCGCTTTCTGGAAGAAACCGAAACGAAACACAAATCTGTCTTCAAAAGAGATTTTTCAAATATGTCGTCCGGATACGGCGGTGTATTAAAAGACTTTAATGAAAAATCATTTCGCGACGTCGATCGGATTTTAATTCTTGAGTAGTTCGTTGAACTTTGAATCGCGCACACGTATATATTTTTATAGCACCTTAATTATACTTAATTTTCTCTTTCTCTCTTCTCTCCTTGCATCTTTCCCTCCCTTCCTCTCTCTATTTCTCTCTCTCTCTCTCTCTCTCTAGGCTTATTTTTAATATCTGCGTAATATACTTCATTTAGTCGAGAACGGTTCTAAAATATAACGGAAGCGAAACGAGACATGAGTTGAGATATAATTCGGGATCGATCTGTATGAATTTCGAAGATCCGCAAATTCTCGATTTTTTGCAGAGACGAATTTCCTCGCTTTTCCCATTCCCATCCGCTTTTTATTTTTATTTCCTTCCTTTCACCTTACCGATACCCTTCGGCGCTCCTTCGATATTACTTATCTCTCGCGGGTTTAAGGCGACTACCGATCCGAGTGGGCGGATTTACGACGCAGCCACCGGGGCATTTCGACGGTAGGACGATTGCCTCTTTGACGTCAAAGAAAACGCTCTCAGGATGCTACCCGGCGCGTTCGTGTATACGTATGCGGAGAAGGGGGGAGGGCCCTCGCGAGAGAGACAGGATCAAAGGTCGTTCGCCCCGTCATCGAGTTCAAGCGCCTCTCCGGGGCGGACCTATAAAGCAACCTATAAAGACGCTGCGATGATAAGGACGACGATGCGCGCGATTGCGCGCTGGCAACGCGAGGGGGGCGGGGGGAGGTATGTCTCGTTATTAGATATCGCGAATAAACTTCCTCGCCTCGACGGCTATCGACCATCGGGAGCGGGAGGAAAGGGGAATAACTGGTTTTCTTAATTCGCGTCCATTAAGCGGCGCTAATAAAAACGCGTCCGACGCCCGACCCCGCAGCGTCGACCCTTATCGCAGCCCTTAATCTCGATCCAAACTTAAAACCGAAAGCGGCGGTGCAAATTCGGAACGAGCGCTCCGTTCCGAAGAGGATATTCTCGGATCCGACGTCGCGAGCGTGTATACGTACGTGTGTAATGGTACGTAGTTTCCGTTAGTTAAGAATATCGCCACTATTTCTACGCTAGTCGATAACTTTAACGTAAATGTCGCATTTGAAGCACATAAATCAACAATGCTGCGTGTTGGATATGCATTTGCTGTTCTATAAATAATGATGGTATTATCATGTCATAAAATGCATCATTTATTATAAAATGATATGGGACTCGAATGCAATGTGCCGGGTGATCTTACGTTTGCACATTTGGAAAATTAATACTCGACAAATGAGACAAGTGTAATTCGGAGAGGACCTTGCGCCCTCTCCAATAATACACAAGTTAGTCCGCCACAAAAATGACAAATCTCCCAAAATTAGTAAATTTCTATTACGGTGAAATATATTTCTAGTCAACTATTCACATTGTCAGTAAAATGAAAACAACTTTAGAAATTTGAAAGAATCGAATGGAACTGAAATAAGATATTAACTAAAAGAGGGATCATTTTGCCGAGATAAGATATTAACTGAAAGAAATCACTAAATATGAACAATGACGTCGGAACGCTCATTCGATAAGGAGTAAATTGCCTCGTATCATCTTCTCATGCTATTATTGCGATATCGAGATAAAAAATGATGAAGGAACAGCACGAGAATACATTCTGTTCAGTGAATCATCAAGATATCCTTCTATCTAATACCTGAAAGCATCGAAAATATAACCCTATCTTTTCCTTTATTTCCTGCTTTCGCATTGTATGATGAATCATTTACTAAAAGCTACGAATACATTATAATCAAACGATAAAACGATCGTTAAAGCTGCCTTTCTTCTATTAGCCTAGGTGGATTTAGGCACACAATTACCATAAATTTTGTCTCGATATCGCAATAATAGCATGAGAAGATGATACGAGGCAATTTACTCCTTATCGAATGAGCGCTCCGACGTCATTGTTCATATTTTCCAATATCTTGTCGGAATAATAAATAATGAATGTTCTTTTCGGCATAATAAATATAGCCAACGAGGGTGCGGACTTATTTCGGACCGGGGGTTAATATTTGACGACGGCAGGGTTGCCGTCGGTGTATCTAAAAATACACAATCAATACGACCGACCACACATTAGAATTAAACTCACACGACGCGCACATTGTGTGTGTGTGTGTGTGTGTGTGCGTATGCGCATATATGTCATACGAGTAAGATTATCAGCCCCTTGCTAGAGGATTCATCTCGCACGTATACATATAAAGTTTTACATGAAAGAAGTACAAAAATATTTCATAAAAATTGCATGTCATTTGATGTGAATATGATGTGATGTAATCAGCATATAGACACGTTTGTATAAAATTTTTCGAAATAAGACATTGCTTTGCTTCATCTGGCTTTCGGATTTGTTTCACATTCTTTATACATTCCCGACCTTTGAAAAACCCGACCTTCGGTTACCTTCAGTAGTAAAAGCAGCTTAGAAAATCTTACAATAGTTTTGAAGCTGCTGAAAATACAATGTGCTTAACACGTTACGCTTTCTAATCCATTCTTTTTTTTTGTTACTGAACGCAGCTGTTTCACATTTCACCTCTTCAGGTAGAAAAACGACCTAATGTTTCAAAACATAACATTACAAAAACGTTTCTACCTAATTTATCTAATCTATCTACTTCTAACCTAGTCTAGAAGGTCGTTTCTTAAAAAGCTTTTCTCTTTTTATCTATAGCGACGACTTTCTGGTCGTTCTTCTATTTGAAGAAATGAAATACAATGTTTTCAAATTAGATAAATAAATAAATTTATGAATAATGCGACACCAGCCCTGAACTCAAATGTAGTATTTCTCCGCACCATTAAAACTTGAAAAGATATGAAATATTACATTCATTTTGCTCGTAACGGCCATTTTCAGCCTAGCAAGAAATGACTTATCGACGGTCGAAACTGTCAAATCGACGTCGATTCGACATTCTTTCGATATCTATCAGAGAGTGATTTCTCGCTGTGAACCGTACTGCTCATTATGTATGCAAGTTGGCTTATTTTCTTATTTCGAGATTGATAGGGGATTTCTGCATTATCAAGAGAGGTTATAATCGATCAAAACTCACCGAACGATACATTTCGCGCTCTGCACTGAGTTGCCCCAAGATTCAACTCGAAATCCGCCCGGTCTACGTTGCTGCGCGTGATTGTCGTAAACATCGTCGGAAATGTACTCGCGTCTTGGAATTACCGCTTTCAGCTCGCCGTCTTACGACCCGCCATTACCGAGCTGGTGTTTCGGACGCTTTCGACGTTTTCATCTTCGTCGAAACCTTTTGGCGACGTCCCGGCGCGATACGATGCTGCGTCTTGATTCGCCTTCTAAAATCGGCCGCAGAAAAGCAACGGGAGCGCATAAAAACCGTCTCGAACGAAATAAACCACAAACACGACACAAGTCCAGAATTTTACGCGCGCAAATGCATCCGACATTCGTAGCGCGAATCGAATGACGTTAGCGCAGTGAAACTTCATAACGATTTTCGAACGAGGTATCGATAATAAGCATGCGATTATAATCGCTCGCGCAATACTTGAAGCTAACTTCGTTTCTAATTTAAATGAGCACCGAGAAGTGTACTCGTATCATGTTCGGCTGTGTACTTTACAATTTTGCGATAATATCGCAAATAATATTGCGACGAGATCGCCTCGAACTTGCTAATTGTTTCTCCGTCGGCTTCACGAGATGTGCACTGGACCGAACTAATGACATTCGTAAGCACAGCGCGTGAACGGACGTTTCCGTACGGATCGAACGATTCCGATCGGAAGCCTACACGCACTCTATTTTGATTTTCTCCCGCGTGATAAAGAATTCATCGATCCTCGGAATTATACCACGCACAACAGACGCTTCTTTCTCGTGTTTTAAATAAATCAAAGGAATGGAGACGTTTAGATAAGGATGAATGTGAATATACGTCGTGTGAAACGGCAGCGACATTTTTATAAACAATTTGCAACGACAAAGTGTTTTCCCAAACGGCTAGCTAAATCGCATCTTTGGTTAAGTCGACATGAATTTTAAAAGAATCTTAATTTAAAGCTGTACCCATAGAATAAAATGTCTTTACAACGTACGGAGAATTCGAGGAAAGGGATTATGTTCGAAATAATAATTAGATTATATCAAACGTATAGAAAGTATTTATTTATTTTACACTATACACTAACAATGTATAAAAAATATAGAAAATGTAAAAATTGTCATATCGTTTATGTACAAAATACATATACAATAAAATATTAATCAGTCTTTGTGATATCACAATAATGTTACATGTGTGCTAACACACATATCATGATAAAATGGTAACATTAAGCTGATATTTCTTATCATCTATAGGAACTGATTAATCTTCTTGAGACTGATAAGGCACGACTGAATTCTAAACAGAAAAAAAGAAAAACAATAAAAAGAATTGCAATAAATTGTTAGAATCTCCATGATACATAATAACATGTATAGCATATAAAAACATTTATGGTCTTTGCTCTCCCTCTCTCTCTCTCTCTCTTGTGAGATACTTAGATATTTTTAAACAATTGTATTGTTATATCATAAAAATAATATTAATGTATATACATGTATATGTAGTATTAACATTAAATATATTATTATATTATTGAAGAACTTACATTTTGTAGAACCTTTCTTTGTATAGTTACTGTGCTTAAGTTGATATTCAAATTTTTGATTTTGCCTATTTTTGATAAAACCTTGATTTTGTTTCATTTTATTTTCTTTTCCAAGTGTAGTCCACATATCTTCAAACTCATCTTTATATTGTCTAACAAGTATTGGATCATTAATCACTAGTACATTTTCATGATTTCCAAAGAATGCCGTCATAGTCCAGTTTATACTACCTGTTATCAAGATACAACTGTCGATAACAGCAAACTTATGATGCATCAAAACACTATTATATTTTATTCTTAATTCAATATCTGCAAGTAAAGTAACAATATTAACACACTATAATCATTTTATTATTCTTATATAATTTTATATCTTACAATATATTCCAAATATATCTCTTAACACCAACCTTGTAATATATATGCCTCATAATTAGTTTCTGCCCGAAATAGTGTACTGCTATCTGTTATTATTCTAACTTTAACACCTCTTTTTTGTGCTGCAAGTATTGCTTTTCTTAAAACTGAGCATGTGAGGATATATATACATATATCCATCGACTTAGTTGCAGAATCCAAAATATTTTTTATTTTCCTGTAAATATATCATTTATTGCATAAAATTAAATATTATATAAGTAAATATTAAAATATAAATAAATATATATACACACAAAATATATTTTACTTTATAATATATCACAAAAGAATTACCTCAGATATCCTACTGGACACTTTGGCTTTAAACAAGCTTCCATAGTTGCTAAATGAGATCGACAATTAGCAGATTCAGTTGTGAAGAACATAACTTCAGGGACTAATGTATTTAAATTTGTTCTTTCTATTGCTTTACATATATCCTCTGTGCTTGAGCTTCCACTACTAGTTCCACTACTAGTTCCTTCACTACTACTTCCTACACTTGTAGCTTCTTCACTTGGAGTACCTTCTTTTGTGCTTTCTTTGCCTATACTGTCATCACTTTTGTTTAAACTGTTGTCTATGATTTCCTTTTCTGAAGGATTGATATATTTATGCAGTTTGTCCCAATATTGAGGTGCATTTGCGGCAAATACACCGGAACATATCAAAGCGATACCTTTTATCATTTTGAATGAATTTCAATCGTCTGCAAAGCAGAAAAAGTAGGAATAAAAATCGAAAATTTTAATACTATTTTAGTTAGTTTCTTCTTTTCAACTTAAGTATGTTGCATTTCTTCTATTTAGTAAACAAATTAAAAAATTGAGCATTAAAAAAGATTTAAGTGAAATTGTTTTACCGTATATAACAATATGTAAGAGGTATATAGCAAACTCACCAAATAATATTACCAAATATTCCGGCAATTTCCGACGCGAAAAAATGTTTGTCACAAGATTTATAACTTCATTTCCCGCGTTATTCCACGTAGTGATGGACAGGCAAACATATAAAAATATTTTGGAAGCCAAGAACTACTGTATACTACTCTCCCGTACGAAGAACTAAACTAAACAGTGGGAATTCCAGCGAATGTACCGGTATATATATACCCTTAAGAAGATGTGTTCTGCGCATGCGCAAAAGCGTAGACCAATCATAAGGCCATAGACATAGGCTGCGTTCCGATATTCACTGCTAGCACTAAAATTCTATGGTATACGTGACACAAACTATGTATTTTCAGTACTGACAGTGAATTTCGGAACACAGCCATAGTATGTCTAGACTGCGTGTTCGAGGAGTGGGAGTATAGCTCACGTAGAAAAGGATATACTCTGTTTTTACTGTTCGTCCTCTCTCGCACAGTCCCGATGGAAGGGGTATAGGGGAGGCAGTTGCTGTACACTCGCGAGCATAATAGTTTGTGACCGTTTTTTTGTAACTTTCGGAACGCATCCCGACTCGAGAAGAATGAGAGTCACTGGTCCGCATGCGGAGCACGCCTGCGCAGTGACTCACAACGAAAGGCGAGAAATGAAATATATTATAATAATACAGACTCAGTTGAAATGGATGTTCCAGCATTAAATGGAAATGAGGGAACACAGAACAGACAAGAATCATCCGATGTAAGTCTGAAGCCAGCGGCACACGGTGCTTATTTTCGTGCTGGATTGCTTGCTGGATGAAAATATTGCGTTCTGATTGGTGCATTTCCATCCATCTTCGAAAATATACCAATCAGAACGCAGTATTTTCATCCAGCAAGCAATCCAGCACGAAAACAAGCACCGTGTGCCGCTGGCTTTATACTCCGCGGGACATCCGAAAAAGGTAGAGATAAATAAACATGTTCATGTTTTTAAAACAATACGAACTTAATTAAGAGAATTAAGCTTACGATAGTTACGATTCTGTTATACATTTATTATTTATTATTTATTTATTCATAAATTTCATCCTCTCCATCTCCTTCTTCCTCTTCCATGTCCATGTTCAACAATACTAGTGCATTAAAGCGAGACAACTATATTTTTTCTCACTCCAACTTATTGCACCAGTTCAGCAATGCAGGTAAAACGAGCAGACCAACTGGCTGCGTTCCGAAATTCACTGCCAGTACTGAAAATACATAGTTTGTGTCATGTATACTATAGAATTGTCGTGTTTTATCTGCAACGAAGTAAATAAACCTTGTCCGTCCTTAGCGCATATGCATCTAATCGAATTCGCCATTAACAGTTCTAATAACATTGAACGAAACATTATAATCTAGGAAATAATCGAGATGAAAAGATATTATAAGATAATTGAATTTGTAAAAGTCATTCTACAATACGTGTCGTAAGTTGTAAGCCGTAAGAACTGACCAATTATGGCCGATTATTTTTATAATAATTGATTGTGATTCGCCAATTCTTACGGCTTACAACTTACGACACGTATTGTAGAATGACCTTTCGTCATTTTACCAAGCTGCAATTAATTAATCCTTGCAGGATTCCAATTGAATTTGCCTCTTTATTCCTTATTTTTTTCTCTTACTCACGGCGGTTTCAGTTAAAATCCTGCAAGGTTACTAAAGCCAGCGGCACACGGCGCTTGTTTTCGTGCTGGATTGCTTGCTGGATGAAAATATTGCGTTCTGATTGGTACATTTCCGAAGATAGATAGAAATGCACCAATCAGAACGCAGTATTTTCATCCAGCAAGCACGAAAACAAGCACCGTGTGCCGCTGGCTTTAGGGCGTTTTCCAGCTGAGCAACACTGTTACACACTAATATTTTATTGGCTACATATTATCTACAACATCTTCTTAGATAATGCATAGCCAATAAAATGTTTTTGTGTAACACAGCGTTTCTTGCTGGAAAATAACCTTAAATTAGTTAACTGCAACTTGCTAAAAATAGCCCTAATGCTCATTTCTACCAACCTTGGTTAACTTAACCGGTTGGTTATTCCAACGGAATCGACCAATCGCATTTGTCGTTAATTAGAATTGTTAAATCCGATGGTCCATTCCGATGGAATAACCAGTCGGTTAAATTAACCACAGTTGGTAGAAACGGACATAATGTCTGTTTCTGTCGGGGAGGGAATGCAAGCGTAGTTCCCTTGACTCCCCCTACTTCGGTCCAAGCGGTAGACACCCCGGTGGGGTTTTAGCCGGTAGGAGTCCGGCATAACCCTCGCCCTCCCCAAGGGGCGGGGGTATCCATAATGGATTTCCCCACCGTTACAAAAAAAAAATGTTTCTATCAACTATGGTTGATTTAACCGAATATTTATTCTATCAGAATTGATTATTCACGTTTGTTAATTCTAATTAACGACAAATGCAATTGGTTAATTTCATTGGAATAATCAGCCGTTTAAATTAACTAAGATTGATAAAAACGCATAAGACAGCATAAGACAAAATAATCGAAGTGAAATACGTTCTGATATTGAGCGTTTTCTAATTATGGAGTACCGAGGCTGCGTTCCGATATTTACTGCCAGCACTGAAAATCTATGATATATGTGACATAAACTATATATTTTCAGTACCGGCAATGAATATCGAAACGCAGCCTGTATTGCACAAAAATGTTTTATTTATGTGTTATGTGTGTGTGGCTACATATTATCTAAAATATTTCTTAAATAATGTATAGCCAATAAAATGCTTTGTTGTACACAGTGCTCCTTGCTGGAAAACCGCCGATACTAAAACTCTAGAGTGTATGTGACATAAACTATAGATTTTCAGTGACAGTGAATATTGGAACACAACTATGTGATATCGCCCATCCTTACCACTGTGTACTACGCGTTATAGTACATTGTGTACTGTGTGTACTTTGTAGCAAGTAGCCAAATGTTCGCGACGAGTTACGGTGCGGTCTTGTATGAGATTGACGAGTTGTAGCGCAACTCGACGGCACAGTATTAACTTCGAACGTTAATCCGCATTCGGGGATTTCGTCGCGTGTGTTGCTTGCGAAACCGCGAGACCGCACAAATGGTGCAACTGCCATGTAACACATATGCTAGGCTGTTGAGATCTTACGAGGTCTCTTAAGGGAAGCGCTACAAGCGGTATCAGCGCGCGACTCCCGAAAAACTAAGTTCAACCGGCCAAAATGGCAGAGAACCAGGACAATTCGTCAAGTCAGACCGGTCAAGGTACGTAGCCGATGTTCCTTGCCACGCGCGTTGACGCCGCGTACAAACGATCATGGAAAACCTAACCTAACTCACGATAGTATCGCCTGCTAAGAATATCAGCCTTCGCGGTTTACGTCCTATTTCGCGACATTTCACTGTTTTGTCTAAAGTTTCTATATTTTATATCACTTTGTGATTACATTTCAATTGTTCGTTACAGGTTCTGGTAGATCCTTCACTCTTCAGCGATTAGATTTTCGAACAAACAATGACGTTCAAAACGAAATGTCAGGTATGTATAAGATTCCAAAAGAAGTTAATGTCAAATGTCAGGTTGGTTCTTTGATTGCTGTGCTGTGCTGTGTGTTCTTATAGAGAAAAGAAGACAGTTGAAACTTAGTTTTCAAACGCAAGGCAGCAATCTGTCATTTGCCAATTCCACAAATTCTTCACTGTCAAATTCAACAGGAGCTACAGCATGTCCACCGATGTGAGATCTTATAATTTTGCCATTTATATAATCACTTTTATTGTAAAAATAAAATTGGTATTTTTTTTCATTCATAATAGATCCTCTCGTCCAAGTCTGCCTTTACCTAAGCTGCCAGTCAGACCACGCAATATGTTACAGCAGCAAGAGTTTCTTCCTGATAAGGCTAGGTATGAAAATATAAAAAGAAGAATAAGAAAAATACATATATATAATAAATTACAATGGAACTTATTGTAGAGACAAACTGCGAATGTGCCAGTCTATGCAAACTACTGGTAAATTGCAATTATCTCCAGATGTAGTGTATGACTTCACAAGTGAGGATCTTCAAGATCTTGGTGAAATAGGAAGAGGAGGATTTGGAACTGTAAATAAAATGATACATAGGATAAGCAATACTGTTATGGCTGTGAAGGTAAATTATTCAAATTTCTAATAATTTTAATATTTTAAATATTATATTTGCGCGAAATTTCTGAAAATGATTTATTCTAAATTTCAGAGAATTCGCTCTACCGTGGACGAAAGAGAACAAAAGCAACTATTAATGGACTTAGAAGTTGTGATGAAGTCGAACGAATGCCCGTGTATCGTGCAGTTTTATGGGGCTTTATTTAAAGAGGTATGTAGCTAAAAGATACTGCGAATCAATGTGCGATTGGTTACAACATTTTGTCTCTCACACACAGGGAGATTGTTGGATTTGCATGGAACTCATGGACACGTCGTTAGATAAATTTTATAAATTCATCTATGAGAGATTAAACGAGAGGATACCAGAATGTATTCTAGGCAAAATTACGGTGGCCACTGTAAAAGCGCTGAATTACCTCAAAGAGAAGCTGATGATAATCCACAGGGATGTGAAACCTAGTAATATTTTACTGGACCGACGTGGTAACATAAAATTGTGCGATTTTGGTATATCCGGCCAACTCGTAGACTCGATCGCGAGAACTCGGGACGCTGGTTGTAGACCGTACATGGCTGTGAGTTTAACTATTATCAGAATCAATGAATGAATGTTTCATATAAAGTTATCTAAATTACATTTTATGTTATCGCTGTCATCTAGCCGGAAAGGATAGACCCGCAACGGGCGCGTGGCTACGACGTACGAAGCGACGTGTGGTCGTTAGGTATTACGCTGATGGAGGTTGCCACGGGATACTTTCCGTACCCTAAGTGGAATTCTGTCTTCGAGCAACTTTATCAAGTGGTACAAGGCGACCCGCCGCGGCTTTCTCCCAACGAGAACGGAAATCGCTTCACCATGGACTTCGTGAATTTTGTGAATACATGGTAAAATAACTTTTACTCTGATGTCATTTCCATTGATAACTCGAGACATTTCTCACGACGGTTTTGTATAATATGCATGTTATTTGTCTTGAGCTTAATTAAGGAGGAGACTCAGCGACCGAAGTACAATAAACTTCTGGAACACCCGTTCATCAGACGAGCGGAAGAGGCGACGATCGACGTTGCGGCGTACATCAGCGGCGTCCTGGATAATATGGCTAACAACGGAGTGACACCGTTCACGGCCAATCAACCTTAAGTCGAGATGGCAGCGCGACAGGGCACATCACGTCATAGTACCTTGATTTTTGTCAGTCCTTCGGACTCTCACTCTCCGATTACCGTACATGAATGGTTTTACCGCACTCTCGATGATCTAGGTACAGGTAGCGAAACCGACTATCGTCTTGCGTAGAATCGTATCGTCTTGTCGCGTTATTGTGACAACCGTATCGCAAATAGCGAATAGGGGTGCGCGTCTGCAAGCTGACGTTTGTTGAAAATGCACGCATCGCGCAGTGATCCAAAGCTCCAGCCCTCCTGTTTAAATACGCGCTAAGATGTACGTCATCTTCCTCCTCTTCCCCCTTTCCGTTCCATCATCTCCACCTTTTCTCTTGCCTTTCTCGTTCAATACAAAAATCTAGATATGTACGTTGTGCTCCGATAGAAAAAGAAAGAAAAATTCTTCTCTATTCTCTTGATTCTCCGACGCAACTTAACCCGATGAATTTTTAGCGAATCGTATGTATGCGTATGTATGTGTGTATGTATGTACGTATGTATGTATGTGTGTGTATATGTATGTATGTTGAATGTATGTATGTATACATGCATACATGTATGTGTGGATATGTGTGTGGGTGCGCGCGTGCGAACTATATGTACCTATGTATATACCTATATATACGCATAATTATATCTTGCCTAAAAGTCTTGATTTTCACGACTTTTTGTAAGAAGCGTCAGAATAAACTCGGTAGGTACCACCGGCGAGATGAATCTGCCGGGACGGTACAGAAGATAATATCCAACATTGGCCGTTTTTTCGGTAATTTTCTTAGGACAGATTGAAATACGAGTATCAAATGTTAAGAAGAGTGCTGTAATGTAATGGAAATAAATCATTGACACTCGCATACAGAATGCCACTTCTTCCCCCTGTGTCACATCGACGTCGAATTTCCTCCGACCCGTATGTCGGAGGATTTTTATGCCTTGATGATTCCTTAACGACGGACTTCTATCTACCGGCAGGAGCGACCGTTTATCTGCCAGCAGGTTCTAAAGCTGCGGGCCCAGGTGCATTGCCTCGCCGGTGAACGGAAGATATTTTTCGTTAATTATTACGTTCTCGTACATTGACTCGAACAATTGCCGAAATTATTACCGTTAAATTTCCCGAAACAATTCGATAGACGTCTGCTACAAACGGAACGTATCTGCAGGTCTACATAAGAAAAGGATCAATATACATTCTTCGATTTTCAATTAAACAAGTGTGAACATTTATCAGCGTTTCGTGTATATATTTGCAGATTGCTCTTATATTTACGTTTGCATTAGTCGGCTAAACAATCGCCTTGTCGTTTTTTATGCGAGAGCAAACTTCGCAGGAACAAATTATAACTATAATCGATAACTCTGGCGATCGTGTACGCGCACCTGTCGTAGTGGTACCGTTTGCACAGGTAAGAAGATGGCGGTACATTGGTATTATGGCGGTTGACGGTGCTGGTGCTCCTGAAGCGATATTCGTCAGTTCTGACAAAGCTACTGGCGCTTCACGATTCATTTAGAAGTGTTGAATATTTCCGAGCCTCGCGATGAGTACGACGAAAAATTCGTCCGCAGAATTCAAAGTAACAGAATTAAAAGTGTCCGATTAATTTTTGATAATTCGTTGTGCGCGTGAACTCGATGTGGTACAGTGTCGTATCATAATTTAAAACATATATGTGTATATGTGTGCATATATATATATATATATATTTATATATACATGACATCACGCGTGGTTTCTGCGAAATTTAAGTTTGCAAATTCTCGACAAGACGAAGCCAATAATTCACAGTTGGAATCTTCAAAGTGGTGCAGACAGTTATTTGTCTGATTTCACAATCCTGTATCTTCGAGAACGTTGTAGAACATAATTTACAACCAAGTGCGCATCCGTGTCAGCTCGACCGCGAGCAATCTCGGTGAGTGTAATTTTACGTTTTTACAAATTATTTTTAAAGATACGATTATATCATGTAATTTTTTTAACATGATTTAGCTTAATAAATTACATCGAGAAGTTCTGTAACAATTCGTTTGGACGCAATACGCAAACAAGACTTGCGGACTAGCATGAAAATCGAAAGAACATTTCTCAAATAGCTTGAAATGATGCTACCTTGGAAATAAAAATTCGATGACAGATGACTCTGAAAAACGACGACGTCGTTGTCATCGTTTTTTCGTTATTTTCGAGGACTCGATGCTGAAGGAGAGACTAAGATCGTAACGATTTAATGAATTTTACACAGACGTCATTATCGCCACGGTTGCGGCGATAGATTGTCTGCTACTGCTGCTGCACTCGTCGAAATCAATTGTCTTGAATAATTGATGCGAGCGCCTCCGCCCTCCCGGAACTCCACGCTCGTATATTCGCTTCGCGTCTATATCCGTAACCTCCGCGTATTATCTAGTCTTTTAAATTGTCCACTGAAATACGTCCACATCATTGTTATTGCGATGACCTGTAACCATCTCTCAGGAGGACACCCCCACAGGCTACGGCCCGCTCAACCCCTGCGCTCTTTGAGAGGACGTTCGCGCACTCCTGCGCGTCTACATTTTCACATCGTATACACATACATACATACATACAAATATCATGCAGCGTTCTTTATTTCAAAATCGCTTGAAACAAAGGGAATCAGACAGTCGCGCTTATCGCGATCGCTTAAATGCGATCGAATCGACGTTACCGCGGGAATTCTCACATGTCGTGCGGTCTCGAGATTATAGCCGAGTGTAATCGTAGATCGCGCATTCTACGCCGTACTCCACATATTCTTCCCAATTTCTTTCCCAAGATTCGCCAATATTAAGCTATTCGATCGTAATTCCCGATACAATCAAACGTGGCAGAAACTAACGGAAAATATCGCCAATGTAATAACATCTAAATCGATTCAAATGGATTGTATATTGTCGTCCCATCCCATTGTGTCTTTTTACATGGCGCATAATGTTACGTTATTGCACGTAATATGTCGCTTTGCGAGCGATAGGCAGGTAAACGTAATGTAACGCGTGATATAAAGAAAAGGTGGTAGTGACTCACCTGACGCCGCGACGCACGGGGAAGGGCGGCAGGTGTCGGCTGGCTGGCTGCTGGTTGCTGATACTGACTGGGTGCTGCTGCTGCTGCTACCACCACCGCCAAGGTGGTCAGCAAGCCAGCCAGCCAGCCAGCCAGCCAGCCAGCCAGCCAGCCAGCCAGCCAGCCAGCCAGCCAGCCAGCCAGCCAGCCAGCCAGCCAGCCAGCCAGCCAGCTAGTCAGCTGGGTAACCCAGCAAGGCCGACAAGGGAACGGATGTTCCCAGGAGATTATTGATCCGTCGTGCAGATACTTCCACGTTGACGATGTAGCCAATAGGAGGACTTCGACTGGCGATGGCGTCTGCTCAAATTCCTCTCGCGCTTTATCACGCGTTATCACGCGAAATCTATAATTTAAACATAATAGAATTTAATAGTGAATTCAATAATGAATTCATCACAAAGAATAGATTTATAAAAATATTGTAGGATGTTCCACAATATACGCAGTACAACAATCTGTAATTTAATTTAACTGTAAGCCCCAAAAGGGGATGATTTGACGTGAAAAATAATAAACAAGTTACGGACGCAGATAGAAAACTTGCTGGGGGATTTCCTGATCATTTCTGTTTGATCACTAAAAGTCGCGTGTCTCCTCGTGATATTTTTTCGCCACACAGGACACCCCCAGAGGTGGGTCAGCTCTCCGTAAAACGCCCAAATCAGTCTACGTGTACGTCCTACGGGACTGTTCTACATCTGTGTTGATCCTGGCCGGCGAATCTCGTGCTAACGATGCCAACGGACGCCGACCAATGATGATGAGGTCCGGGCGAATCTCACACGCCATACTCGTCTTGGTCGAATGGCTGCGGCTCTTTCCCCTCTTTCTCGCTGCTGGTTATCGTAACTGGCGGTCGCTGCCTCCCCGATTCGATCAATGGAGGTACCTGTACCAAGGCGAATGGGCGAACACGTCCACCCCCCGTTGAAGTATAAGCAGGACGAAATGCGTATCGCCGTCTCTTCTCATTACATTCTCTTCTTGCGAGCTGTCTCGCTTGAAAAGACATTGCATAAGTAGTTTGTGTTTGCAAAACTCGAAATCAATGGCTCGTCATCGCAAAAAGCACGGCAAACTGTGCAACTTTGCGTATCCTTTTAAATATTCGAGCATTATTCTCGAAATATATTTGTTTCTGGCGAATATGAAGCCAATGATTTTTCTCGTAACCATAAATCGTGCATCTTTACATTAATCAAGCTATGTGCTCGATCATGAACGAACATAAGCAGTCCGCGTTAGTTCAAGGCCGTGCGACATGCGTATCAACACGTGGTATCCAAAGATATCTGTCATTCAAAATTTTAGCATCTTTCTATCGCGGGAGAGCAGCTTCGGGGATTTGGAACGCACGTGCCTGCGTGATTGATGTATTTCATAAGTCAATGAATATGCGGCCTTATCGTCGCGCTTTCCCATTATGCCTGAAATATTTCGGCGCGGCGTGTATGCGCGATACATATATGCCATGATCCACCAGACTTGTGGAGGGTGAGCTCCCTCGACTCATTTCCCTGGCTAGGGGAGGGTCTCTAAAAGGAAAGAGGGTCGCCGACGGGGTCTGTCCGGTGTGTGTGCATGGTCCACCTGCAAAAGGGAACCCAGCACCTGTCACTGCACGCGCACCGACTACCGCCACCAAGTCGCTGACGAGCAGGTAGACAACAGGCAGCGCGCGTACACCACCCCTTGCTACCAGTCGAACTCGTCCGACCGTGCCGTGTGCACACGCGCTTTCGTTCTCCCGCGTCGTTTATTATTTCGCACGTACGTCACACCTGTCCAGGAGTGTTACGCTGTATTGTGTCAGCGACAGTATTCGCTGGTAATCGGGAAACATCATCCAAAAGTGTTATATTGGTATCGTCGATCACTTGCGAATGTGATTTAATGTCTCTCCTACAAGAACGGAGGACCTGGAAGACGTAGTATAACAACGTGTGTCATTTTGTGTCACCACTTTGTGTTATTTCGTTGCAAGCTTTTAACAAATACTTCAGCACCGACAACTATAAATATCGTTGATATGATAGGGAGTACTGCGCCACAAAGTTTTGTTGTGAGATAATTTCGCGGCGAATACTGACGAATGTAATATTGGCGTGCTCCGGTGTGCTATCGCGATCGCCTCCTCTCTTTCCGTGAACAGTTATCGACGAATGACGCATTATCTCATGCGGACAGTGCATCTTTCTTAGCGGAATCGATGCTACGCGTCCTCAGCCGTTTCTGATTCACCAGGGGTATTTCACGTAACTGTAACAAAACGCACAAATTATCGGTATATGATATCTATGCGCGAAATAGAGCAAAGGAACGCCGTGACGTCAATGGGAAACGTTCCAGCGAGCCAGTGAATCACGAGTACCGCATGGACGATTCCGAGAACCGTCCGCGTAATCGGAATTCAACATCAACTCGCGGGGTGGATATCGGCGATACAGTGCTTGTAAGTGGAGTGAAATGCGCAGAAAATGCGCCTGACGCGTCCTGACGAAGCCTCGATGTTGCCACGCGAATGAAAGAAACTTAGTATGATATTTTATCTACTACTCGGCAGAGTCTCGTTCCCAACCGTTATTGCGTCGTCGTTATTGCGAATTGTGATTCGATCGCTCTCCGAATACAAATCCCACGAACATGTCTCCGCAAAAATGCACTCTGTACGAGGAATGATTGTTGTTCTGTGTAGGCGCTTATCGCGCTCGTATACTCGGGTGATGAGAGACGGTGAAAATGAGGATAGACCTGGCAGCGGAAGTTGAAGTATCGACGGAAGACAGCAGCTCGCCCGCCGCAGTGGATAGCATGGACACGGATGATTACGACGGGGTCGAGGCAGAGTTGACGAGTCTCTCTTGGCTGCAGTCGCTGGACATAACCAGCGCGTCGGGTCTACCGACGCCGCCTTGTTCGCCGTCGCCACCACCGATCGCTCGTCAACCCCCGAAAAAACTCTCGCCCTTGGTCAAAGCTGAATTAGGTAATCTCCACCGAAAGTAAACCACTCGAGTAATCTAGAACGAAGCTGTGGAGAAAAATAAATGGTCAACCGAGAATCGAGATTATTATTATCACGACATAGATAAACCATGAAATAGGTTTTATCAAGAAACTAAATTTTTTACAATGGCTGAATTTACAAAGAATGTAATACATGATAAGGCATTTCGAACTTCGAATTGGAATCATTATAAAGACGACTAATGATACGCAATAATGTTGCTATATATACTGTGCAATTAAACAATTACTTTGGTTTTTCGCCAGATCTTGCGGAGAATGCTGAGAAGTATCGGACGGATCCCGACGCGAAACCGCCGTTTTCCTATGCAACTATCATATGTCTTGCGATGCGCGCGAACAACAACAAAGTCTCCCTCTCCAACATCTACGCGTGGATCCGCGAGAATTTCCTCTTCTACAAGTACGCTGATCCGGCCTGGCAGGTAAAATTCTTCTTTTTATTTCCATTCTGCTTGTTACAACGTATTCTTTGTTAACGTGAAATATGAAAGTCCCTAAAATATTTGAAACCGTATACAATTCTAAATTAAATAAAACGATCTCATCACATTTACTACCTTGGTGAATATTGACTCTCTTATTTTATTGTCCTGCAATAGAATTCGATCCGGCACAATCTTTCGTTGAACAAGTGTTTCATCAAATTACCGCGCTCCAAGGACGAGCCGGGCAAAGGCGGTTTCTGGAAGCTGGACATTGAGCGTATGGAAGAGGGCAAACGATCTAGACGTCGTTCCGCGATATCGCAGCGAATTCGCGGCTCGAAGAATCGTCAGTGCCCGTCCACGACGGCAACAGCGACATCAACGACAACAGCGACGACGGCAGCGGCGGCGGCGGCAACGATAACGCTCAACGCTCTTCACAACAGCTGCACGCCGCCCACCAGCTGCTTGTCCACTCTGTATGAAACTCCACCCAATAGCGTGTCACCTCCGATCCCGGACACTTTGTCCGAGGTACCGGAATCGACACAAGTAAGCCTGAGTGAGGACGATCTCACGGGCTTGCTGATCGCCACCGCCGGTTGGGACGAGAATCAGCTAGATCTACTAGACTCTTTGCTGGACACCCTCTAAACTCCGGCCGGCGATTTTCCCCCGCGAAACATCTCAGGAATCCATTGGCTCTCTCTGAGCGGAACGAACGTTCTCAGGTCTGTGCGTAGTCCTCGACTTCCTGTTCCATTCGATCGAACACAAGCAACAGCACCCTCCGCGAACCTCGACTCGGCTCGACCTAGAATGAGTCAATTGTTATCTCTATTGCATTTCGCATAAGAACGTTCTATTCCACATAGTGAAACAGCGGCGTTATCGTAACGCTATCGCGACTGAATTAACATAACGCGTTGAATCATTCTTAAAAAAAATGCAAAATTTTTAATCATTTAATATCTGTATCTTTGAAAAAGGGTCAAATGTCGATTCCGCAATTGAAACTTGATTGAATACGCGACGACGGAAAGCGAAGAGTCGGAAAAGCGATATTTATGTTAAGGAAGAGAAGATAGAGGAAAGAAGTACACATCTTTTATCTTCTTCCTTAACCGCAGATACATACGACATGCTATACAAACACACACACACATATACACACATTACACATAAAATGTGTAATAATAAGCGTTGTAATTTCAACATTCAACGAAATCGTACTAACACGCCGTCCAACATTAAAACGTATAAAAAAAAACACGAGTATTGTAATGTGTGAGAACTGTTGCTGATAAAATGGCTGATGGTGGCAAGATATATTATAAATGATCCGCGTTTGAAGTATTATTAGATTATGCCGCGAAGTACTCGTCGAGTATATCCCGGCGACATATTACGCGACGAGGAATATCAGTGTGTGTTTCATATATTTGCGCTTTGGTGAAATCATTATCGGAAGTGTGAAACGTTCCTCTCGCCATTTATCTGAACAATCTTCTTCATTTCTACAGCTTATTTTCCTATTTAGCTTTCTCTCTCTCTCTCTCTCTCTCCCCTCCCCCCTTTCTCCTCTCTCCTCTCCTCCTCTCCTCTCTCTCTCTCTCTCTCTCTCTCTCTCTCTCTCTCTCTCTCTCTCTCTCTCTCTCTCTCTCTCTCTCTCTCTCTCTCTCTCTCGTCACGTGGCTTCGATGTTTCACTTAACTTCTTGATGATCGAGTTTTCTTTCTTCATCTCGTATCCTGAACACTTATTATTCGGACCGATATTCCTCCTCGCTGAGAATGATCGTACTCCTCGCGGCGAAACGATTCACGCATCGTGCCTTCAAATAATTAGCGAGTGTCCCTTGTATTAATTCTTAAGCAACGCGCCCAGTCAGTCCACGTGTGCCAGATCGATCGATTAGCGCGCGATGCGTACGATATTTTCTATTCACCGCGTTCCAACGTTCATTTTGGCAGTAATCCCTCCTCGCTCCCCTTCTATTTTTACATCGCAAAGAGAAAAAGGATGTACATAATGGTAGCGTCGTAATGGTTTCGGAAGAAATGCACCGCCTCGATCGATTGTGTCTTACACAATCGATCGACGTATCTTACATACGATGTGTACGTGATATACATCAAGCAGGACACGACCGTAGTACACGCGACTTCTCTATTTTATTATTCCTATATCGACGATTAGAAGTGATCATTATTATCCTTATATTATTATTACTATTAATTATTATTATTATTATTAATTATTATTGTGATTATAGCGATATGTTATTTTGTTGTATGACCGTAGGTGAAACGTAGAAATATGCGTTAGAATCCTACACTGTTATATGCTAGGTGCCTCGAAAAATATCCTCCTCCTCGACAACGTATCGTTACGATTATCTGGAATTCAAGAGAAGAGATTTCTATGCGTGCGGGATTCAATTTTAGGTAACATGGCCGCAAACATGGTGAAGCAGAGCGATTCCTCGAACGAAAAGTCTGAAATAAATAGTCGGCGATAATTTCGGTCGCAACTGAAAATTTTAAAACTCGAACTTGGGACTACATATAGATATTTTGAGCGGCACCCCGCACATACGTTTCGCGTTTCATTGTCGACGTGTGATTATTACACGATAACATTAGAATACATTCGTTTTCAAGACGGTTTGAATATATTTTTTATAATAAAATTAGGAGTGAATCAGTTAATTGTAAACGAAGAATTGGCGTGATAAACGATTATGATAGGAGCCAAAGTGACAGTGCAGTGATGTAAATAAATTGGCTCTTTATTATACTTTTATCCGACAGATAAAAATATAATAAAAATATTTTCGTTTCTCGTGAATTCTTGTGAATCCTATCACAATGGGATTACCACACAAATTCGTGAATAGTAATCTGCAATTGCGACCATTTAAGATGCTCCTAATTTCGTTGGGAAATATGTTCAAGCTGTTTCTCAAACGAGTATATATTTGTCGGAAGAGATATTAGTACGCCAGTGTGTGATATAATATCTAACCATATAGTCGAAGCGGCGTGTCAATTACCGCGTTCTAATTTACGCTTCTTCTTCAAAGTCCGTCCGAATCTATCCGTCCGCAGGGAGATTATCAGACGATATGCATGTGCGACAAATGAGATGATCGCATTCTGTCCGTCCGACATAAATCTGATTGTACAATGCATGCGCTAGAGAAAGAGAAGAATGTGGATGAAAAATCGATTGTCATAACTTGAGAACGAAAAAGAAACAATTACAAACAACAGAACGAACATAAAGCAGATTAAATCACGTATATATTGAGCGTGATTCCCGAATAGAGTGGATATGTGCCTTTCGAAGTAAGATTACATAATTGTTTTTCCTCTCCTACCTAATTATTTATCCACAATACTGTAAGAGCTCAGTGCAACGTGTGGTTGTCTTCATGATTTGTATCTATATAATTTAACATGTAACTTTACGAGATATAACAAATAAATATCGAAGAACGTCACTTCAATTGAAATACTCGTATCGGCCTCGCTAACCTCTCAAGTTAATATTTTTACGCGGGAAATTTAACGTATATTTGGTCTTAGTCGCGCCATCTATCGATATTGCTTTGTAATCATCAAGGATCGGTTGGTAAAATTATAGAAACGATTCATTTTACTACCGAAAGATGGAAGCACAGGCGTATATTTTTTAAATCCTCTAGTGTCACTCAATAATAATGCATGACAAGTTAGGTTGGGTTAAGTTAAGTGATAAGTGTTTAAGATAGAAGCATTAGGTCTGTTCGTTTTGTTTACACTGCTGAACTGGTGCGTTAAGTTAAAGTGAGACAAATGTAGTTTTTCTCACTTCAACTTGTTGCACCAGTTCAGCAGTGCAGACAAAACGAACAGGCTTATTGCTACAAATTTGATAAATATATATTTATTTGATAAATATATATTTATTTGTTTTTAGTAAAAAGGAAAAGGTTTGAAAAGTTAAAAAGGCCATTCAGTATCACAAAGAGAACGATAAAGTGTCAGAAAACATTTTTAAGGTTGTAAAACTCTGCATTAAACATCCAGCTGCAAACTACTTTACTCAGATTAACAATGTTGTTTATTTTGGGTAAATTGTAAAGGAATATGTTTTAACTTCTCAAAGCAACAATACATCAAAATGGACATAAAACAGAAGATTATACAAAGATTCAATGCACAACTGGGATCTGACATAAAAAATCTTCAAGGAATCTATGATTTCCATGAAAATCTCAAAGCAGAAAAAAATGAGATTGAAAAATCTGTGAGTTATATACCTTATTTTTATAAATGTGCAACATACAAAACATATATTTATAATTTTTATTTTGTGTAGCTATCAATGGCATCAACCACTGCTCCTTCTAAAGTAAAAGCAGTAATTGAAAATGTGGAATATATCAAAGGTAAAGCTGATCATTTGCAGGAAGTCTCTACAAATTTCAGCAAGAAGATTAAAGAGGCATTTGGTGAAAATGACAAAAATTTGGAGTTGCAAGAAATTATTGATAAGATTGGTCAGTTAGATAAATCATTGTCCTACCTATACTTCATAAAATATATTGAAAATATTAGGTAATTGCTAATAAAATACAATATAATTTTTATTTATCTATCTATTGAAACATAATATTTTTGTTTAGTGATGAAATGGAGACATTTTTGTCATCAGGTGATGATGATTCAATGATAACGTTATACGCAAGCTTGACAGAAATCAGCTGTCAATTGCAAACATCTGTATGTTACCATCTGGTTAATTATGTGCACGAAACACTACACTTTTGGCATAATCTACTTAAGGAGAAATTATCAAAGTACCTTTTTCTTCTTGAATATATATTCAATATAATTTGCATGCATTAATACTATACTTAATAAAAGTAGTTAAAATTTACAGAGAATACAATGATCTTTTGAAGACATTAAAATGGCCTTTCTGTGGCACTAATGTTAATTCACTCAGTCCACCTTTGCCAGAAGTTATGACAAGATTTAAGATACTCACTGAATATCTTTTTCATCTACAACTACCGTATCCTTCTATAATTGGCATATCAATTATTTAATAACTTATTAAAAAAAGGACTCAATTGACAAGCTAATATTATCCTTAATGTATCTTTTAATATAATCTTTTAGAGAAGAAATGATAAAACCTGTAGTAAAGTCTGCACTGTTAACAGATTTTGTACCAGTTAGCTTGCCTATCTCTTTTTTAGTACGTCCACTTAGACAGAGGTTTATTTACCATTTCACAGGATCTAAACTAACAAATCGCCAGGATAAACCAGAATGGTTTTTTACACAGATATTAAGGTGGATTAAAGATCATATACAATGGGTACAGAAGAATATTCAGCCTGTAGCAGATACTACAGGTTTTGGGCATTTGGACATAAAGGTTTTATATCTACAAAACTATTAATTAATTTTTAACGTACTAGTTGTTACATTTGAATCCCTAGACATTAATTACATTGCATTGATAGGCTGAATTTATGCGTGCACTAGTTCAATTAGCCGTCGAGAAGCTTCATTCCGAATTGCCTATAGTACAGTATGATGACGCTTTGTTCGCACATTTAGTGGACGAGGCGTTAGGATTTGAGCGAGAACTACGAGAAACTTTGCTATATCCTCCAACACAACCTACCACTGTCTTCGTTCTGACACAAGCACACATTTTTGTAAAATGGATCAACATAGAGAAGAAGTGTAAGTGAAAATACTCAATTCATGCTTCATATTCGACTTTTGCTTCAAATAATATACATGCATTTTCTCTTTACAGATGCAACCGAGAAAATGGATGCAATATTAAGTTCAAATACAGCATGGGAAAGACTGGCAGGGCCTGATACAGATGACATGAAAGTTACTGAATGCGCAGATGCTTTTCTCACGCTTCTTACCACAATTTCTGATAGATACAAACATTTACCACAACCTGGGCATAGGTAATTAATAGGAAATTCATTATAAGTAAAAGATAATTTTGTTATAAAAATAGTTCATAAAGATTGCAGTTTCTTGAGTTGCAATTGGAATTGATTGACGACTGGAGAGTACGATTATTACAACTTTTACATGAAAATTATGAAGATCCGTTAACGTCGCTCATGCCGCACATTCTCAATACGTTACATTACGTTGCAACTGTTTTAGAGGAATGGGGTATAACAGTTGTATGTATCTTATTTATAATTAAAAAATGTAAACGAAATATGATTCATCACAATCTCTTTTGTTTACATAGCATTTCTTACAACTATATTTCTTCAAGAAACAATTTGAAGCTGTAGAAAATGCTGCAGACAGAGGTAATGACGTTAGCGAAAGTATTGGAGAAGTAGAGGGTACAGTGTTTGACGAAGCTGTGGCTCTCTTACGACGATTAGAGAAAGAATTAATAAATGAAATCAGCGACTCGGTAGCCCTAGATGTAAAAGCAAAAAGTAGAGCTTATAGAACTGATAAGTAAGAAGTTTTACCATATGTCAAACTACTACCTTCGATATTTCTCGATTTACAAAGTAATTTGTATTCTATTCTAAGGTGGTTTGCAATGCAATCTTCCAAGGAGGTTGCTTCCTTATCAGTAACATCAAGTGGCTGTTCCATGTTTCAAGAGTTGGCCACACGTCTTCATATATTGCATAATGCTCTCGCTCTACCGTTGTTCCGTCAAGCTTGGAAGAGTTTAGCTGCTCAATTTGATCAAGTACGTAAGGGTGCGTTCCGTTTCACGCATATGCGCACATTTATCTATAGTTTATGTTACGTATATTATAAAAAAGCGCGCATATGCGTGAAATGGAACGCCCTAAGTTAAAAGTGAAAGATATGTTACTACATATATATACATATATATATATATATATATATTTAAACTTTATATATGTTTTTTATTATAGTTTCTCTTTGAAGAAGTTGTACTAGTAAATCATTTCAATAGTGGTGGTGCTGAACAATTACAATATGATATCTTAAGAAACTTATTTCCATTGTTTGGCTTGTACATCAGCAAGCCAGAGTCATTTTTTCCTTTGTAAGTCCATAAAATTATTACAAATATTTTATCATCAAAGAGAAATATAATCATTAGTATTTTAATTTTTTTCAGAATCAGAGAAGCATGTATACTTTTAAACATCTTAGTAGGTTCAGCTATGTTGCTTCAAGAGGCACTAAATAATAATAATGATAAAGCTGCATTAGCAGAAATTTTAGCGGACGTCGGCGTGCACAAAATGTCCCCTGAGCTTGCTCTGAAGGTGATAGCAACGAGAACAGATCTTATCCATATGTAGAAAATTTTCTCTCTGAATATATATATGTAAAAATGAAATTTATTATACAGTAGTAAGTTTATCACTCAACATACATACATACATACATACATACATACACACATTCTTCATTAAATTATATATGTAAATAATTTTCTACTTAACCTAATTATATAATTAATGTCGCAGCCATCTATGTATCTTCGTATAAATAATGGAATTCTTAACATAATAATGTTATACCACCGTTGTCGGCACCTAGTAAAAGTAACCGATTAAGGGGAAGGACAGCCATGGCAGTAAGAACACCTTTAAAAGCATCAGACTTCAATTTCGATGAAGAGAACGATGCTGTCATTTCTACGGCGGTATAGACACCAATTCGATTCGCTGTTGTTCCTATTACTAATTCCTGTTCATATGTCGCCATGCAATGAACGGGTTCCGTAGCGCCTCTGGAACATGATAAAAATGTAATATATTGTATGTCCAAGTTTACGTTAGAAATAACATAATCTTTACTACGATTCAGCAACTTTGGATCTTACTTCATGTGAAACTTAAGTTTACCATCCACTGCACTCCACACTGCAATTGTTTGATCCAATGATGAACTGACTATAGTGGTCTCGTTTATCGCTTCTAACTGCAGTATCTATAAAAAGAAAAATAAGGGAGCGGTAAAACTGTAAATTCGTATGCAATATTTTTAAATTGAGATTTAACGGTCATTAAATCTCTACCTCGCATTCGTGTCCCTTCCAAGATGCGATAATCAAACCAGTGCGAGTATCAAGTATCGTTAGGAAGCCCGATGCTTGACCAAGAGCGACCCAGTAACCACTAGGTGCCACCGCGATACATCTTATCAATCCAGTTGGATTCATAGAAACCTATCAGATATCAACGTTAAAAACGTTAATTTCTACATAAGTAACATTAACTGTTCTAACTTTAAAGATAACCATATACGTACCTTCATCTCATTGACATATTGGAATGTTCTGCAATCGATAACTCTAAGAGTGATGTCTGTTGTTCCCACAAGAAGAGTCGTAGATGGAGAAGGGCTCGAAGCTAAAGTGTTCACAGGAACGGGACGGCTGCTCTCCGGACATCCCAGAAGTGAACCCATAAAAGGATCCCAACAATGGATGACACCGTCGCATGTCACTGCGTATCTTAAAGACTCCAGGAATGTAAGCGAAAGGATAGACTTTTTGTGTCCAGTGTACGTATATTGACATGACGAGACTGTATTTCCATCGCCCTGTATGATTCCACGATATCAATAATTAAGTATTGATATTACAATAATCTTTATTGCTGCTTATTTGAATAGTGAGTGCCTAATAACAAAATTTTACCTGGCTTCGTAAACTCCATAACTTCACGGTTTTGTCTCTACCGCCGCTCATAAAACTATTTTCGTTGTCCAACACATAGAGACACCTTATACTATTCGTATGTCCGCTAAAAGTCTGAAGCTTTATCTGCTTTATATTGAATATTGTATCTTTATCCGGCCTTCCTATCTCGTGCTCCCAATAGGCCAGCCAATTACCACGTAATTGTCTGCCAACGGATGGCAGACAAGTCTCACGATTTATGGTGGCGTTTGCCTCCGTCGCAGATTGAGATTTAGCATCGTCTTTTTGTATTTCGAATCGATTCCCTATCACAGATATATTTCCGAAACTACAAACACCTTTGTCGACTAGCTCTACGTTCTCTATCACATCGCAGTCTGTAGGAAGCAACGTATTGCACTTGTCTGCATTATCTTCAACAGTAAAACACCAAAAGATTAACATATCATGTTTCATTGTATGTAATATCATGAAAAAAGAATCTAACGCGACATATACCGATGCTTTGAGACGTCGCTTTTATTCCTTGCTCATAATCATGGCAGAGCTCCTGTACATGCTCGTGATTTTTAAGTATCTGCTCCATCATCTCACTATCAACGCATCTATAAAAGAGCATGTATGCTTTGTGAGCAAATTCACTGGTGAACACAGCTCGTAACTCTTGAAACGCCTATAAGAGATGTGAAACTTATAGTATATTTATATCATCGAAAAATAATAAAAAGTATAACATAAAAAAACTCTGTTGCAACTTACTCTGTTTCTCTGTAAATCAGGTACATCGCTGTTTTCCAAGATTGGAGGAGAATACGAGTCTGCCACATCTGTATCGAGTTTATTCCACACGTAAATTCCATTATTATCGAGTCCATCATTGGTACCTCTTATCCTGCGTGTACAATATTAAAAATAACAGATACCTCTGTACTGACGGATTTTAATTCATTCAACACTTGTAAGTCCAAGTAAGTGTATCATTACCGTGGGAGACAGTCATTAGATACATCTGTTTTTTGCCCAAGATTATCTAGAAGTCCCTCGGTACACAGATTCTCGCTGAAAGCTTTATCGAAAGCCAAAAAGAAGCGTTGAATTGGTACGGCCAGGTGATTTTTTGTAATTACACTGCCAAGTCGTAAACTAAGAGTGAATATTGCTTCCAGACATTTTTCAGCCAGAGCGATGCGCGCAAGCGTTCCGTTTGGAAATGTAAATCTCGCAGTTGATAGTATACGTACTGTAGGATGCAGTATGGATTTAACGATTGGCTCCTATATTCAAATATGAAGGAATGTGACACTAAATCCCCCTTTAAGCATATAATAATCAATTATATGATAAACATTACATGAAGAACATCCATTATAGTGGCATCGCTGAGATACGACGTAATGTGATTTAATAGAGCCAAGCAAGATACCAGGCCTCCCTCCAGATTCTGCGTCAGCTTCCTTTTACACAATGCTAATAACTCAACCATGTGTGCAAAATATTGCAACAATATAATTTGTTCGCCGTATAATCCTGGCGAAATAGAGTAATTGCATTATTATTGCACCAAGTATTGTGTGAGATGTGAGAAAAAAAATTTAAATGCCTTTCATGACGTACCTGCAATAGCTGTGAGGCATTCTAATACTTTAACAGCATTTTGATCACCGGCCAAGATTGGTTTCTTCCACGTGATATTTTCCAAGTATATGAAATTATTATCATCGATTGGCATCAAATTTTCCTTCCCAGCGTAACATAGCGTCAACATTCTTAAGAGATTTCGTGACAAGTGTCGCGCTGTGAGCACAGGGCCGAGTCTGTGCGACAGCCAGATAACCGATTCTGCACTCATCTCGGAAACTGTACATTCACTCGGGATAGATCTTCGATAAATATGATCTAATTGATGTATACTTTCGCCGGACATAGAAACGCTGCACTTGTTATCGAGATCGGAGCAAAGCGTAGCAGAATTGTCTTCTTTCGTGGTGTCTGTGCCACTCGTACTTTCAGAGTGATTACTACCAGAATGGATATTCGTGGTGTATGCGCTGTTGTAAGTGAAATCTTCACTAGAGGTTTTGCTACCGACATTGCAACCGATACTATTAAACTCTGTTACTAACTTGACACCGCTACTATTTGATTGTTTGGGTATTGGAATCGTCGGCGACTTGACGGAACCACTCGGCGAATTTTTGTTTGCATCGTCATTCAAGTCATCATTGAGATTTAAGTTGAGATCTATATGTAAGTCAATATTATATGCAGTATTATTTAAGGAGACCCACAAATTGTCCTCTGTCTCCATCGTGAATACCTCTGCAATAGATCCAACGAAAATTATTACAGGCCTTCTCCCCAGAGAGATACTCATCAAATTGTCTTTATCGACTTATTTAACCATCAAATGATTATCAATCACCTTCGACGTCGTTATCCATCGTTATATTAGATACATAATCATTGGTCGTCGGTCCAATAGGTGAAGTAACAGTATGTTCAGAATCCGCAAATGAATCTTCATCTAACGGAGATAAAATACCCTCCCCATCGCTGCAGGGTCCGCTCAAATCACAGCTCCTTTGTAAAAATTTACAAAGTAATATACAAGTAATATGAAATCATCAGTGTATCAAATGGGAAGGAGTCATGTCATGGTTAAAGTAATTAATGATCTCTTCTTACTTGAGATTGCCAGTCCTATGCGTGCATGTGCCGAACGAGTCCTGCAAATAATCTTTGTATCCTCCTACCGCTTCCACCAGAGGATTTATAAAGTTGTCTAAGAATCTACGCAGTCCTAATCTGACTATTAGTTTCAACAGGAACGTTCTGTGATATAATCGAGTAGTTCTGAACTTCGCAAGTGTTCCTGCAGGCAGTACATCGGCATGTAATGTGGTGTCCATGATCGAACCGTTCTCGTACAACTTTGTGATAGATGAGAGAAACGTTTCGGCTGTGTCCTTCGGTCCCAGTGTTCTATGAGAAAAAAAGCGAAGTAAAAGAGAAACGTATGAACACTACATGATATAATTTTACAAGATCTGTAACACTCACTTCGCGATAGGATCGAAAAGATACCAGACGGCCAATACCGCGCTGTAAGGTTCTTCCATAATTTGTACTATGTGAGGAACTATTAATTGCAGTGTAGCTTCTCTCGCACCACCGGCGTAAGGCAACAGACGTTCCAACTCCCTAGCGATCGCTCTCACCTTGCACTCGCTGATTTTGCATAGATATTTTATCTTTGTTTTGATCACATAGTCCATATCATCCTCGGCCTTCAGAATAAAATTTAATTCTCGTACCAGACCGTTATATTCTTGTAACATCTCCACGATGTTATATAGGTATTGGCAATATTTAGAGAATGGAAACAGACTGCCGGATAATATCGGTTGTAGGAATTGATGCGCAGACGGTGGCGGTAGACCCATGTACGTTATCGTTGGATAACGAAAAGGAATCTCGTTTACCTGAATAGAGATTTGGACGCTATCATAAATGATTTACTTCACTTATTGACTCAATGATAGTTTATATCTTGCAATTACCATCGAGATATCATTCATTTCCATATTGCCTATGTTGTAACTCTTAGGCATAATGTCGACCTGCAGAAATAACGATACGATGTTTCTTATACATTTTGGTAAATTATCCGCCGACGTTCGCAGAGTATTCAGACACGTCACGAATCTCTGCGCGAAGGATGCTTTCTCGACGTTCCACGTTGCACGAAATTTACCGGCTAGAAATATCTCCACTATTAAACAGCCAAGTATTTGTTGTTCCCTGATGCGACCACCGGCCACAATTTGTTTATAGTTGGTGGGAAAATCATGCGACTCTATTGCGGGTTTGTACACTTGATGATTGACCTTGTTCATGAAAGTATGCATAGTTTCTACTTGCATGATCGCCGCAACGGGATTAAAATCCTTTGGAAGAATAATAGGCTGACTAATGGATTTTTCCGATTTAATATTATCCTCCGACAATAAAGAACCTCGAGAACGACTCAATAAGCGACTTAGTACAAGCGGTGACGATCTTGATGCATTCACCGCCGTTGCAGGTAGTTCTTCCTCTTCAATGCCAGAGCTGTGGCCCTCATCATCACTGATTCTACTTGCAGATTGGTCATTCTCTGTAATCGTACATCAGTTTGAGGAATTTATACATTCATACTTGAGACTCTTGATAACGAAAGGAACTTACTACTTTTGTTAGCTGAAACTGTTGATCGTAGACGTGGTGGTACTTTACCCCAATAAGGAGATGGGATAATCCTTTGTGGATGTGGTTGCGTAAAAAGCTGTACAACTCCCGAATTTGTTAGGTCAGTATGATTGTCAACTAATTGCAAACAAACGTTTTTTGATTTTATAGCAGCGGAGCCAGATAATCTGTTAATATAGGAAAAATATGATTTTTTATGTACATAGCTGTAAGTATTAGCCTAAATAAGCTCGAGAATATATACTTGTAACCAAAAGTTAAGTCTATCCAATAATGTAATCTCTCTGAAACGTAAAAGCTCTCCAATGCTTCTCTGTGTTTTTCAATGAAATCTTCCGGAGAAGTCGCCCACGTTGGAATTTCCAAGTCCGGTAAGTCCTCATGGATGGACTACAAGCAAAATCTTCAGGTATTGAATTGAAAAAAAAATATTTTATTATCATGACTACAATTCTACCTTAAAGACGTTAGGGTCAGTGAAAAACTGCGGTATGCATTCATCAGGGCTCCAATCATGTAACCTCTGAATCGAAGCTGGATATTCTCCAGGAACCCATAACGGTCGTACATGTTTACACAGCACAGATTTGTTGTATCGACGCGAAAGATATACATAATATGTAATCTCTGACAGAACATCCGAAACATGGTGTCCAACCTATTATTCGATACTGCTTAATTATTCGAAACAACATTACAGAAGATTCTATGAATTCAGTCAGCATACCTCTGTTGATTGAGAATCAAATGTGAGATCTAGTTGTCTGTCGCCTTTATTTAATCGAAATTTTGACTTTGTTAAATCCCGCCAATTGCCACCGTTTCTGGATGTAAAATCTGTTACCCAAGGCATCACATGGTGACAACTAGGATTGCCATATCGTCTACCAGCCAAGTTATTCAATGCGGTTAAATAATCAAAATTGCTAATGCAGTTATACACCCACATTTCACATAATTTTTCGATGCTCTCATTTAATCCAAAATCACTGTGACTTGAGTGAAATATGCTGTCTTTCTTACAGTAAGTATTGTTATTAAAATGTTTCTCTTTACTCTCTTGAGAAATAGCCGAGTTCATATGTTCACTCTCAGGTTTTAGGTAAATGTTGTCACTTAATTTTGGTAGCACCTAAAATGTATAATTTCAATGTAATATGTAATTTCAAATTGAATTTTTATCTGTTTAATATTTATCTTATATAATGAAGTATGAAAATTATTGCTATATAAATAAGTAGAAGTTATGATATACCTGAATAGTGAAATTTTCTGTAACTAATATATCACTAAGTGTAATTTCTCCTAATGCAAGACCACGATCATGCAAATCTCTAGACAGCCTCAGTAGTTGATAAACTACAAATAATGGTTTTCCATGACTTATGTTAAGAGCAGCAGGACTATACATTACACACCTAAAAGTTAATATTTATAAATGATAAAATAGGAATACCTTTTCATAAAATCATTTTCATAATGAAGAAACAAACTTGATCATATTATTGAATACTTACTCACGGAGAGAATAATTAGCAGTCTGTTCATAAAAAATTATAAAAGCAGATGTTGTTTCCACAACAAAATGAACTGGTACTAGATTACAATGTATTTCAGACAATGCACCATTTAATACTGATAAAACTGTACCATATTGCACTTGTATCAAAGTACAGCTATACATCCTGGCTAATACTTCATGCATGATGGCAACATCACTTATATTAGCAGTAATATTAGACTGCTCTTTTTGGTCAACAAAATTCCAGGGATCTGTATGTAAACATATTTATTTACATGTGTTGTTAATTAAAATGAAGCTAAAAATTTGAAATATGAAATAGTATTAGATATATATACTATAATATTTCTTGTATGATTCTTTCCACAAATTTCGATAATTGGTTTCAGCTACATAATGCAACAACTGTGCAAACATCAATTCAGCTTGATTCTTTGTGCTAGTAGCAGGTCTTTCTCTTGGCAGAGGAATTGCATTCTTGTGCTGTTTTATGTATACCTAATGATAATAATAATAAATTTAAATATCCATATATTTTGCAAAAAATAACCAAAAGAATTCTAAAAATATACTTTTGCATAAATTCTCATCCAATCGCAGCCTAATTCTTCGAGAGTAGGTTGCGCTGCAATTTCATCACCGGACATTCGATCATGATTGATAAACGAAAACGGGCCAACCATTAGCAAACGAGCGAGCCAGTTCCTGTGAACTGTCAGACAAATTCTTCTATCTGTCAATATCATGTATTTAGCAGGTACCAGCAGATGTTCCTTTATTATATCCATTTTGTACACACACGTATTGCTCAAGCACCGTCACGCAAAAAAAAGTTTTGACTTTGCCGTTTCATTTTCGTTTACTTTTGTCGGCAAAAAAACACGCGTTCAACATGATTGACGCCGAAAACGGCTGATTTGTGATTTATAAACCATAACAGAAATCTATTCGTTTCACTTGTATTTTCCTTGAACTTTCTACACTAAAGTACAGATGCCAAAAGACCTTTAAATAAAGCCAGCGGCACACGGTGCTTGTTTTCGTGCTGGATTGCTTGCTGGATGAAAATACTGCGTTCTGATTAGTGTATTTCCATTCATCTTCGAAAACGTACCAATCAGAACGCAGTATTTTCATCTAGCAAGCAATCCAGCACGAAAACAAGCATCGTGTGCTACTGGCTTAACTTGGCATATACGCATAAAGCACAGAGGAACGAACCAATTATAAAGAAGAACACTATGCGCAGCAAAATTTAAATATCTAGTGATTTTAGTGACTTTTCATTTTTACAGTTGTCATTCTGTATCTCTATTTGATCCGTCCACTCTTAAATAAATTTGAAATGTAACGTCTCTGATGTCTCCCAGGTTTGGAGGACAGTAGCATAGAGCTTGTGAGTTTTATTTGTAATTTTCGTTCCTACTGGCTCAGTGTGCCTCATATTGCAGACATTTGTTGTGACGAGTTGGCAAAGTTATTGAAATAAGTATTAAAAGTAAGTGGAAATAGTTTTCTAATAAAAATGGGGTAGATATACATAAAAGACACCGATTTTATTTTCACTTTGGTACGTCGTAGCAAAGGTTGTTCTGGATAGTCAACCTAAGTATCATCTCTGCAATATATTAATAAAATTGATGAGGTATAACGTTTTATGCATATTTACGAGTCAATATACATTAGTAAATAAATTATATCATTTCTAAATTAATATACATATAGGGCGGGTTGTTCCAACATCTTGGTAAGTTAACTGATGGTTAAATCATATATTTATCTTTGTTTTTTCTTCACTTAAACAAAGACAGATATATGATTTCACTATCAGTTAATTTACCAAGGAGTTGGAACAACTTGCCCTAAATAATATATTTATAAATATAATTCCCTGCAACTAAATCATACTGAGTATTTTTCTTTAGGAATATTCTATGCATTGTATTATGATAAAGAGTTTTAAGTCATCATTTTAAGTTAATCATTAATTAGTATTTTTGTCTTTTTTAAACACCTACACATACAATATTACCTTGCAGATGTGTGATGATACTGTTCGTGTTGCTTTACGCATCCGTCCATTAGTGGTAAGCGAAATTGAAAAAGGATGTCAGATGTGCTTAGATATAATTCCCGGAGAACCACAAATTCGCATACTTAATAGTGACAAATCATTTACATATAATTATGTTTTTTCTCCTGATGTTGGACAAGAAGAATTTTATAATGTAGCAATTAAACGATTAATAGATAATATCTTTCAAGGTAAAGATCTTTTACCAGTGTTTGTAGTTTTATCAGTGTATATAATTTATTTTATTGTTTGGAGAAATAATTTATTTATGTCTTAGGATATAATGTAACTATATTGGCTTATGGACAAACTGGTAGTGGTAAAACCTATTCAATGGGTACCAATTATACAGGAATCGAAGAAAAGGGTATTATACCAAGAGTTACAGAAGATATATTTGAAACAATTAAGTCTAAAGAAGACTGGAACTTTAAAGTTGTAGTTTCATTTATGGAGTTATATCAAGAACAATTGTATGATCTGTTATCTGATAAACAAAGGAATCAATCCATCGTAGACATCAGAGAAGATGGAAAAAGTATAAAAGTTACTGGTTTAACAGAGAAAGAAGTTACAAATGCCCAAGAGACACTAGAATGTCTGAACCAAGGTTCCATAGGCCGTATAACTGGTGCAACTGCAATGAATGCACATAGCAGTCGTAGCCATGCGATATTTACAATATGTATACGTCAGCAGAAAAAAGATGATCCGTAAGTAACTTATTATTTCTTCATCATTTAACATTGCAAATTTGTAGAAGGAAAAATAATTTGTTTTTCTATTTACAGGAATACAGCCACAGTGGCAAAATTTCATCTTGTTGATTTAGCGGGATCTGAACGCAGTAAAAAGACCCAAGCCACAGGGGAGAGATTTAAGGAAGGTATAAATATAAACAAAGGATTACTTGCTTTGGGTAATGTTATCTCACAACTTGGTGATGGTGCCTCTGGCTCTTATATTGGATACAGGGATAGCAAACTCACAAGACTCTTACAAGAGTCCTTGGGTGGTAATTCCATGACTCTCATGGTTGCCTGTATTAGTCCTGCTGGTCAGTATCATATGTGACACATAGATAATACATCCTACATTTGAACATGCTACTAATTAGGAAAAATTATTTTATTAGATTATAATTTGGATGAAACTCTCAGTACTTTGAGATATGCAGATCGCGCACGCAAAATAAAGAACAAGCCTGTGGTAAATCAAGATCAGAAAACCGCCGAGATCAATCGGTTGAACAAATTGATTCAAGAACTACGATTAGCACTTATGAATCAAGAACTTGGCATAACATGCCCCAAAGAGCACGAAGAACTCGAGGAGAAATGTAGTACATTACAGCAAAAACTTCGAGATATGACGGAGAAATTAAATTCAAATTTAGCAGAAATCGTTATCATGCACGAACGAGCTGAAATGGCCGAACAAGCTCGTGAAAAGATTAGGTCCGCCATGGCATCAGTATTAGACGAATTTGAACAAGTTTTACAAAACTTTAATATCTCTCACGAAATTGACGATGAAAAACGTAAAAAATTGAAAATAATATATACAAAAATGTTAGGTAAGTTTTTCTCGCTTATTCATATGATTTACTTGGTAATTTTCTTAATTCTTGATAACTCTCCAATTTAATATCTATTTTATATGTGCAGAAATACAAAATGATGAGAAAAAAGCATCTGAAGAATTATTGAATTATGAAATATCTATAGATTCTAAAAATTCCGTCACGTTCACGAAAGAAGATGCGGAATGTGTACATACAGGTGAATTAAACAATATTGAAGATAGCTTGGATTATTTTGACAAAAAGGAAGAGGAACATACATTACGACAAGCAGAACGAAATAACGAGGTTCAAAATATCAATAAAGAGTTAGCACTTAAAGAGAGTCTTGTATCTGAGCTGATTAAAAATATTACTCAACAAACTGCGGACAGCCACAGGGACGTTGCGGAAATGGAAAAGGAAATCGAAAGGCTACATGTGGAAAGAGAGGAGCATTTACAAGCAGTTCATGCACGCAACATTACCTCCAAGTAAGCAATTAATGAATATAACATTATACTTGTGAATGCGATGCTTCAATTTCCGCATGTATTTTGTATAGATTGGCCGAGACACGTCGCAAAAAAGTGCAAGAGTTAGAAAAGAAGATAGCAGAGTTAACACGTAAATGCCAGGAGCAAAACAGAGTAATCAAGGCGAAAGAGAAGCAGGATCAAAGGATTAAAACTCTATCCAATGAGATACGATCATTAAAGGAGATCAGAGTCAAGCTTATCAGACAAATGCGCAATGACGCGAACAATTTTACAAAGTGGAAGCAGTCCAGGGAAAAGGAAATCAATAAATTGAAAACTCAGGACCGCAAACGTGCTTTTGAAATGGTACGCTTAAAAATGCAACATAATAAACAGGAGATAGTTTTCAAGAGGAAGATGGAAGAAGCGTTTGCCGTTAATAAAAGGCTAAAGGTGAGTTACATATTTCATTGTTTACGGTTTTCCTGTTTTCTTTTTCGGATATGATATAATTTACTTCTTTCTTTGAGTATTAATCTATATACAACTCATGCACAGGGTGCATTGGAGATACAAAAGAAGGCGACAGAACGACAAGAAAAAAAGGCTAATGGTAAAGACGAAATAAAAACGTGGGTGGCTCAGGAATTGGAAGTATTAATGGCCACGATAGACGCGGACTTGTCTCTTGAAAAACTTATGCAAGACAGAGCCACTTTATCTTATCAGTTGGAACAACTTAAACAAAGCAGCAATCCGAACGAAGAGGAATGCGCAACTCTTGTAAAATTTATAGAGCTGCGCAATACACAAATCGCGGATCTTCAGAAGGAAATTGTTGAGTCAGATCAAGGTTAGATATTCAAACATTATTTCACTCAATAAAAGTGCAGCTTGTCATTTGAGGGTTACCTTTTCAGAAACCAGGGCAAAAACGAGATGGAACATGATACACAGTGTCGCGGACGCCAAGGTGGTATGTCAAACAGCATTTCATCTGATTGCACAAGAGAGAAAGCAACAATGTTACAAATTTAACGAACTTAAAGTTAGTATACATATATATACATCATACATATTACACATTTGGACTAGTTGTTAAAACAGTTGGCACATTTAAGGATAAATATCTAAATCTACAAACACAATTAGAAGAATCTACCAAAAAAGAAAAGGAAAATAAAACGTATTCTTTGGAAAATACATCTAATACGTCTTCGAATAACATGGTAACACCGCCACGAAAAGAAAAGGTAATGACCAAGAATTTTACGTTTAATAATGTTAAAGACAATGAAATATTTTTCGCAAATCAAAAATTTCTAATTTTATGAAGATCTCATCGTTACTTTTATTCTGCATTATAGGTTTTAATGGAAAATAACTTGAACGTAAATATAAAGCAGTCCAAGACAAAACAGGAAACGGAATATACGTTGAATTTTTCTACTAAGAATACTGATGCACTTCATGATAGTTCAATAGACGTTGAAGATGACGATGTTGAAAATGATCCCGATTGGAAAAATACACCACTTTACAATCGCATACAGAAGTTGCAGGTAAGGATAACAGTTGTAATCAACTTGTAATCACAATAATAGATATGATTGCACTGATAACTTTTATTATAGATTAAGATTTACAAGGAATCGTAAAGTTATATGTGGTTTTTTATTTACAGAACAAATCGAAGCTGTCAATCCAACAATTACCTTTTAAACTAGAGCCTGATGAGATAAAGTGTGCTTGTAAGACTAAATGTGCTACACGGATGTGTATGTGTCGTAAAAATAATATTACGTGTAACAATTGTAATTGTAATCCAGAACAATGTAAAAATAGAGATAAAAAAAATGTGAGTTATGCATACCTTCTTATAATGTTAATATTGTTATATTAGCTATTGTGTATATATATGTGTGCGTGCATGTATGCGTGTATATATTTTAAGTGTTTAAAAATGTTAATTTTTAATAATTTTTTAGTTGCGTACGCTATTCTCAGACATCACAGAAAACGAAGTAATGACCAATTGAAGAAAGAAGAAATAAACGAAGAAGAATGCGTCGAAAGACTGTTTCGTTGAAATGAAGATTTTATGTTTTTATTCTTATCAATGAATTTGTGTCGTACACGTTTATTTATTAGAAAGTACGGATAATAGGTAAAAAACAATCGTACAACTCTCTGGAGCACGAGCAACCAAGTGGCGTGACAATTATGATATTTATTTGGACTCAACTAGTATCAGACTTATATTTGTATATATAATATTTTTCTGTCATAAACACATTTACTTCGTTTTAATAGTTTTATATAAATAATGTGATTATTCATTCTACAACATAATTCATTCTACGACATAATACGTACAATGAAGGAAACTTGCTTAATATTTTGTAATATATCAATCACGATATCTTTCTCGATTTTATATATGACATTATATACACCATAATAACATTTTTTGCTGATATTTCACATATTTGAGAATGAAAGCGAAAATGCTTTTGTTATCTAATTTTGTATTCTTTCTCTCCCCCTTTCTTTTTCTTTCGATTAAATGTTTAGCTTTTCAATATTGAATTAGCTGATTTCTGTGACATCCTATATAAGATCAAAGTTTAGTGCATGATTAAATTCCTGCATCAATAAATGATCGTTACAAGGCCGTAAGAATAACTACGTTAATTTCATGATAAAGAAGAGCTCAACAAACAGAAGAGACAAGATACCCTTTTTTTAATATGCCCAACATTAATATATGAGATTCAGTCGATAAATTCGAATCCTTGAAAATATAAAAATAAGATATGGACAGTAGATTAATATTGATAAAGCATGCATTGAGCGGGGTTAAAGTGTATGTTCAATGCAACGGAGGGGATATACAATATGGCGTAGCCAATCGGTTTCGTCGGATCCCTCTTTTAGTCTTGTCAGCGAATCAATTTTATTTCTCGTCCAATTGTTTCATTCGCGACGATCACAATATAAAAGGTTCTCGAGTGGCAATGGATCGGATGAACTTTGACAGCGACGAGCTCTTCAGTATCCGTCGGTACCCGGTGTGGTATTCGTACAGAGGAAAGTAGGTGAGTTTAGACGGGCTGTGTTTCAGACGTGTTTAGTGGCTTCCCGAAACTGCTGTTGAACACGACGAAACGAGTCTGATCTTTCGTAGTGAGAGGGACAAATCGTCAATCTCCCATACAACACCATCCATCATCACCTACTTTGCGATGCCCAATGTCAATCATTGCAAATCGATCAATATGCGATGGAAGACGTTCACCAGCCAGCTGTTGCACCGTTAACTTTGATATCCAAGAAATTTGAATATTCATCGGGTATCGACGAATACACCTGCTCGTCAGTTCAAATTTCTCATCATCGTCCTGACACCATGGCCAGTACCTGCCTTCATCAATTCATCTCGACACCCATCAAAAATTTTCTGCAACTGCAACGAATCAAAGAGTAAGAGAAATAGATTTGTATTTAAAGCTATATTAAAGTCCAAAGTTTGGAAGTGGTGTAAGTCTAATTTTAAAATGTCACGAGTTTTGAAACGAGATGCAGGTATATACAAATTTATATACGTCATTGTAACATATGCGCAAGTAAATCGATCTTCGTAATTTGCCAATTTTCGTGGTTTGCCAAAACGCGGTTTACGTCACTTCCAGACAGAAAAATATAACTTATTTATTGCCTATTAGCCTATCATACTTTAGATAATTATCCCGCAATCATTCAATCTTTATTGTCATAGTTTACATTTTTGCATCCTTAAAACTTGCTTGGGCGTTTAATATGTGTCATATATAAAAGTAATTTATCTGCATGTAATAATATGGTTCTCTAACAGCAAATTATATGATGATTCAGCTTCTTACATGTAAAATATTTAAGTGACAATATAGTTTTAGCTGTAATTAGAGTTGAATGTTATAAGTTACATTTGTATTTTTAGTGAATAATAGTTGATAAATGTTTATGATGCATTGTATATTTATTTTGCTATCAAGCCGTGTACTATGTACTAGTTAGTTATGTTTTTTATCATTAAATATATACATGAGATACATACATATGAGAGATTGTAATTTTACAGTATAGTAAGATAAATTTTGTATTTTGTCATACAACTGTCTCATTATATTGCATCTGGGCTTATCCATTAACTATGCAATTATATGCTATTGATTCAGCTTAAAATAAATTCAAAATCATGCATGCATCAGATAGTATAAAACCTTTGACAGAATGCACAAGCACTGCTTTTAGAGGGATGAAAGATTGTTATCTTCAATCAACAAACACTATGGATCATCTTAGTGGTATGGTCATACCACAAAATATTTCATATCATCAGCTTGGATTATATATGGAATAAGTTTCCTCTACAAAACACATTAACAGGTACTATTAGTCGATATATTAACAATATGCATAAAGCAAATATATGCTTGTCTTAAATACGCATGTATTTTGGCATAATGCTAACTTAAGCTTCATGCTAGAAATGTATTGTTCAATTATGCTATGTTCTTTAGTCTTTGATGTATCCTATTAATGATTATATAATTAAAACTGTAATATAATGTCAAAATTCCTCAATTTTATTATCTATGTTATATATTATCTTTAATTAGATTGCAGCCATAGTAAAGTTAAAGTAATCTTGTTTCGTCTTATATAAGAAACAATTTGTGATTCCTTATATAATAATCTCCTGTCATATTAGTACTGATGAAAGAAAGTGTTGCAAATAAATATTAAGAAAAAACTTTCTTTGTTGTGGAATATTATGTTTAATTTTATAAATATTATATCACTTTTTTTTAAAGACAGAACACAAATGATATTAAGAAATAGCTTCACCATCATTGATATTTTGATAAATATATTTAAAAGATTCAATTTTATAAAATTTTACACAGCACACAGTTGAAAGAAAAATATTAAATAAGAAATAAAATGGTTATTATTTACAGGATTAAATGGATGAATTCAAGAGCATGCACGAATGAAGCATATATTCCTACAACTATAGAACACATGGCAAATGTGGCAACTCATGGAGTATGGGTTGTACCATCAGTAATAGGTGGTATCGAGCTTATACGCCGTTCAACAACATGGGCGCAACTCGTTTCTGCTTGTGTATATGGCACTTCCTTAATTCTTGTCTTCGCAGTATCAACTTTCTTCCATAGTGTGCATTACTGCAATCATAACAGGTGCCATTATTTCGTTTTTCTTGATAACTCTCTGTTATTAGTTGTGCAAGATAACGAACAACATGTGTTTATTGCATGTATAACATTTATGTAACAATTTTAGACAATTGAAAGACGCATTGCATCGCTGTGATCGCGCTATGATTTACATCTTTATAGCGGCCAGTTACTTCCCGTGGTTCAACGTGGATCATTTCTCAGATGACGAGCTTCTATTCGCGATGCGATATATTGTTTGGATTATGGCTATAATGGGCATTATTTATCAACAGATCTTCCACGAAAAATATAAGATGCTTGAAACTATTTTCTATGTAATTATGGGTATTGGACCTAGCGTTGCAATTCTTAATGTTGTAAGTAAATCAATGGTCTGTCTGGATTTATTTAGATTGGTATGAAGCGAGAATATTATGATAATTTTTACGATATGTTGTCTTTACAGTATAATTATTACAATATCAGGGAATTGAAACTGGGCGGATTGATATACGTTATTGGTATAGTGTTTTTCAAATCGGATGGTCGAATACCTTTCGCGCACGCAATTTGGCATCTCTTCGTAGCCGCAGCAGCCGGATTTCACTACTATGCGATTCTGAGCCATGTATTTCCCGAGACAGACCCGATGAATGTTCTTGGACCATCCAGCAATATACCATCAATGTCTAACGTACTGAAATCACATCTAGAGTTATAAGGTGTTGTATACTATTTTCTACGACGTTTCTTCTAAAATACTAAAGATTCTAAAACAACAGTTCTAAGAGTGAACTCTTTATATTCTGATAGAAGGATATTTTATTTCTATTTATTCGAAGAGGAACTTTTGATAAGATCAAATTAATTTTTAACAGTGGCTACTATTACATCCTGAATCGTGGCTTTTATAATCGCAATAGATAGCCAGGTTTTCCTAATTATTCCAAATCGGTCAGTAAACAAAAGACCCGTGTGTAGTATATATAATCACGATAAATATATAATCACGAACTTCGTTAATTAAGTACCTGACAGCCACATGAAACTAGACTCATGTATTATGAATGTTTGTATTAGAATTAAAAAAAATTAGATATCGTACATATTAGCAAAGACACTAATTATTCACGCGTATGATTCGATTATATTATACTACTAATTGCATTACAAGTTCGGATATATCATTGAATGAATGAATGATGAAAACTTGTATTTTTTGCGTGATTTATGTCCGTTTCTACCAACCGTGGTTAATTTGACCGACTGGTTATTCCATCGGAATGGATCACTCGCATTTAATAATTCTAGTTAACGACAAATGTGACTGGTCAATTCCGTTGGAGTAACCAACCGGTTAAGTTAACCAAAGTTGGTAGAAATGAACATTAGTACGTTAATATTGAGGTCAGCATTCATGTATAATGCCAAATTATTGTAAGACAGATTTATAGCCTGTACCATTCAGTATACAGGTATTATTTTTCGAACGGACGCTATTTCGTTTTACACTCTGTATAAGTTTTATAATAGTCTTTACATTAGAATTTATGAAATGTAAACGTTAAATAATAGCTTACTGGCAAATGGAAACCAAATTGACTGAATACGTAATCTTGGGTTTTACTGAAAGTGTCAATCATCTTTTTGTTTGCAAATATATTGTGCCAAAATTTAATTCACATTCGTATCTACTTGACGTAGTTCTCTCCAATGCATTGAAATACAGACACAATATAGATACACGTATATATGATATACATTTATGATATAATTGCTATGTGGAAAAAGAAATGAGTGTATTACTTCAGTAAATTGCAATATACTTTATAATTATTTTAATAAAATTATATATGTATATATATATAGTTGGTGTGTGTGTGTGTGTGTGTGTGTGTGTGTGTGTGTATGTATATATATATATATATATATGTACGATAATTTTAGGTGTGGTTTAGTATGTTACCACATAAAGGAAAAGGAAGTTTATATATTCAAATATATAAGAATATTTTTTTGTGAAATATAGTATACATTGTTGAACAATGACCTTATTTTTATTATTAATATACTTGCAAGCACTATGACATCAGATTGGATCTCTTATTAATTTACGTATGTTTATACATTAACAATGCAAATGCGATTCAATAATCAAGATACTTATTGTATTATTATTTATATATTATTATATATATTTATGCGTTTATATATTATTTATTTATGTTTTTTGTTTGTAACTATATTAATATAAAACTATTTTGTTTGTACATATTTATTTATGTTGCGATTGTACTGTTAAAATTAATAATATTCCTTGTGTATACGTAACGTGTACAATGTCGGCGTCATATAATATAAGAATACTTATTATTGTAATGAAGACATTAACTTGCGATATGTGTGTGTATTGTGATATCGCGAGAGACAAAGTACAAAGTGATTATTCACTACGAGTTCATTCACTGTGTAATTTTTGTTCTTGTGATTTGCAGTGGACCAAGATATTGTGGAATAATCTGTAGCATTGCTGTCATACATTGGTATGCTTCCTGATACGTGTGAATGTATTTCTTAATGAAAAATAAAGAATATAAAAGAATTATATATTAGTGAAAAATCATATCTTGTTCCGCTAAACTGACTCATGTCAGTTCATATAGAAGATAACAGTCGTATTAATCAAAACTGTTCGAGATTATATATAGACGTCGACACCCGATAGGTTTCCATGGTAATAAAGGCAAACAAAACGTGCAATCGAACGACTCGACAATAGATTAAATACTTCTACTAGTTGCGATCTATTCAACGCAATCATGGAAATTATATGGTCGTACTATTTTGGAACGTGAAAAAAGAATTATGTTTTCAAATAATTTTTTTTTATTCGACGATAGATCACGTGTGATTCAGCTTGACAAGCCATCATTGCTGAAATATTGTTTGGATGATAGTATAAGAAGCGATCATTACTAGTGACATAATAAGAAAATAAATTATGGATAATGTTGTGCACGAAGGGATGGAGAAAAAGACTGTATTCATACCTGATGGCACAAATAAAATGCCATCATGGTTATTGGAAATGACTGAGTATGTATCACTATTTCATATGTTTTTATAAGAAAAAATGACCTATGTTATATTTTTTTATTAGCAATATAGGAAAATTGAATATAAGTTACAATGCCAAATCACATGTATCACAAGCAGAAGCATTTTTAGTCAATGATCAACATTACTTTGAGAACAGTACTTTCCAAAAGGAAGATGATAATCTGTAAGTTTATTCATAAGTTTCTGTAAAACATAACACATATTTTTTTTTATATAATAGAAAAATAATATCCTTCAATATTTTTATAGAGATATGCAAGCAAGCACATATTTAAATAATCTGTATGATAACGATGGCAATATTAAATTGCAAGCATCTACAAGCAAATCACTGCCAAATACACCAAAAAGTAGAGAGATACAAGTTAAACAGAAAAGAACACGTGCCTCTTCTGCTGTTGTGAGTGCAAAGCGTTGTACGAAGGATGATTTTCATAAATTAGATGCATATTTAGAAAGGAAACAGATGGAAAAACATGGCAATCATTTAGCACTTAAAAATCATAGTAACAATACAGGATCTTACAGTGAAATAGCTGATTCTAAATATCCTCCAGTTTATAATTATATGGATACAAAACAGATACAATTATTAGATGACAATCATTACTTAAATTCAGCATTTAGTATACAGAGTAAAGAAAAGCAAAAACTATCATCTAGACAGTATCAGGAAAATTCGAAGTCTGACATCTCAGTTGAAAGTGATTTCGTCAAAGATGTAAATGAATATACATCAAATAATGCTTTTCAAACAGGTTGTGGTATTTATCTTGAAGTTTTATATCTCTATAGTCTTTTTTTATAAAATTTAAGAACATAAAATATTATCTCTTATCAACCTCTATTCTTTATTTTTACATCGTTGCCTCAATTTTCATAATGTATTTATATTATTTATAGAGAAACTCTATAGAAACTTTATTATTCCTGAATTACCATCTGGCAACTCATTAGTTATTGATATTCTTTCTACCTGGGGTGACAAACATTACATAGGTCTCAATGGTATTGAGATCTTTTCAAATACCGGAGAATCTGCGAAAATAAAAGAAATATATGCTGATTCGAGTATCGCTAAATCATTAGATAAGGACTATGATCCTCATATTATACACAACTTGATTAATGGTATTAATCGAACGAGAGATGATGCAAATTTATGGCTAACACCTTATTCAAATGGTGGCCATCATTATGTATATATAATATTTGAAGACACAATAACTGTAGCAATGATTAGAATATGGGTAAGATTCTTTACAGTAGTCATAAAGTAATCTGTAAATATAAAAATACAGAAAAATTACATTTTAATTAAAATACTATTTTCTCTTTTCTTTCAGAACTATAATAAATCTAGAATACATTCCTTTAGGGGAGCCAAAGATATTATTATTAAATTGAATAATGTTATTATTTTTGATGGAGAAATTGCTAAAGCATCAGGAGATGACCTGGGTAGTCTCGATACTTTTGGTGATGTAAGAAAGCCTATATAGAATAAATTCCAGATTATAGAAAATAGTTTCCCTGAATGTTACATGTTATAAGCATTGTTATCAGGCATGATAATCTATTTAAATTAATAAGTAACTTTCATTCATCACTCCAATTTCTTATATCAAAATATGTAGTATGAATGTATGTATTTGAAATTAATTTGATACATAACGCACGCAAATATTGGCTGATATAGACCATTTTATTTACGACGGATGAAAATATTCTGGAATTGATATCAAAACATGATAATACCTTCATAGAATACAATAATGCAATGTTAGACTCCGAAGAGATGGAAACTATTCGTCCGATTACAGCAACGACCAATGATGTAAGGAAGCTAATTGTATCGATAGAATGAAATTCACTAAAAAAAAAATGATATAACGCAACAATCTTTCAGATTATTTCAGCAAGACATAAAAATAACAATTTCGTTGAGAATTCTTCTAACTTATCTACAAATAGTGAAAATCACAACTCAGCTTCTAATGCTCTATCTTGTAAAGAAGTTCAATTAATTATTACTTCCAATTGGGGCTTACATCATCTGATAGGTAAAGAAATGTATTGTAAGCACTATAAGCGTTCTAATTAACGTCATTTGTAGGTCTTACTGGTATAGAATTAATTGGGGATCAAGGCATAGCTCTCCCGTTAGTAAACGCCAACTTACACTGTAATATAGACGATATGCATTTAATGAGGCTGATTGATGGACATAATGTTACCATGGAAATGGATCATATGTGGCTAGCGGATATAACATCAAATAAGAGAGCTATAATAACCATTATTTTTAACACAGATGTGTCTCTGACGGGAATGCGGATTTGGAATTATAATGCATCCTTAGAACTATCTTATTGCGGAGTAAGATATCCAACATACCTATCGTTTGTTGAAGTAAAACTCCATAATTATAACAATCGAATTTGTGCCTTCACTCAGGTGAAACAATTACTGATTAAATTAGATGGTAATATATTACATGATAAGAACTTCGAAGGGTTCTTGTTGAGACGCGCACCGGGATCTTGTCATTACGATTTTGCTCAAGAAATCAGTTTTATCAATAAGCCATTTTCCCAACTACGCCTTTCGAATCATCCTACCAATTTAATCAAGTCATCCGAAGGTGTGTATCATCGAATATTTTTCATCATTGATGATTTATTCATGAAGCGTTTCTCATGTATCATATATGATTTTAGAGGTCGGTTCTTTAGATTCAAATTACGAGGCTCCATCGATGCCGCAAGGATTCGTATATCAGATAATCATTTTCTCGACATGGGGAGATTCTTACTATGTTGGTCTCAATGGAATACAGATATACGACAATCACGGAAATGAAATTATGTTAACTACCGAGAGTACGTTCAAATCGTCACAATTACCATACATTTATTACAAATTAATAACTTGATATCTAAAAACATCTATTGTTAGAAATAAAATTGAAAATAATTGAGATATTTACAATTGTGATTTACCTTATTAATATTTACTAATAGTTACTTAATGTCAGTTAATTCTTATCAGATGTAGCTGCATTTCCAGAGAGCGTTAACATAATAGAAGGCATAGACAACGATATTCGCACACCAGATAAACTTATCGATGGAATAAATAATGCTAAAGACGGTCGTCATGCCTGGTTGGCTCCGATACTTCCTGGACAAGTGAGCAGAAATAAGTCAAATTTCACATAAAAGTCACAATTGAGCTACTCTTGAGTTAATATTTCTATTATATACATCACCTTTCAGACGAATCGTGTGTATCTAATATTTTATCAACCTGTTATGGTATCAACAATTAAGATATGGAATTACGGAAAGACTGTACAAAGAAGAGTCAAAGAATTTGCGGTAAAAGAAATAGACTAATAATAATACTCTGTTAAAATTCCTTTGACTTTTGTTATTTTCATAGTTTCAACAAAAATATCTTTAATTTGCAGATATTGGTGGATGATCTATTGGTTTACAATGGAACATTAGATAAACATAATTCGTACGGTTTAGTAACGTTTGTAAAGGAAAGTAGTAACAATGAGAATGTAGTAAATCGGTAAGTTGATAAAATTGATGATTCGTTAATATAATTACATATCTAGACATCAAAAGAATAATTTTACATGCAAGACATTATGTAATTATAGCCCAGAACAAGAGAATCAAGTCTTGAATCTGCGAAGAAATACTTCAGGCACTAATTCGTTGCCGGATCCATCTCTTCGCCCACATACGTCTTTACAATTTAAAGAATCGTAACTACATATGTATGGTATAATGTATATCTTATAAAAAATTGTGCATGTATTTTATAGCTGCAAAAATTTTTTCACTTTCATATAATATACCATCTTAAATAATTATAATTATATAATAACATATACATATAAAATCATGTACATATCATGTACATATAAAAATGTATAATTTCTGTGTATCATACATTACATTAATAATTATTAGTTTACAAATTCCGGTCAACTTTTGGACCCGAGCAGGTAAGAACGATTCTTAATGTTATTTGATGCGCTGAATCCGAATCTTCAATCCGTTTATCAAGATTAGTTCTAGTTTTCGAGTTCTCGCATGTTGGCAGCATTGCGCTGTCATAACGACTCTCATGAGGGCGTCGCTAGAAAAATCATTTCAATTATATTCGAATGGTATTGTTTTTGTTTAAGAATGTGTAAAAATGCAGAGACAGCGTTGCAAAGTCGATTCAAAGTGTTTTTGTTACGTTTGCGGATGTTATATGCTCGGGAAAAGCGGCAAAATAATGACAAATACGCTCAGAGATGCGTATTTGCATTACTTTGGTTTCTCTGTAGCAAACATTAACAAGCCGTGGGTGCCGAAATGTTTTTGTAACGCGTGCAGAACAAAGCTGTACAAGTGGTCATTCGGTGAAAATGTGTACTTTTCATTTTCATTGCCAATGCTATGGAGAGAACCAAAAATCATGTAGATGATTGCTACTTTTGCTTGATGAATGTCGTCGGTATAAATGCAAAAAACTAGCACAGTATAAATATCCTGACATATCATCAGTATCTAAGCCAGTTCCACGTACGAGCAATGATCCATTGCCAGTTTGTCCAGGTATAAGTGCAAATGCCCAGGCAACTTCGACTTCATCGCCGTCGAGCAGTGGAAGCGATTTTGTCATGGAAGAAAAGCATTTAATTTCGCAAAGTGAACTCAGTGATTTGATTCGTGATTTGAATTTATCGAAACAAAAAGCAGAGTTGCTTGCATCACGGTTGCAGGAGTGGAAATATCTTGACACTCGAACAAAAGTCACTGTATATAGAAACAGAAATCAGGCGCTTCTACCGTTTTTCAAAAAAGAAGAGATCATGTGTTTCTGCGATGACATCAACGGATTTGATGTGATGAATACACCGTATGATCGAAATGAATGGCGTTTGTTCATCGATGGTTCGAAATACAGCCTGAAGGCTGCTCTGCTACACAATGGAAATTAAAAACCATCTATTCCGATTGCTCATGCAGTACAAACGAAGGAATGCTACGACACAATCCACAAAAGATCTTGGCCAAGATAAAATATAATGAGCATCAATGGAAAATTTGTGGCGATCTAAAGGTTTGAAAATTTATTCTAATTAAATCTAAAGCATTAATTGATTTACATATTATTCCAACAGGTGATTGGTCTCTTGATTGAGATGCAATCTGGATTCACCAAATTTTGCTGCTTTTTGTGCCTGTGGGATAGCCGTGCAATTGACCATCATTATGTGAAAAAGGATTGGCCAAGTCGTAGTAATTATGAGCCAGGAAAACAAAACGTCTCCTCTGCACCACTTGTGAACCCACAGGATATTTTCTTGCAACCTCTTCACATCAAACTTGGCCGTATCAAGAACTTCGTCAAAGCGCTCAACCATGAGGGACGGGCTTTTCAGTATTTAATCAAGTTGTTTCCCAAATTGTCCTACGCAAAAATCAAAGAAGGAATATTTCTCGGACCTGATATTCGAAAATTAATGGCCGATGAGAACTTTACAAAATGTTTAACGCCCGATGAAGCGGCAGCATGGCATCATTTCAAAGTGTTGTTCACACTTTCTCGGTAACCGCAAATCCCCGGATTTTAAGCAAATAATCCGCAATTTGTTGCAAAATTACCGCAAGATTGGAGCTCGAATGTCTCTCAAAATTCATTTCCTGCATTCACATCTCGATTTTTTCCCTGAAAACTTTGGCGATACGAGCGACGAGCAAGGAGAGCGGCTACACCAAGATATGGCGAAAATCGAAAGACGATACCAAGGATTTTGGGATGATGGCATGATGAGCGACTACTGTTGGACTCTAATGCGTAAAACGGATCCCAAACAATACAAACGACTCAGTTTTACTGCTCTTCATTTCTGATTTATAACTTTTAATTGAATAAAATAGCCATTAATTGTCAAAAATAATAAAAGATGAATTTATTGAATATCTCGAAAACTAGAACCAATCTTAAAAAACGAATTGAAGATTCGGATTCAGCGCCCTAAATTACCTTAGAAACAGCTTTTGGTTGCTCAGGTCCAAAACCGTATATACTTGTGTAATTAACAATCATATATACTTCACATAAAAATTCCATTTATTTTAACTCTTACGTATATATACATACACACAAACATATATCATGTACAAAAACGTATCAAAATTATCGCAATAAACACGATATGCATTTTCGATATTAAAAATGATCCGAGAACATTATGGATAAAAATATGTATTAAAATACTATAAGCCTCACACCTTTTACAAAAAGTGCAATATAAATCGTATGAAATATTTTATTTCTTTACACGTAAGTTATTACAGGTTTTATACTAAAGGTGTTATGCGCGGTTTTTTCGGGTTAATTTCCATAGGAACAACTACTTGATTTACCTCTTCTCGAGGTCCACTTCGTTTCCTTGCCTTTGGCGATGTTTGTTTTAAACATTCCATATCGTTGAATACTACTTGTGCTCCACCACCGCTTGTTGGCAATATATCACCCTGTTTGAGAAATAGGAAAGAATTTAAGATATTTGTGTTATTATAAACGTTATATATCTTTTGTAACATTTTAGAAACCTTATATAATTTTGTTTCAAGTTCTCCGTCTGTATCTTGCTCTTGTGCGACAAGACAATATCTGGATGCACCGTCTGTAATTTCTTTCGGTGAAGTAAGTCGCGTTACGCTTCGTCTTCTTTGCATCAATGGTTGTAACACAGTACCGAGCGGCACAAGGGCTCTAGGTCGATGATCAATCCACCTATCTGCACTTCGTGATCGTCTGTAGCGCGGATTTGAAACGGGTATGTTGTCCTACGTACACCCAAAAGAAAACTTTCGTTACTATTTTCTAATTTCTTAATTTACATAACTTCAGTTCATAATACTTCAAAAGGAAACGTAATTGAACGATAAGAAACCTTTCGTGACGTTCGAGTCTCTGTATCAGAAAAGACTTTCATTGTCGATTCTGGGATTTGTTCCTTTTGTATGATTATCATTGCAGGATCGATATCATCGTCGTTCACTAAGATTTGCTTCACCAATCGTAATTTATCTTCCTTCTCTTTCATTTGATTCTATACAAGCATAAAAATATATGTTAACATTTCAAGAAATCATAAAGATACAAGATTGAATTTTAGGCATTGAGTTAGAATAATTACTTGAAGACGTTCACGCTGTTGACGCAGTTTCATTTCTAATTCTTTGTTCATTTTATCTGTTTCAGCTTGTATTTTAGTGTTATATTTCAGTTTCACTCTTTGCTTATCTATCAAACGTTGATTCAATGCCAAGTCACGTTCTTTTACCTATCAATCATTGTATAATATACATTATATATTTAAGTAATTAGTATAAGTATAATTAACATCAGGCTTACCTCTTGCTGTAAACTTCGTATGGTATCATTAGCACTGTTTAATTTACACAATAAAGTGTCGATTTGCGTTTCTGTCTTACAAAGATGTCCTTCTAACGCAGCTATCTATAAAAATGTCAAATATATAAAACAATACAGTTATATATTCTTATTTTCTTCGCGATAAAAATATTACTAAACACATATTTACCTTTCTTTTCTGCTGTGAATTTGCAGCTTTCAGTGCGGCGGCTTCGACCTTTAAGTTCATATTCTCTTGTTCTACTGTCACTAACATTTTTCTAAATTCGTTTTCTGTAAATAAAATTAATAATATACGTATTAAAGTGTCTTATTGGAATATTTATAAGATTTATCCATATAAAGCTAAATATCTTACGTTTTCTTGTTAAATCTGCACGAAGTATATTACGCTTATTAATACGTTGCTCCAGAAATCGTATCAAAGAGAGTATTATTTGATCATTATCTGGATTAATAGTTTCCAATTCAGGAAATGGTCCACCTAAACTGCAATATAATCAAATATTCCATTCATATTGTGCGTCATAGACTACTGAATTCGCGAAAAATAAGAAAATTTCATTGAATTATAGCTATTTCTAGATTATAACATACCTATATACTAAACCTAGATCAACGTCTAGGTCAGCAGCTTCTGCTCGACCTTCTTTCTCCAATCTACTTTTTGCTTCCTTAAATATCTAAAACGATAAAAACTTGTATCATTTTCTTTTCTACGAAAAGAAATATTCAATCTTATCATAGTTATAACCGATACCTTATTCGCTTGCCTCCTTCCAGGAGTAAAACCAAGTTCCAATTTTGGAGCAGTAGGCCTCATGGTTTGCACTTCTTGAGTCATTTCCGCAAATTTCATAACTTGCTACAGATAAATATTCAAGGAATTCATATCTCTGCAAACTATTTCTGTTTTAAAAAATAAAAAAAAATCCAACTTTTTCTTACGTACAATCGTTTCATCATAATCGTCTGCCCTTGGGTTTACACAAACGATCATTCTGACTTGCCCCTCGCCGTCGAAATAATTTTTGAACAAGTGAGTGAGTTTGGAATCCCGATAAGGCACCATCTTATTTGTACCTTGGGTCTGATTTTCCCGCAGAATTTCCAGGCACGAACGGAGAGTCATCAGAGAATTATTGATATTGCCTAAAAACAATTGAATTCTTGTACACAGATGCTCTCACAGATTTTACAGATAAACAAACCTGCTTCACGCAAACGTTGGCCGGTATTTTTAGTGCGATTCGTTCTCTCACTACCAGCTAAATCAACCAAAGATAATTGACTTATGCACACCACTCGCTTATCTTGCACCACATGCTCGCCTTCGTAATCTAAGGGCGCCTGGAAACATAATGTAATTGTAGTTTAAACTGATAATCACACAAAGTCGTAAAAAATTCAAAGGATATAGTACCTGTACAAGTCGAATAGTAAAAACACTATGTGATCTACTCGATTCTGCATTCAATGCTGTGTGTGCGACTCGTCTTTTTCGTTGTCCACGTTGAAATATTTCAAAAGCATCTTCTGCACTCTTTACTTCAATTTCTGTGACTGCGTGTACATACATATTTTTATTGCCATCTTCTCTAACTATTTTGCTTTGTAGTGCTCTATATATTAAGTAAGAAGATTTAATATACATGATATTTATTTCATTAAAAAGATTTCCCATATATTGTATATTTACTTTGATCTAATATCATCTTCATCTAACAGATCGTATACATTATTATTGTAAATCTCAACATATGTAACAAACACAGAGTATGCATTATCTGGATCAATCATCACAACTTGTGATTCATTACGTTCATGAGTTACCATTGGATTGCTATCTCCATCACTGTCCACCTTACGGCTGTTGATTTCATAATGAACTATTATATAATCATATAACTCATATTATAGGAAGTATTTACTTTTACATACTAAATATAGACTTACTAAATATAAACTTACTATTTTACAGATTTGCCACCTCTTTGTGTTAAACCTGTATGAAGCTCCTGCTGCCTCTCTAGCATAGCATCAGCTTCACTTTGCACATCAAAACCATTCAATTTGTCTGGCTTAAAAACAAATTTTTTTGTCTGATAATTTGCAATAGTATTGAAGATAACATCCAAACATCGAGGCATGATTCCACCATCCTGTGGTTCTCCAGTCATTGTATATGTCTTTCCACTCCCAGTTACACCATATGTGAATAGAAGACCATTCCTTCCCTGAATGAGGTTCTCAACAAGAGGAAGAGCAACTGTTTTGAATATTTCCTTTTGTGTTACATCGGATGTGAATATATGACTGAATGTTGTTTGTATCTCCTTGCTTATAGTCCTGAAATTGGTTGCTGATTCTGGTGGTGTTATGACTACTGTCATGCTGGATGTCGGTTTCATGCATGATACATCTGCTGAAGATTGCATTGGCCGTAAACGACAATAAACATGAACAGGATCCTTTGACAACATATTAGATCCCTTTGGTCGATTAACTGGTTTACGTGCTGGCGTTTTTGAACGACTGGAATGTATAAATAAAGAATGTGTTTATTTCGCAAGTAACAATGCATATTTGTACAGAATTCTTGCATTTTACACGATCATAGAGGTATTCAAGGGTGATGTTGACGTCAATTATTGATCTATATTGTACTCCAATACACAATATTAATCTTCACAGTACTTACGCGGGTTTCATCTTTATGTAGATTTAAATACTTTTTTATTATATAAATCTGTTTCTTATGCAGTGATAATACGTGTCGAATTGTATTAAATTGCGACAACATTGACCACGCACAGCAGAAAGTCGTTGTGATCTTTCGAATCAAAACTTCATCCGCTGCATTTTCAGTACCACCAACTGGTTGCATACAGGACGCGGCACGCTTGTCGCGGCAGAAATTGGCTAGGGAATACTGTGGTAGCCATTCAGCATCTTGATTGGTTACTGCGATATTCGCTAACAAATTCCGTCGCGAAATATTGCTGATAAATTGTGATTCAAGTCTTGGCTAAAATTTTATCTGAGATTTAAACCATAATTTACCGACTTTTATAATTTTGGTCTAAACTCGTGATAATTTACTAGCTTCTATAACATTTAAAACTTAATTATATTATTAATATTTTGCGAAACGCATTTTAAAGCTTGAGATTTGTAACATTCAAAAATATTACGATCATAACATTGCTAGTGTTTAGAGTGCAGTAACAGATATTTAAAAAAACAGACTTTATGCCGTAAAGACAGATGAAACAGCTGACCAATCTGCTGATACTTTTTCATTGATAAAAATCTTATGAAAAATAGTTAAGTGAATAAATGACTACTCTTCTATCTGTAAAGATATAATGTACGTACATTGAAACTTATATTTTAATAAGATATTGTACTTGTATTGGTTATTTTTTAGATTTAACAAAGTACAATTTATTAGTAACTAATATAAAACAATTTTTTTATGAATTAGTAACGTGTATTACTGCTATGGTCGAAGCAGTTGGGTGTGGCGAATTACAGCAGTTAGTTCAAGAAGAAGAATGTGAGGAACCACTTAGTCATGGAGGAGAAGCTACTCCTCCCTCAACACCAGCGAGATCTCAGCGTCCAAACAAAACTGAGGCACAGAACTCCAATGTATCGGTAGAATAACTCATTGACATGATACAATTATACTGCCAGTAGTATACAAAACAGTATACACTACTGGCAAAAATAATAACATAAATAACATATAGTTACTTATGTAATATGTTTGCAGCAACAAGTATTATGGGAAAGCAACACGCAAATATCACCAATCATTAGTAAAGGAAGCTCTGGCCAAGCAACTAGTCAAGGTTCCATGGTTTCTGGCCGAGCTGCCAATACTTCAAGTTACACTTGCAATCAATCCCGATTGACATATCTCAATGAGAAAGAGAAACAAAGGCCTAATCGGCCAGATCCACCAAGAATTGCACGTCAACACAAAGGTAATTGGTATTTTATCTCGAACAGGTATATCATATCAAAGAATATAATGTATTATATGTTTTGTAATTCTCAGTTATTTTTACTTTATAAATATAAACCAGTATATACATACACATACATACATACATTTGAATGTTTTATTAATTAGTTTAATTTTATAATTTTGTTATACAAACCTAAACTCTAAAGTTATATAATTGAGTTTTTTATGTTTTACTTTAAATACATTTTATTTCGTTTTGGTATTATATAAAGCTATGGTGCCATGCAAACACCACTGCTTTTTGTCAGAGGTGCCTGATGTTCGTCATATGGAGCAAGCTTTGTTGCAATTGTTGGAAGATTTTCACAGTGGTAACTTACGAGCATTTGGTCGGTATATACGAGTTTGTCGAAAAGATATATTGAAAATAATATAATTTGTAATAAAAGTGTCCATCATTTATTAGGAAAGGATTGTAGCATGGAGCAAATGACGGAAATACGAGAGCAGCAAGAACGTTTGGCCAGGTTGCACTTTGAGCTAGGCCAGCGGCAGGAAGTAGGTGGAGAGCAGTCGGGTCTTCGACAATCGAGTGCCAATATGCGACATTTACTTCAACGTCTCCAGCAATTGAGTTTTTGCATAGAAAAATTACATAGCAAATGATCTTGCAATATATCATGTATTGTAAGTTCTTATAATAACATTTTCCTCTATGACTATAATATACAATTATAAAGTTTTCATAAAAAATACATCACTGTGAATATGTGTAAAATATATAAATATATATTTTACATCATTCTATCTGAAGTTGTAATCATAAATATGATTGTTATATAAGTGTACAATGTGTATTAGGAAATGTAAATATGTTGTATAAATGTATCATGTTTTTTATAAAGGAATTTTTTTAAATATGACTGTTATATGTTGCGTCAGATAATTCTAATAATTTAAACTATACAAAAATTATAAGAAAAAGAGATTTTACCAAGTGCATTATAGGAATATGCATTACAATTAACTCCATAAATAGATTATATTTTACATATGACCCTCATATAATTGGTATATAATTATCTATATAGCGATATCACAAAAATAACAGTTTTTCCTTGACTTGAGGAACATATTGTAGTACATTTACATTAAAACGAAAAACAACAAGAAAGAGCTTGCGAAGCGCGTATCTTCACAATATTTTCTTTATCATTTAAGAGTTGTAACAATCTTTGTATATCCTCAGACCTTGGGGAGCCAAACAAACCTAAAAGTAGCGCAGATGTAGCTCTGGTATGATGATTTTCTGATCTGGAATATCCTCGGACAATAGCATTTCTGAAGAAAGCAATAATGAAATTTAGAGCGTAGTTCTACAACTGACTGAAAACGTATCACATGTACGTGTATGTACCTAAGTTCTTCTGCTCTTTGCGGAAGTTCCTCCTTCAAGCAATTTACCAAGTCCTTCGCAAAAGTTTCAAAATTGAATTTCACTTGCGACCCCAAATTAATACGTATCGTGCGCGATAATTTCTCACATTGCAGGATATTTGCGATTTTGTATAAGGTTTCTTGCGTGATCTGTTGGCAAATAGTACATACGTATTGCAATGAAACCTGAAACAACTCAACAAGCTGTTCTATAATAATTCAATTTCTCATCGATATACCTTGGCTACCAATATATTCGCGTCTTCCAGTCTTACTATTAGGCACGGTAAACACCACAGAAGATGGTCCGACAAATCGTTGTCGTCTGCCAATGCAGCCGTTGTCTGCCAATTAGTCGCTATCGCGCCTAAGACACTTATAGCGGCGAATTTCATGTCCACATTTTCCTTTTCGATGAATGGTTTCAGAGCCATCACCACTCGCGGGCTGATAGGTGTCTTGGATTGAACGGACAATAGTACCGCGAGGCCGCGCAACGATTCGAGCACCACTTCATTGCCTCCTTCGCCGCTAGCCGGCTCCTCCAGTCCATCGAGTAGAGCGTCCATACAATTGTCAAAATATACATCAATCTAAAAGAACGATCATTTGTAACTGTACGTTAAATATGAGAGAATATATGATAACGAAGGAACAAGATATATTACCAGTTTTTGGTCCACGTAGGCTATTCTAGAGAGTCCAGTGGTAGCAAGAGTACGCACTAAAGACGACGAATCAGTCTTAGCCTCGTATAAGGTATTGATTATGGCGTCAAGCCATATAACTCCACAGTCCACTTTGCCGATCAGTTCCGCGTAGAATGTAGCAGCGACTGCCCGTTGTATCGCTATTGTGCTGGTCATCAGCTTGCCTATAGATTGTGCCATGTTGGAAAGAACGTCGTTTCTAGTTAATATGCATTCGATTAATTTCCGCACGGTCAAAATTACATTCTCTTCGATTTTGGCCGTGGAGAAGGATACCTAGAAAAGCAAAGATTTCATTAACGTGAAAAGATAAAGAACGGGAGAAAATTATAGGAGAACGAACGGTGAAACGCGATCAATTTACGGCATGTCTTGATACATACGATTTCCGTCAACAAAGTCGACGCAGCGTTCGGATTGACCGTGATCAACACGTTACTTAATACAGAATATACTTCTGCATGCGGTTTTATCTTCCTCGCTTCCAGATTCGGCACATATCCATACTTGGTGCTCATCACTGCCGCGGGAGCGTCGACTTGTAGCCAACCGGCGAGATACTTAAGAAGAATTGACAATAATTTCGCTAGTTGCTTGTCAATGAGACTCTCAGCGTTCGATGTTTGAAGTAGGTGTTTCAAAGCTATTATAGCCGTCAAAGATTGGAAAGATGCAGTGTTATTCCTCTGAGGATGCGTGGACGTAGTAGACTCAGCGAACAAATTGTTGGCCTCGAGTTTTATCAGAAGCAACTCTAGAGCCTGAAGTGAAGTAGACGTAACTGAAGTTGTTAATTTATATATCTAACACGTACTAAATTGTATGCGTACGCGGCTTCATGTAAGAACATAGAACCATACCCGATGTCCAAGATCGTCGTTACCGATTTCTTTCCAGCATAATTCGGTTGCCCGATCCAACGGTAGTGGCTGAAGTAACAAACGTTCAATCACTTCTTCCGGATGATGTGCCATCAACAATACTATAGCTGCCGCTGCAGTGGTCCTACAGTTCGCATTTTCCATGTGTCTCATTTGCGTAATAATATTATCTTTGATGTAAGCGGAAAGAATTTTCGGTTAGCGATATCACAAAATCAATAAAATGTCTCCTAGCGATTACCAAGCGATGGTAAAATTGTGTTTTACATACCAACCAAACCAACGTCATTTCTGGACATTTCTGACCCTTTAATTTTGAAATGTTGCGATAGAGCTATGCCGACTACCAAACCCGTTTCTCCGCCAAACAACAAGCCCTCGATCAGTCCTTCCGCTAAGCCAATTATCTCGCTGCTAGGAATTCTTTCCGATACGGCTGTGGCTAGGCTCTATTTACGACAATAAATGCCACAACTTATAACCATTCATTAATACCATTTACTATCTATTACGACAAAGGATCAGCCGCGAATAAATCCAAACTGACAGATAGAATTGAATTACTGACCTTCATAGCTTCGTTAATTATTGACTTATCATGAGTAGTAATGTCTGTCTTGATTCGCTTCAGGTTTTCGTCCAACGTGGTGTCGGACATAATAGAGCGATGACGGCATGCAATATTCAGAGAAAGAAGCACGCAATCTATTACTAATGGTCTCAACGAAGATTCAGCGATCGCGAACCAAGATAAAGTTCTTCCCACAAGCTTTCCCGCATCCAATTTGCCGTTTGGGTACGTATATTTTATAGAATTATAGTAGGACCTGGGGATAAAAAAAGTACATATTCAGATTATAATTCTGATATATACACAAAGAGAAAACGTGATTATTTACCTAAGTACAGTATCCATAACTAATAGAGTGGTCTTCCTCTCTATACTCGATTTAGTCTGCATCCAAGGTAGCAATATGTCAATTAATGTGGCTAGCATGTCCGCTGAGTCGGATATAATTTCATTGGATAAAGTGCTTAGTTCATCCGTAACTTGTTGCAGTATATCTGGTTGCAATAGTAAAACAATCTAAGGCAGAATATCAATTAATCACTCGCAGTTAAGAATATACACAATATTATAGTTATAATTTAAATTCTAATACCTCTGTAGTGGCCCCGATTGTCTTATCTAGTATCCCAGTGAGAAAGATTTCATTTTCCTCGTGACTCAGAGTCGGAGGTATACGTCTGCGGAAATATTTAGAAATGCATATTTATGGCTATACCTGTAAAATAAGATATGTATATGATCAAATAAAGAATACATTATAGAGACGGCCGCTTTCAATATCGCCGGATAAAGTTGCAACGGTCTATATCCAGTTGATGATTGCAACATTCCCATTAGAAGAGCCAGAGTGGTACCTTTCATGTGTAAGCCCTTAAATTCGAACCATCTAGTAGGATGAACAGCTTTGCTCAACTTGAAATAAATATCTTATTAATATAAGATAGGTAAGAGTGGCAAAATATTTAATTTCCTAAAGTGAATCAAACTTACTTGTTCCAAGACCGATAGTCCCGCTTCTTTCGTAGACAATTCTTTACATGCAGTCAGATTTTTAATAGTCCACGGTAACACGTGCTCCTCATACGTTGAGAAAAAGTCCTCCGGATCTGCTCTTTGAGCAATTTCCGCATAAGACTGCAACAAACCCGTCTTCGCTGCCTCGGTAGCGTCAGCAGCTCTTGCGAAATCTTTTACGAAATCTTTCATAAAACCTAATATTCGCACAGGGACCTTCCGGGTATCTTCCGCGGTACAGAATTCATCCATCACTTTCAATACGGTACTGAGATGTCGTTTGGCGCAGATACCAACCGCTCGCGCGTACTCCTTGTTATCGCCATGAGAGCGCGCGTGTTCAACTAGTAGAATAATGTGAGCATGATTGTTGCACATCAACGCAAACAACGGTGCTACACCGGGTGCGCTCGACTTCAAAGCCAGCTCATCAGCGAGTTTAGTACCCCATGAATCTCCCTCCAGCTTTATGCTCTCTTCTAGCCACTCTACCACCTTCTCTTCCCAAATGAGATTTCTGGCGATTAAAAGAGGAAAAATAACAATTAAAAAAAAAATTACAGAAAACATTGGTTAACAAGAAAATATTGATAACGTTGATCTAATAGACTTTTGACCTCTATGAAATTATTACCGTTGTGCGGAATTCCTCAGAATACTTTTTTGATCGTCTTGTAAAAACTGTGAAAGTTCTGACAGTTTTTTATCCCAGTAAGGCTTCAATCGATGACCTACTAGGGATGCCGCCACTTTGAGAAAGGTAATTGCTGCCAAACGGTTAACTGGTTCACCTAATAATTCAATACATCTGCCCAATACTTTTGTACCCGGAAAATCCCTCTCGGGCATTGAAGAAATTTCGCTAGAAATTATTTTCGCAGCTAAAGGGGATAATGCACGTAACACGGATGCGGCCTGTGCACAAAAAAATTATAATTAAACTTAAGCTAACATCAAATTTAATACAATAGTATCATAAGCTAACAAATAAAATCGTCACTTACAGATGCTACATAAATCGGGTCTAGCAAAACATCTATCAAACACGGCCACAGCCACAATTCAGCTCCATCGACCGTTGTTGCGAGCAAATGCAAAGCATCCGAGTACGCTTCTGTGTCACTGTTTTTGATTCCACAATGAGATACCTATTTTAATCGAATTTGATTATTTGCTTGATTGTATCTATATATCGTTTAAATGTGCAAAAGTGTACCATGTAGCGAATAAATGTAATTCTCTGCGATGATGAAAGAGAGAAAGTCGGTCTTGCTGCAAGCGCCACTATGGCACCGACTACCTGCAGAGCGCTAGTCTCTCCGAGAGACTCTTGCAGAGTAAGCGCAATTCTGTTCAATGACCCATCATCCTAAGAAAATAGTATATCAAAAATCAGTCGTAGTTTTGTTAAGCAAGCTATTTTTTCTACCTCTGGTGGAAGAGTATTTATGAGGTGTCTGAGAACTATCAGAGCACGAACACGTTGACTGGTATTCGAAGATTTCACTTGCTGTAAAACTCTGCAAAAAAGGGAGCATTAATATTATGTTTAATAATTAATAATTAATGCATAATTAATATTATATTTAATACTTCAATTTTGTAATTTAACTAAGTGCGATAAATAACATTAATTACCTATCGAGACCTTCTTCAGGATATAAAATAACCAATGATCTAGAACACTGTAAAACTTCATAATGTGTAAGAAGTACATCCCGTGACGCTTCAAAAGGAAATATACTGACAAATCCAGATAAATTTTGGTGTATCTGTTCTATATATGGATGGAGATTTTCTTTTTCGTTAATAATCGTCGCATGATTCAAGGCTACAGCCAAAACTCTGTAATATTAATTGAATCAAAGTAATTTCTTTACATTTATCAGGAACACTTGGTATATAATTTTTTCATATGACAATACATAAACATTATGATATAAAACTTACTTTACAGCAGCCAAACGTACAGTTTGCTTTTTACAAAGATTTAAGCATACAGGCACCAATTTTACAATATTTTCGCTAATTACTTCTTGAGGCAATAGAGGTATCATAGGAACTAATGCTGTTAAAACAGCTTCAATTGTTTTGAAATCACGTGACATTTTTAACCAACTGTAAGTCAAAACATCAAAGACAGAATAAATTTCTTCCTGGTATGTATGGCTACTGATTTCTGCAGTATTTATTATACAATCACTTATCGCCTCACATAATCTGCCAGTTGCTGAAAGTCATAAATATATAATAATATACAACTTATTATTGTTACCAAAAACATTATAAAGTATATATACTTACTAAAACAAATTGCCTGCTTCAAGTTTTCTTCACGTATTTGGCTCAACATTGGCAAAATAATTGTTAGTGTTAGTTTAACAAAAGATAATATTCCAGATGGATTGGCTGTTGCAAGCTTTCCTATTGTGAAAACTAATGCATGATGAGGGAGTACTCCAGGTTCTAATCTAAAAGAAATATCATTTATATTATGATAAAAGATAAATTGACATTATATAGCTTCTAAAACAAAATATTTGTCCATATTATAATAAACCTATATATATATATATATATATATATGAGACAAAAAATTGGTACTTACCTACTTAAAAGTCCACCCATAGCTTGAGTACAATGTGTTTTAGAAAGAGCAACCAACAATTCAGCTGCTCCAGTCTCTGTCTCTCCTATTAATTCATTTACTGCTAAGTCAGCAACAGATGATGCTAAGTCTGCATTTAAACTTGTAGATATATATTTGCACATACTGGACATTACATTCAATAAAGAAACCTTGTGTTCTGTAGATATCTACAATAATATATTTAAGACAACAATTATTAATATATGATATTATATATACGATATAAAGTTCTAATCTGAACTATATATATGTATATATATATATTGGATATTAACCTTTCTATGTTGTTCCCAAAAACATACAGCTGTTTGAATGACAACATCTGGATTCTTCTCACTTATCTTTGCAACCGATTCAATTATAGATTGTCTAACATCATGATTTTTATCGTCTAAAGAACTTAACAGTGCTTCAATTATATCTAAAAATAAATTCCCTGCTTACTCATTGTTATAAATATTTAAAAGTATTGTTTAAAGATAAAATGATTGTTTTTCTGATTTTAGTTGTCAATATTATTTAAATAAATGCATAATAGTTTACCTGGTAACTTTATATTTTCATTACCCTCAAGTTCTTCCTTCATGTTGATAAACTACAGGTGTCACACCCAGCTTAGAAATGTTGTACTTATGTATGCGTGTATATGTATATCAGAGGTTTATATGATTAATAACATTACATTAAAGCAACTTATCACGCATTTTCCGATGAGAAAGTAGCATTCTATCAGCTATTATTAAAGGTACTAACACATTACGTTATCTTACGAAATTAGCCATCAAAACAAATATAATTATCGATGAGCAACTTGCACAATTGGGAACAGTTACGTATATTAACGTTAACGAAACGATAAAATAAACGTCGATATCGTCTATGAACTTGCAGTATGGGTAATCTGCGACAGATCAAGTATTTATATACATAAACACACACACGCGCGCTTTCTAACCTAATAAAGAATTTATGTCGCCATCTTCTGGTCGGAAAAAGAAGTTATGTATGTGAGAAAACGCGGTAGTTTCAAATATAATTAAGATAATATTCAGTAAGAAGAAACAAATTACTTATAGAGATAAATTCTATAACTTTGTTTTAATTATAAAATATACATTGTTATACATGACATGAGTAGAGTTATATAGACAAAATCAGTCGTGGTGATGTGATTGGTGTGTAAGATATGGAAACATTTGTAGCATTTAAATATATTCTTTGGATTCTCTATGCAAACTTAAACAGTAATAGGTGTCATAAGAGTCACTCCATCACATTCGAGGGCTATCTTAACACCTATTATGAAAAATCCTAGGTGTTTTACTGCTGACCTGTGGTTAAAAAAAAGATATTATAGTATAAAAATAAATTTTTATATATATCATACAAAAATATAAAGCATTGGTCACATGGCAATCTTCTGTATAAAAATGTTTAACTCAAAAAATAAAATACAGTTTTTGAAGTAGAAACCAAGATTATACATTGACATCAATTAATACAAACAGCCAATAGTAATGTTAATAATTTAATTGTTAAGGCATCGATTAACGCATTAAATTGTTTCATAAGTAAATTGAGGTTATATTTTATCAAATGTACTTCAAGTATCGAATGTACTCTAAGATATCTAAATCGACAAGTTGTGTATAACTTACCACTTAAATGGATCATTGTAGACATCTTTGATTATTTTTCCAATCCTTTCCAACGACATTGTTTGTCTTTTGTCGTGAAATCTTGCTCCGAACCGATCTATTACCGTTTTATTAACCTTAGCTGATAGATGTCTCTTTTGCAGCTGCCCTCTTGCGATATACGCAAAAGCGGTGGTAGTGAATACATTGAATACATCTGTAGAGGGGGAGTGGTTAAGGCAAATATTTATATTAGGAAAAATTATCGAGTTTTTCTATAGTATTATTTTATATTTAAATTTATAGCTATCTTTTGAACTCTCTGTTTAGGACGATTTATTTACTCAATGGTTAAAAGATTACTCATCATTCCAAAGGAAATGTGAGGTTAATTTAAATGGACTAAAATGAATAATGAATGATTATTAATGATGATAACGATTGAATTCTACATCAAAGACGACTGTTAAAGTTAATTGAGGTATTGACATTTATTGTTGATTGAGATATACATTTATTGTGTAGAATTCAATGTTTAAAAATGGGTGCAAGAAGTAGTCAATTTACTGAAGAAGAGTTGCAGGATTATCAGGTAAGATTTTCTTGTATTTATCTTTAATATTTAATTGTGTAATATTCTTCTTTTATAAAATGATTAACATGACCATTTCTCTAATAATAGGATTTAACATACTTTACAAAGAAGGAGGTTTTACAGTAAGTTTCATTTGTTTATTAAATAATCTATTTTATTCTTAATTATATATTTCTACAAAATTATATATTTTTATTATTTTCTCTTTAATAGTGCTCATCAAAAGTTTAAAGCACTTGCACCAGAGAAAGTTGGGCATAACAGAAATGCAAAACTTCCAATGTCTAAAATTCTACAATATCCTGAACTTAGGGTAAATCCCTTTGGGGATAGAATTTGTAAGGTTTTTAGCTCTAGTCAGGATGGCGACTGTACCTTCGAAGATTTTTTGGACATGATGTCAGTATTTAGTAATGCTGCTCCAAAGGCTGTAAAAGCTGAACATGCATTTAGAATATTTGGTAAATATGTGAATTATCTAATTAATCATCTGTAGTGCTTTAGTTTTAAAAAATTTTAATGCATTATCAATGTATGCTATATTTCAAGATTTTGATGGTGATGATATGCTTGGTGTGGGAGATTTGAGGCAAGTGGTTGACAGATTAACTGCACCCCAGAGATTGAATGACAATGACATGCAGCAAGTTCTCCAATATATCCTTGATGAAGCTGATCTAGATGATGATGGTGCTCTAAGCTTTGCAGAATTTGAGCACATTATAGAAAAAAGCAGTGATTTTTCTAAGTAAGAAACAAAATTCTTCATTACAAAATTATAATTTCATTCAATTTATAAATTATACTTGATGTCTGTTTACAGGAGCTTTGCTATTCGTTTATAAAAATATGACACATTTTTTAATAAAAAATAGTCAACAAAAGACTGAGCATATTGGTTAATATTGAGTACCACATAATATATTGATAAAGTAGACCTAATATGTAATTCAAGGAAAAAAAAATATGTTCAGCATCTGTGGAATGTGCCAAGACTTTACAGTTGGGCCTAAAACAATACCAAAGAAGCTCTAATTTTTTAATATTTTATTGAACTATTATTATATGTTATTATGATAAAAGAAATAGTATTTCTAAATATAAAATTATTTTCGCGTTGCTTCCAGTTTCAAGCATCATCAGTCCTATATATATTCTTGTAGTATTGTTATAAAAGCACATATTGCATGATTATTAAACATATATGTCTATTATAAATTATTATAAACTTGTATTTTAACATATATATATATATATGCTGTATAAAATTCCTCTACCATACAATGAACATATATGAACATATATAATATATGTAAATGTAATAGTGCAATATAGAAACAGTAAAAGACAAAATATTAGAACATAAATTTCAACCAGTTAAATATGAATTTTAATCCTGAAAAATTATTTCCTGTACTAAATATGTAATCATATTACTTTATTATAACTTATCTCATTTAAATATCTGTTCACATTGCAACAAGGAAAACCAATAATTCCTCTTTATTTGTATTTCTGGAAAAATATAATGTATTCAAAAAATACATATCTATGTTAAGAATATTATTTAATAATTTTGTTTTTCAACATTTACAATATTATCTATAATATAGAAAGTTGTACATATCTTTTTACCACATTATCGATAATGAGAATACTAAAAATATGTCATTTGATTTGTTGCACTTTATTACAAAAATCAGCAACTTACTGTTACAATATCCTGAATGATATAAAAATGATGTTTATTATATCCGTAGAGTTTGTAATAGCTTATATCTAGGATTGCAGATACCCCCTGAAAATTAGAAACAAATTAGTCACGTAATGTAATAATATATATATCAAAATATAAAATATCTTACGGAAGTTTCATTTTCATGAATATCCAGCATGCGATAAACGACACGATTATACTGATAAATCCAACACATATCAGAAGAACTCTGTTAAGTTTTGGTGTTGAGGGACCATGTGTTTGGTCTAATATAATAAAGCCTAAACCTCCCATTGTAAAGAGAAAACTAGACGCCAAACCTTCCATTATGTATTGCCCATTTACGCGATATGGCATAAATGCTACCTGCAAGAATTACACTGATTTATAATATTAATGGAGTGAACCATGAATTGAACTGAATCTTTCGACTTACGGGTCTTGTATGACCATGTTCGTCTGTCGTGGATCCTACACTGGGTGGCTCAACTATCACATCGTATATGATTCCTGTGAAATGTAATACACTTGTAAACGTTAGAATATTGCATCAAAAATAATATTTCGTGCATGTAGACCAACTAACCTCCTGTCACCAAAAAGTACGAGAGTAGAATGAAGGAGAAGACTACCATAGCACTAGGTTTCCCCATCCAGGACGGTCTCTTTAATTTTAAATTAGGCACTTCCAGGACTAAGAACGGTAATCGGTAAATATACTCCATTGACACGGTAAATCTAAACTACTCGATGGAAAAATAAAGACTTTTCTCCGAAAACACACATTCACCGGTATCGTTGACGTATTCTGCCAACTGGTCACACACGTGCACCGACTGACATTTTATATCAGACTGTACATACCGGCGATTGATAACCGTTCTCCTCGTTCTTATTGGTTCTAATTACACACAAGTCCGCGAGGTTAATTTTTTATGCGAAATCTAAATTTAAATCTACAAATTGTTATATGCATATATGTTACACATACAAAGTAACAAAAATGGTTATCAATATCAATAAAAAAAGAAGATAACATTATTACAATTACTGGAAAAGGATAATTTGTAACGATATAAACAATTTGTTCCACTATGCATCCTGCATGTTATTTATTATAATTATTTATAGAGAAATAATACCATATACTAGATATTTCTTCTTCTTTATACATAAGGATAAAATCAAATTTATATAAGTATTTTATTATAATTATCACTTCTTGTTAATTATGAATTTCTTTATCCAAACTTCAACATACTAATGATAATTGGAGTTTAAACTCAGTAAAATTAATATACACATATACAAATTTCATCTGACAAATTCATGATACATTATTGTTTTTGGCTAAAAGGATCCATACAGTCTAATCTTACTTATCATTAATAAAAACACTAACAATACATCAACGATAGATCTCTTTAAGTTTTCCGACCCTGACTTTCATCGGTATCAGTACAATAATCTTATCAACAATAAATATTATACAGAGTATTTAGTAACCCATGTAGATATAGTCAGTGAAGACATAGAGCTGATAAGATAAAGAAAAGAATCAAATATCTTGCAAATATTTTGCAAAAATCGTAAAAATAACCAAATTATGCATGGAAAAAATCGGATGAATTAGGCTGTGTTCCGAAATTCACTGCCAGTATTGAAAATACATAATTTGTGTCACGTATATATAGATTTTCAGTGCTGGCAGTGAATATCGGAACGCAGTCTTAGTATATGGCCATGGCGGTAATGGATAGCACATCTGATCGTACGAGTTTGTAGCGACTCATTTTGCCTAGCAATAGTTGGTAGCACGCGGCGAAGGGAAGAAAAGATCAGTAGTATAGCGGTAGCTATTGCTAAGCGAGGTGGGCCGCGATATAAACTCGAGCGACCGAGTATGCCACCCATTACCGCCGTGGTGCATGCTAATTCATCCAATTTTTCTCGATATATAACTCGATCATTTTTACAATTTTTGCAAAACGGTATTTGACTTTTTTCTTTATTTCAACCAGCTCTATGCCTCTATTAGATGCGACTACACGAGGTACCAAACACCCTGTATATTTGAAAAATAGAACTCTACAAGTCTTATTTCATTGTTAATTTAATTTATATTACAATATCGCATTCATGCGTAGAGGAATTCTCATCCTTGTTATTTTGCTGATTATTTTGTAGTTGCGCTTGCCACATGGCATGATAGATATCACCATGCGAAATTAATTCTTCGTGTTTGCCCCTTTCGACAATTTCGCCTTCTTTCAACACCAAGATTTCGTCTGCGTGAATGATCGTAGATAGTCTATGCGCTATAACGATAGTGGTTCGCCCAGTACACACTGTATTTAATGCCGCTTGTATGTTACGTTCCGCTTGAGTATCCAAGGCGCTCGTAGCCTCATCCAGTAGTACGATATTCGGTGCTTTTAATATCGTACGCGCAATTGCAACGCGTTGCTTTTCACCGCCGCTTAGTCGAAGCCCTCTTTCGCCGACCTGAGGGAGATATCAAACAATGTAAGTGTGATTGCACCAAAGTGAATGTAGATAATGGGATTAATCGAGCCAAATGTGATCTGATTAATTAGATGAACATACTTGTGTCTCATAGCCATTTTGAAATGTAAGAATTCTCTCGTGGATATCCGCATGTTTCGCTGCAGCGATTATATCTGCTTCCGATGCATCGATACGACCATATTGAATATTATACATTATTGTATTGTTAAATAAGACCGTATCTTGTGGGACGACACCTATAAATTGCACAATAAAGATTTTCAGGCTTCTTGCATAAATGTTGAAATCAATAATAACAATATAAGATAATACCTATAGCGCTTCTGAGAGACTCCTGTTTGACGGTCTTGACATTTTGTCCGTCGATTATAACCGCACCTTGTTCTACATCGTAGAAACGAAACAGTAATCGCATTATGGTACTTTTGCCGGCACCGGACGGACCAACTAATGCAACAGTTTTTCCCGCAGGTACGATAAAACTGATATTTTTGAGCACAAGTTTCTCAGGAGAGTAACCAAATGATACGTTGGAAAATTCTACTTGTCCACGCTTGACATCCAATAATCCGGCCCCTGGTGCGTCTATCACTTCTTGCTCTTCTCTCAATAACTCGAACATATTTTCCATATCGATGAAATTCTTTTGTATAGCTCTTTGAATAAAAAAACATCGAGTGAACGATACGTTAATCAATAACGTGTATAAGTTGCAATTCGTCACGACAAAAGAATATCTATATTGTTTTTTTATTTATTACCTGTAATATGTGCCGAACCAGTTTAACGGCACATACAGTTGTATTATATAACTGGAGAACAAAACGTAATCGCCAATTGTTAAACCTTGATGAGCGACAACCTAAAGGGAAACCAAATTATTTCATTATTATACATTATCATACTTTTTGTCGCTTTTAGTTTGTTACAAGTCGTTCAAAATAACTACATTGCATTTATTATATTTTGGCACAGATGCTAACCATGTGCAAACACAATAATGATCCAGATAACAGGCCACCGCAAACAATTATGTTTTGCAAGGTGTTTAAAATATTCAATGTGATCATGGACTTCCATTCTTGTATTTGAAAATCTAAGATTGCTTTTCTATAGTTTTCAACTTCGTACGCCTCGGCACCATAATATTTGACCGTCTCGAAGTTGAGTAAACTATCAACGCTACGCGCTTTTTGAGCATTGTCAGCCAGATTCATGCGCCTTTGGAACTTCGTGCGCCATTCAGTGACTGCGATCGTGGCAACTAAGAATTGAAATCAGAACGCATGAGAAATAAGAATTGGTAATTTGCGGTCCGCCGATTGCAATTAATTAGTTGTTAGCTCTCATATAAAGGCACTATAATCTGTCTCGTTATTTTTAATATTATTCTTCCTGATCCCTTAAGTTATATAGTGTACGGCAGACCGCAAGATGTATTTTTCATTATCAGAATTTTTCATTACTATTATTATTTCTACCATTGTTATTGCTACTTTTCTCTATTAATTATTATTACTACTATAACATCACTATCACATTACTTACGGATATAGAGAATCATAGTTGCAAAAACAATAAGACCAAACCATTTGTTAAATGCACTGACGAAAAATACGATGGCTATGATAATATCGACGATGGTCGGCAGAATTTGGAAAAGAATATAATTAAGTAAATTATTGATAGAGTCCGTGCCACGATCCATGACTCTTAATACTTCACCGGTCTTCCTTCCGAGATGCCAACGCAAGCTCAGTCCGTGTAAATGTCTACAAAAGAAATGAAGATAAATAATGAAGTCCACATTGACTCATTAAATATATAACTGTGAAAAGACTAACCTGAATAGCTCTACTTCTACTTCACGTGTAGTATATTGCTGAATACGGATCCAAAGAAAAGACCTTAAATTATTTAACAAACCCATACCTCCGGTACCGCCACCTTGCAAAAATTTAAACGCTACATATATCAGTATTATATCCCATCTGTAATAAAAGTAAGCATCTGACTGAAGCGATAATTGACATGTTATGAAAATTTTAGTAAGTAGTATGTACATAAAGATTTATACAAATTTAATCATATTATGATTCTACACACCTAAATCTCACAGGAACAATCGTAACACTGTCCACAATTTTTTTATTGTAAATTGGTACATAAAGATTTATCAAACGTCCAGACATCAATAGCAAAAAGCAAAATATTACCCTCAATTGAAGTAGAAAATCAGATTTTGGCCATAGAAATGGTGCCAAGATTTTAATCTTGTACCACAGATTTGCCCAAGTGGAAGAATTATCATCTGGCCTCTGTAAATATTTTGGTATGAATTAATATTTTCTCATATGCACTATTAATAATTAATATTTATTAATTAATACTTTCTCACACATACTATATAGAATATCATACAATATGTTACTTACTCTTTGGTAAAATTGCGACTGCCTGGTCAAACCATCGTTAAGTATACGGTAATCAGAATCCTGATTACCAGCAATACCAGGAGCTCGTAAACCAAGAGCAAAAATCAGCAGATTACTAACATAACGCAAGACAAATAAAGCCATTTCAATCTGATCTGTAACACTGCAAAAGATATAAAAATTTCAGACTAAATAACTGCTTGACTTTAGGAAGATTTATCTACTTTTTACACTCATAAAATTTTGTGATCGTCAAATTATTTCTAATATTTTAAAAATATTATCTTACGAATTCAAATGGAACCACCATTCCAGCTTTCCGATGTTAATAAAAACAAGATTTTCAGCAACAAATGTTAATGTCCAAAAACCTAGTAGTACTAATCCATGACCATGTGGTGGTACACTTGGCAACAGCTTATGTCTTTCAACTCTCAAGATATAGACAGAATAAGGATAAACCACTACTGTCAATGTTGTTGTCAATATCTACAAAAATAAAAGACTTATTTACTTAGTCATATTAACAAAAAAGAAAGAATCACTAAACCATTCTTTTACTAATATATTATATACTTAATTTATATGTAGCATTAGTAGTACAATAAGCATGAAGTATATTCACAAAAATTTAATAGAGAACATGTTATTCATCAAGATATTCTATGGATCTGTTCTTTTTTGAAGAACTTTTGAACTAAACACTAGTGTGATAAGTTAGAATAAAAGAAAGTATACCTGTTTTACTGCAACTTGTATGCTATTGTACTAGTTCAAAAGTCCTTCGAAAAAGAACAGACTTTATGTAATCAGAAATCTTATATTATACTACAATTTTATATTATACTAGACTATATCTTACCATGTAACCATATACCATTCCATCATTCAAGATTGTAGCTTGTAAAATTATTCTTAATACACTCAAAAAAGGGACAAAGTACAAAATAAATTTTTGTAAATTGTACAATTTGCTTTTTGGCAATGTACTTGCATCAATTTCTGTTCCATATTTGCGATACATCCAAAGTTGAATAGATCCAAATATAATTAAATACAAGGAAATTACAGTAGTACTGACAGTATCCATGAAACATTTAGACATGCCATGTTCTATCCAAATTTCATTAAATGTAACATTTGGTGGACAATATCTTATTTCCATATTTGTATCCATATTTATCCTCAAATGGCTTAAAATATTCAATATTGTTTCATTGTTTAAAAATTTTCTTTTTTCCTATATATTTGGTTTCTGATATTATAATCTTTAGGTATTATAATCCTTTATAAAATTGAATGAATAATATGCATGTTAGAATCCAATGTCATATGAGTTAGATTAAATCATATCTGAAACATAGTTATTAATATATTTAAATATGTATCATAAATGATGTCTATTAACATATTAATAGGCGACGTTAAGGCATATTAGAAATATGCTTTCGATATCAATTTTATGATATCTTATTATAGAAGATAACACTGTTCTTATAAATTTATTTCATATATATATTTTCTTATCAATAAACATCTGTCATTGTTAAGATTCAACTGTAAACTACATTTACTTTATAATGCTTGTATCATTTATATGTCATATTACCACATCAAATATAATTAGAAATTAAAGAATTTCTGTAACTAATCACAACAAATTAATATAGAATGGAATACAAACTTTTAATATCTAATAATATTTATTTTCATCGGTAACTTTGATATGTTAAATTATGTTACATTACCTGTACGTAAAAAATGTACAGAAAATTGTGTATCGTCATTCCGGCTCATGTAACGGATCATGGATACGATGTATACGCGCGCGCGAGATACGAGTTGAGTAGGTAGATTTATTAAGACACACTAATAGTATCGAATTATCAGTCTATTATACCATTTCAAATGTATTTTATTAGAATAATAAAGTTAAGAGTTTGGTTCTAACGCGAATACTATAAATTAACGTCCCGGAAATTTAATTACTTAGACACGTTACCCTGATCTGTTCTATTCTCATAAATACTTACTCTTTTTTCAACATAGTATATCGCGTCCTCTCTTTTCTGCTCCCTTTTTCTTAGTGGTCTCCAATTTTTGCTTATATCATCAAATAATTGATTCACACTGTCTTATCTAAATTATCACAGTTTATGTTATAACTGATAATTATGAAAGGTTGCAATTCATACTGCGTTACTTTATATCTCTCACTTTTTTTGTTTTATCTAGATTATATTGCTGATTTAAAACATAGTCAGGTATCAAGGTCAGGGTAGACGCAACGCCGTGATTTCATTGCCGTGAAATGGCAGTTACGGCACTTGCGTTAAAAACGATTAAAATTTTTCATATACATAATCAGAATGGTTGCGTTCAGAAGAAAAACAGCTTCCCAGACAGCACACGGATGTCCATTGGACGTCCGTTATGTCCATTTTTTTACAAAAAACGTCCATAGGACGTACGTTTGTCACAACTTCAGACATAGGACGTCCGATGGACGTACATCGAACGTCTTACAGGTCCAATGTCCAATAAGGACATCCTTGTTACGTCCAATTTAAGTCCACGGACGTAAATCGGACATACCGGCATAAATTGGACGTGAAACGTACATCCATTGGATGTCCGGTGTTGTCTGGGTTAGTAAACACTTTTTATTACACTATTTGTTATTCGTTATATGGCTCCGGACTGCATACAGCAATGTCTATACGCCATTTCCCAGTAGTATGATGTAAAAAGAAAAACAGGGACAGCGCATACGCAGTCCCCACGATCAAAAAAAATGCGTAGTTACAAGAACCACATCCAACCGTCACGGAGGCGAACCAAAGACTTTTATTACACTATCAGTTCAGTTCAGTTCAGTTCGGTATATGGCTTTAAGTAGAAAGGTGTACCCATACGCCATTCTCCAGCTGCGTTAAGGGAGGATTAAATGGTTGGTTAGTGGATTTAAGGAAGTTGGCTATCTCTTTAAATACGTTAGTGTATGTCTACAACCTCTCTTTAAGAAAATATTTTATCTCTAAGCCGTAAGCTCTAAAGCCAGCGGCACACGATGCTTGTTTTTGTGCTGGATTGCTTGCTGGATGAAAATACTGCGTTCTGATTGGTGCATTTCCGAAGATGGATGGAAAGCGCATTAACTGCATCCAGAACCGTTCCGTTTCAGCTAATGCGTGCATTGGTGGCGTATAGAATTCCCTAGAATCCCCCCACCTCTATCGCATTAAGCGCGCATCAGCTACTACAGCTCAAGAGAGTCTGCCTTTCAGCTTCCTGCTTTTTTCTCCCCAATTCTCCCTTAAGTGTAAGAGTGTAAGTCAAAAATGCAAACAAGGCGACTTTCTAGCCTTAACTGGAAAATGGCATGTGGACATTGTTTCGGAACAGTCCGGAGCCAAAAATAGAACCAACTAGGGATGGGCTTCGTCAAAAAAAAAGCATCGTCTTCGATTTAATCGATTATCAAAAAAATTGTTTTTGTATAATCGATATTTTCTTAAAAATAATCGGTTTTCCTAGTTTATCTTAAATTAATGTGAAGAGTTATATGTTGCAACAATAAATTAATATATTATTAAAACCTTAAAGACCCTTTTGACAATGGCTGCAAGCATAAGCTTATGTTAGAATAAGAATAAGGCTATAAGCGTAAGCTACAAGAAATAAACCAATTAAAGTCGGTTGTTCTAATAATAGTCGTTAAATATAGTATAATAATAACTGTTGGTTTATTTTTTACTGTTTACTGTTACAGCTTTATTTTCCGCAGCTATTGTAGAGGGGCCTTAATAGTAGTAAACAAATTCCCTAGTGATACAAATTTAGTAACAAATCTAGCAATATAATCGACGAAAAAATAATCTATTTAGAGAATAAACAGCCTCAAATCAAATATCGGTCTGATAATCGATTTTTCAAGAAAATAACAATCGATGCTTGTTTCATCGATCGATATTTGCCCATCACTAGAACCAGAGAGGAAGCTGAGAGCGGCAAACACGGCGTTTTTGGCGACACCGATTTTTCGCACTGGGAATGGTCGCTATCTGCATACATTTTGAGAGGAGAACTATGATGCTACATCCACTTTTAGGTCTCGACGGTAAAATCTGCATCTGGTGGCTGTCCATGCTACATCCACTTTCAGGTGGTTTATGTCCGTGCTACAACCATAGTAGCGTACTTGACAAGCACGGTCTCGCGCATTGTTATGCATTTGTAACATGAATTAACATGTTAACATGCACAAAAAAAATAAGAATTGAGATTGTATATGATTAACATCATGAAGATTATATACGATTTATATCGATATATAAATATATGATAATAAGATAATATTTTGTGTGTACCCAAAATTATTTTTCCAAAATATTTCAGCGTTACGTTAGTATTTATTTATACTACGGCAGGCGTTTTTTAGCACAGTTGTGTCCGTGTGCATGTGTTGCATTGAAAGTGTGCGTGACGTACGTGTGCATATACGCACTCACACACACACACACACACGTGTCATACGCAACAGATAGAATCTCAGGGTATATGCTTAAACATTTTCAATTGTCGTACGTTTCTATGTAAGAATGTAGTCGGCACACACACACAGAAAAACTGCTCCCGTCTATCCGTCTGAAGTCCCGCCCCCGCTCGGCTTGTTTTGACGAGCCAAGCGAAAGAGAGAGAGAGGGAATGTGTTCGCTCCATCTCGCTCTGATTTGCAACGTTGCCGAGATTGTGTTTCCCGACACACGGCCGAGACTGACGTTTCACTCTCGGCGTGAATCCAACGAGATGATCAATAGCAGTCGATTTCGACTAAACTCGTGTCGATAGATTTGCATGACAAATTAACATTGCACTTAAAGATACGGCGTAGCATTGAAGCATTTGCAAGAAAGTCGCGATTGAAAATCGCGAGTGCTTCATGAACCAAATGAAGGAGCGAGCTTCTCAAAGAGCGTGTGGCTTGATGGAAGTACGCTGGGCTCGCGGGGTTGAGGTCGGTGGTTCGCATCTCCTTGGCCAGGGAACGTGACCGTGAACCAGCGGGTCGAGGGCATCGAGGGGGAACTCGGCGAGCTACGACCTGATCTCGTGATCAGGCACGAGCCGTCGAAGAGTGTCGTCATATGCGACACTCGGCGATGTTACGGTGCCATTCGAGAATCGGCCAATAGCGCTCGAGGAAGCTAGGGAGCATAAACTCGCCAAGTACGCTCCCTTGGCGGAGGCGCTCGGTCGACTCGGGTACCGTGTCGTCGTGACGGCCTTCGTCGTTGGTGCGCTTGGCTCCTGGGATCCGCGCAATGAACCTGTGCTGAGGCTGCTGCGTATCGGCAGTACGTATGCGTCCATGATGCGCAGGCTCATCGTGTCGGACACCATACGCTGGTCCAGGGACATATCTACGTGGAGCACGTCTCTGGCGTCCGCCAGTATAGGGCTCCTCTACGCCGAGCCGATGGCGATGTTCCCGATGTCTCGCCGCCGCGCGCGATTTGCCGCCGTGTGGCCGGCCCGCGAGCCGACGAGGCGGCGGAGATATAAATGTCCGAGCGGATGAACATCGCGTGGGGCCACCGGCTGGAGAGGTGTTCCCGCAGCAAAAAATAAGTTCTGTATTTATTTATTATATTACTTATTTATTTATTTATTTATTTATTTATATACTTATTCATGTTTATTTATTTGTCCGTCCTCGGGAGGGTTGACTGCCGCGGGGGCGGTAGCGGATGTGCTCCGCCGTCGCGCCCGCGGCTGATATTTCTTTTTAGACGGCGGACTGCATTATATTATACTTATTTTAATTATTTAGTTTATATATGTCGTGTTGTCTGAAATATGGACTGCCGCGGGGGGGGGGGACGGAAGACCTCCCTCCCTGTCCCCATGGCTGAAATATTTTATGATGACGGACGTTAATTAGGCTCAATGTACATATATAGAAAGAGTGGTCTTATTTATTGTTTTATTTGTCCTTAATTTTATTTTTATATAATGTAAATGGAAGACGTGCCTTATACACACGGACTTACCATGCGTTCTCAGGTCCCTCTCCCAGCTTGGTGAGCCGTCGGAGTGTGTGTCGCGAGGATAATCGAGTGTGGATGTCGCGTATCTAACAGGTTGGTTGAAGGACCGGCGTCCCTATAGCAGAGAATTCTGCTTCTTGCG